CAGCTCACTGCTGCCACTCAAATCCAGCATGTGATTGCCCCTCATCCCTTCTGCGATGGTTCCCATGCTGATATTGCCCAGGGCCATTCTACACACAACAGATAGTGTGAACTCTTAGCAACTACTGTGGAGAATGAATTTAACTTGATCTTTCAAACAAACATATGAAACAGGTTCCATTATCTGCATTTTCTGAGGGAGGAGAGACGATATGACTTGCTCAAAGCCAGTCTGTGCTGGGATTTGAACTAAAGCAGGTTAAGAATTCACAGCTGAAACACTGTCATAGTCTGCTGCCTCAAATACACGCTTTCCACATATAAACCATGGTCTCTGGCTGTACCTACATGGACATGTCCTGCACTTCACTCATACTCTTCATTTTCCAGACCCATGCCTGTTCCTCAAACACACCAAGCAGTTTTTACATTGGGGATTAATGGAGTCAGTGCTGATCTGTTAGACTGTCTTATATGGTGTAATCTGTATAGTCCAGCAACGGCTCCCATGGGACAGTCTGAGAATCCCGCGGCTGCTCATTCCATGGGGGCTGGGTGCAACGTCAGCACTGGAAGCTGGAAGGGTCCCTGGAGAGCTGCTGACCTTAAGGACATGTCAGAAACCTGAAGAAGCTGATTCTGCTCTCAGAGAAAGAATGCAGCAACAGCATAGACGAACTTGCCATTATAATGAAAGCAGGCAGGCAAAGCGAGCCTTTCCTTTCCACCTTCTCTTATTTTGGGTTGCCACCAAAAGGTGCCACCCATATTGTGGGTGGGCCTTCTTACTTCAATTAACCCGGTAAAGCAAATTCCTCATGGGATAGCTGATTCCAGAGTAAAGTTGACGGCCAAGTCGAACCATTACAATGGCCTTCTACAGAACAATTTTGGTAACTGTCTTTATGATAAAGGGCAAGGAGATTAAAGCAGAAATCACAAGAAGTACACACTTAAGTGATTTACTGATGAAGAATATACATGACAGATACAAAAAAGGAAACAATATGAATTATTAAGTTATGAAAGGTTATGGTAAAAATATGTTCCTTCCAATTATCATTGGGTAAGGGAAAACTATCTTAAATACTGAGGAAAGATGGTGGCACCGGGAGAATATGTGTGCCACCCTTTAAGAAGCTAGAGAAAGCCGAACACTTGAGGTAGGCAGGCATTCTCTGAGTTCAAGGCCAGCCTGATCAACATATTAAGTTCCCAGGATAGCCAGGGTGACATAATACAAAGACCCCTGTCTCAGAAACAAAACAAAACAAAGAGACAGGGTGTGCATGTGTGTACACGGGCTGGATGGGGCAGGTATCCAGAGCAGATTCATAAACGGACAAGATAGTTCATTTGGGAGTGAAGAAACGGCTCTGGCTAATTACAAAGCACTCATTCCAAACACAATGGACCATCTCATTTAGTTATCACAAATCCAGGCAGGTTCTGGGAATGGCTTAGTGGAGAAGACCACTTACTGTGCAAGCTTAAAGACCCTGGCACAGGAAAGGCCAGGCAGAGCTTGTGGGTGCCTGTAACCATAGCATGAGGGAGTAGACACACGTGGATCCGAGAGGCTCCATGTTCAGTGAGACTTTAGGGCAGCGTGAGAAGGATACCTCACAACATCCTCTGACCCCCATGGGGGTATATACACCATGCAGCAGGTGCTACCACAATCTTAAATTTTACAGATGAAGACTTGGGCTTATAGAACATCAACGACTGCCCCAAATTACAGAGGTATTTTTTGGTAGGTCACACCTAGAACTTGGGTCATACGGAGACCTGTGTAGAGAGGAACAGTGGTTAAAATAGAATGAACAGAGATGGGGGCATTGAGAATTTCTGTTAAACAGCAATAAGGACATGTGTTCAAAGTGTGACGGGAAGGACTTACAGACAGGGTACTGTTGTAACCATCTGTCATTTCTTTTTAGATATGAGGCTTCAACAAATCCAGAAAAACCTGTATAACTCTGATGAGTCAGAGGCACCAACGGAAGGGCCATATGAGGATAATTACTTTGCAAATACTTACGTAAGGCCACAGTTCACTAGCTTAACACCCAATTCCATGTTTGGAATGAAACCATAAAGGACTCCCTTTTCTGAGCAATGGCCCTTCAAGCCCATTTTTCAGTTAAAGCCTAGAGACTGACTATTTCGACTGTAATGACTTTTGTATATGTTTGCTCCTATTAAGGAGGACTTCAGAAATACTACACTGGACAGTGTATAGTTCTTCCTGGTATTCTGATAAACTGTAGTTGTCTGAAATCACACTTAAAATAAAGTATATTTAGGTTGTTTAAAAAAAAACCTCCAAATGCAATTTGCTTTTAGCACAGTTGCTCAGGGCAGAGCTCATTCACTGTACAAATGGCCCTCACTTATTTTTTTCCTGAACTGTTCACTTAAGTATTTTTTAAATGATGCACAGGTAACAACTTACACATCTCAAGGTGGGGAAGTGTATTTCACAATGCACATACAACATGTACCCGTCAAATCTGGGTGCTCAGGGTTCCATCTCCTTTAGTTTGGTGCCTTTGATGGAAGCAGTCAATGTAGGAAGCATGAATTTCTTTGATACATTGGTTTCCTTTAGATAAACACCAGAAGTACCACTGCAGGATCACACAGTAGTTTTGCTTTGAATTTTTTGGAGTAGCCTCAGGGACAGACATATCCAAATACAGTTAACAGTGATTTAAATACCTCATCAAGAAATCATCCTCTTCTAGAAAAAGAAATGTAGTTTATATGTACAGCTGAGTACTATTTAGCCATAAAGAGTAAAATCATGTCACCTAGCATCTGGGAGAAAATAGATCTGGAGAGTATCATGTTAAATAAAATAAAAGTCAGACATAGCAAAACCAACAGGCACTCTTGTGTCACATGGAAATAAAAGGGAGGAGGAAACCTCCCCAAGAGAGGAGAATGAAGATCAGACATGATCAGTAAATTTACACACATGCACACACAGAGAATCAATATGTCTTAGGTTCTGTGCCTCTGTAGTGGGGTAGCTATAAGCAACAATATTCTGTATATTTCCAAAAGCCTGAGAGAAAGGGCTGTGAAGACTTACCATAAAGAAACTATACACCAGGGGCTGGAGAATTGGCTTAGTGGTTGAAAGCACCAACTGCTTTTCCCAAAGACCAAGGTTTGATTTTTCAGCACTGACATGTGACTCACAACTATCTAACTTCAGTTCTAGATAATCTACTGCCATCTTCCAGCATGTGAGTGGTAGACAGACATAAACGTAGGCAAAAACCCATCCATACACCTAAAAACAAACAACAGAAGTCCTCTTGAGGAGAAACACTTAACCTGATGGCATATGTTTTCAATCTCAAGAAATCATACATTGTGAGAATTAAAAGGTGAAAAAAAAAAGCCCCAAACAAAAGGACACCATTTCTGGTTTTATACCAGAGAACTAAGGACAGAGTCCTAAAAAGATGTCCACATACCCATGTATGTTATGATAGCATTCTATTGTTGGGGTAAAATGCCTAAGGTACACAATTTATCAGACTCCTTCACTTCAGGTTCTGTGGTGAGACAGTATCACGCCAGGGAGCAAGTTGTCTTGCAAAGCTGACCATTTCAAAGACAGGGAGCAGCAACACAAAGAGGCAACAGGATTCCACTTTATGAGTTCAAAGGTCATAACCTGCCTCTCCCCTACCTGCACTGGCCTACCTCCTAAAGATCCCACCAATTCTCAGGTGCTGAAAGTGTATGGCTGACTTAATTTTAGGAAACCTAACAGTGTGAACACCAAAGTGACACGCTCACTTTCAGAAAGTGGTCATTTACAGCAAGTGCAGTAACTGTTAACCCAACCAAAGCTTCACAGCAGTCCAGGGATTTCTTTAACAGGAAAAGTGACACAGACGCCTCACTAAAAACCCTTCAGGAAACAGAAAATGGGGAAACACGGACACTTGAGCGTTGGCCATGAGCCAACATGACGGCTTGTATCTTCCGTTATCGCTGCACAAGCAGAGGCTGTGGCCAAAAGAGTAGAGGAAGATAAAGTAACAAAATAGTATTAGATCTGGGAGGAAAAAAATAATTATTCATAGCAGAAATGAGCACCTAAAACACCAGTTCTCAACCTGTGGGATGTGACCCCTGTGGCGGGGATTGAATGACCCTTTCGTAAGGGTCAACTGAGACCACTGAAAACTACAGATTTACTTTGCAGTTCCTAACTGTGGCAAAATGATAGTTGTGAAGTAGCAATGAAAACAATTCTATGGCTGAGGACAACAGCTATATGAGAACTGTATTAGGAAGGTTGAGAACCACTGGGGCTAAAAGAACCAACGTAAGTTTCTAGAAAGACTAGGTAACATTTCCATGGAGAGTAAGCACCTTAAATTCCAAATAATAAGAGACAAGAGATACCGTATAAAAACCACAAAGGTGCCGAGAAAGAAATGAGGTAACAGTATGAGGACCTCCACAACAGAAACTCTAAGACTTGGGTAGCGTTGAAGGGAAGTCCTTACAGAAAAGATTTAACTACCTGTGAAACTGGTGATGGCAATGAACGATAAGCGAACAGAGGGGAAGGAGCAATGTACTGCAAAGAATACACTCTTACTCCTGCTGTATACAAAACCATGCATCCCATCAGAGCAAAGTAGGGGGCTTTTATTCCAAGGAGTAATTCCATTATATGAGATTTTTTACTAAGTCTGAACCCAATTTTTCTGGACACTCTGACCACACTGTATACAAAATTCATTTTGCCAGAAGCTGCACAGAGGAACATGAAACTCTCAAGAAGAATGAATTTATTTTAAAATAATATGATAAAATGAAACATCACATTTAGGATATCAGGATCTTTATTTGTCATATCCTGGTGCAACTCAGTTTTTCAGATTTGAGAAACGTCAACTAGATCATTTTCTAAAGCACAGCCAAGAACACAGCCGGGAGCCCTCCTACCTGGATTCTGAACCGCGTGCTGACTTCTGGGCTCACTGCTGTCTCCCTAGGAACTAGCCCCATGATGGGCCCATATCAAGTATTTCATAAAATTGACATACACTTGTACCGTTAACATAAACTTGTATAATTCTTTATTAAAATTTTTTTTATAACATTCAGGTAACAATGTAACAGATTACATTTAATAACACTAAACACATCTATATAAAATATATAATTTCATTAAGGTGCAACTAAAACACTTGAAATGGCACTTTTCTCTATTCCATACTGGCCTTCTACTTAAAAAGGTGGTTATTATAAACCTTAAGGTGCCCAAAGTTTTTCCTTTTTGCTTTTGTTCCTTTTACCATATTTAAATTTGTGACAGATTTCTAGGTGCACAATCTTTTCCCCATTTTAAGTGAACACTATGACAACCTTACATTTGGGGCCTGACTTGGGACCACTCTGAGGGTGCACAGGGTTGGAAGAGGGACTGTTGCCTCCCTCACTCTAGACACACCAGCTGTCTAACTTCCTTTTCTACCAGCTTCTCTATTTGCTTTTCACTGACTTATACCTGACCAGTGAACGCCAGATTCTTTTTACTAAAAGCTCTTCAACTGAAGAGACTGCTTATATGATACTTGTGTGCAATGTCTTCTGGCCTCAGACAAGTAACCTTTTCCAACTTTTACTTTCTCTGGATATAAAATGAAATACCTGATGTCATCAGTTAACAAGATAATGACTAATCAGCAGCATGAAAAATTTCCAACTGACACTTTAAAATTATTTCTTCATAAAATAGAAGGTATACCAATGTTTTGAATGTCGGCTACCTAAAAAAACTTTGGAATACAATTTGCCCATCAAAAATATATGTTTTAAAGAGTCATTGTAAAACATGAACCCAGCCTTATATGCACATTTTCTTCTCTCAGGAAAAGGGCACTTAGTGTATAGCTAAGGCATTCAGAACAAAAGTCCGACTTATTTATTGCTCGTATGTATGATGCTTGTATTTTGAATTTTTGAGTTGTAACGATATGGTACCTTCAACACTTCTGTTTCTGAGGGCTCTCTAATCTGGTTTCCTACTTTTATACATGAAAAACTAAGAAGGTTTTGGAAAATTCAAGGGCTATATATCTGCTGATTATCTAATGAACTGATGGTATGCAAAATCATGCTATAATGTTTCAATCATCGTGGCTCAACTTACAATCAATGAAATTTATTGTGAGGTAATAAATATCACAATGTTGTTGCCATTTTTCCTGACAGGTAAAAGGCATAGATTATTTTTCTGTGTTTTATACCAATAACTTTCTCTAATTATAGTATGCTACAAACAGTATTTTTCTATTATTAGCCTAACCGTAGCGTTATTTATATAGGTTCATCATGAAAAGAATTTACACAGCAGCAGCAGCTGGGCATGCTCATCCGCCCGCTGTGATCCACAGTTTGATAGGACTGGACTAGGAGAGCTACTCATCCATTAACATTCTTGTTGGCTTTTGCCCAAAGATTTCAACTGTGTACTTTGTATATAGGTCTGTTGCCCAGTTTTGCTTTCTGGGATCAAAAGATTTACTAAAATGTAGCTTAGTTTGCTAATTTTATAGGTTTCTAAAGTGATGAAAGGCTTAAGGATATACTTAATAAATATAAACCTACGAATAATTATTTTCAAAAGCAAAACAGGAATATGGCTTTTCCCAGGTGACTCAGAGATGCCGCGGTCTTTTCCTAGCAGATATGGAGGCATTATGACTTGTAACAAGTTTCTTTACCTGTCACTCAAACAAGGCTGGAATGCATAAATACTCTGTCTATATGCTATATTTTTATCTATTAATATTTTCCTACTTCCTTTTTCTATAGGTGTATATATTGTATATATAAAACAATTTAGTAATTTTATGTGTATAGGTGAAGCACTTGTCATGGATTTAAACAATGAGTACAGTAAAAAAATTTTAGTTTTCAAAGCATTAAAAAAAAGAAAACCATCCATTATTACAAGTTTTGGTTGTAGGAATCAAACATACTGCTGATAGACATGTCAGGTACTTGGCATAAAGGAAATACCTGATTTTTAATACCTGTAAATCTCACCTCATTGGCTCCTTGTAACTGCCCATCTTACTCAAGTTTGTCAAAAATATTTTATAATTTAATCTTTTTATATTTCAATTAGCTGCTTCTAGGTTTACCTGAAAACCTAATATAAACTTTTCAAAGTCATCAATAAAATATGTTTGTGGCATATAATTCAAGGGTGAAGAATGGATCAACTATATTATTCCAACCTCTTCAGTGATTTAACTACAGAAATATTACAAATTCATTTAACTAGCCGTTATTAGCTAATATCATTATCTATGAGGAGATCAACACTTTCTTAAAGACATTCTAAGTTCAACACATCCCCTTGATTACTACAGTAAGTAGATAACAAATATTCATAATATCAAATTCTGACAAAAGACACAAAGCAGGAAAGTTAAAATGCAAAATAATTTTCATAATAGTTTGCAGAAACCAAGAGTTTGGCTTTGTGTATGTGTGTGTATATGTATATACACACATATATACATACATATATACATATATATACACACACACAATAATGCAAACATCCATATGTGTATCGATGTATATATATATGTGTGTGAGTGTCTGTGTATGGACTAAAGAATCTTAGGCTTGCAAACAGCAAGGGAGAGACATTAGATGCACCTCCCTTCACCCTACCACCTTGATGCACATGCAGGCTTAGCTTTCACTGAAAAGGGTATCAGTACAACACTCTGCCTATTTGCACAGAGATAACAGAGGCCTCTGTCATGGCCTGGGAGACTCTTCTGCTCTCAGCAATCTACACTATTCCTGAGACCTACAGCCTGGAGCCGAGGAATGTCTGTGACGTCCCTGGGGATGAGACATGAGCAAACTCTCTTGAAGAATCACTCTTAACCTAGGCCATGCAGGAGTCTCACACACACACATATGTAAGAAGGGGGCTGAAAATGAGCTCACCTTTCAAAAAGACAAACTAGCCCACCAAACTCAAGAATCAACAATATAAACACCCAGCATGAGACGTGTAAGACGGTTAGTGACAGAAAAGGACGCGAAAAGTTCATTAAGCTGAGTATGGTGATGCATACCTTTAATCCCAACACCTGGGAGGCAGAAGCAGGTAGAGGTCTATTAGTTCCAGAGCACATAGCTGAAAATAAAATCTACTTTTTCCCTTGTAAAAATAAAAATAAGCTTCATTGTTGTATGTGTGTGGACATGCATGTGCCATGGCAGGCATGTGGAGGTCAGAGAACAGCTTTACATGGGTTCTCGGGGCGGAACTCAGGCGGAACTTGTACGGCAAGCGCTTTACCTACTGAGCCACATTGTCAACCCTGAAAAACAATTTTTGAAGGAATCTAGGAGATGAGATGTAGTTAACAGGAGAATTCATGAACTAGGAGAAAGATAAGAAAGAAACATACAGCAATGGTCAATACTAGAGGGTCTGAAACAGGAAGAGCACAGAACTCACTTAAACACCACTAGCTACACATGCTCTTCCTCTCCAGACCTCATCACTTGGGAACATTGAGTGATCCTGCAACTGAAATCAGAACATTTCTTCTGCTTTGGTTTTAGAGACAGGGATTCTCTGTGTAGCTCTGACAGTCCCGCCACGCCTGGCTTGAAAGCAGACCATTTCTTAAGTGCAGGTTTATTCAGTGTCCCCTCCTAAAAATGCCGAGGACCAGAGCTGCCTCTGGTTTTGGATATTTTCAGATTGTAAAGCATTTGTGACGACTGCAAGCTAAGACTAGCTATGCGCCTAATCTGAACCTCTGAAATGTGCTCAATATGTCAGAAAGCTTTGGATACCAGAACATCTCATGTTTTGGACTTTGAAACTAAGTGTGTTCAACCTATACTACTTTGTTTTCAACACCATTTACTCCATTCCCCACCACCCCTTTAATCTGCAATTCTGGTTTTGAACTTGGGGCCTCAGACAGTTTGGGCACTTGTTTTATACTGAGCTACACTCCAGTCCAACATTTATTTTAATGTGAGTTTCCCATGATATAGTGACAGTTATAATTTTAACGTCTACCCTTTCTACAGTATTACTAAGTACTTTGGAATTCGCACGCACATGCTCACACAGTGACTGTCTGGGAACTTGCTTTAACTAAAGACTGCTTAGAGCAAGAGTTACAAACTCGTCCTAACACACACCAAAGCAAAACTCACTCTGCTGCTCCCACTGGCTTCAGGTCACTGTGCACCTCAGTGATCCCACTGAAAACAATACAAGCATGATCTTAAGAGTCAACATTCATCCTAACATACAAGAGCAGAAATATTAATTTTTGGCTGGTTATGTATCAAGGAGAAGACTGGTTCAAAAGCAGTTATTAACTAATTTCCATCCAAATATGGTGGCTGATATGTAATTTCTGAAGTCTTGAGTTTAGAGTAATTCCTGAGCTGAAGGTCACACCCAAGCTTTCCATCCTGGAAAGAGTCGGCTGAGATTTTTGGGATCCATGGCCTGCTGGATAAGCAAGTTCACCTGTCCGCCCACACTGAGCACAGTGCCTTCTTCCACGCCTTTCAGTTTCTCCTGCAACCTCATCAAGACACGTTCAGCTACTTTGTTGAAACTCTGGTCAGTATCACTAAGGATGAAAAACATGAAGAAATCAATGAGGCACAACAGTTAAGGGCTTGGGAATAACAAAATATAAGTAACTAACAATGGGTCCCTCCTAAAATCTCCCACCTAAGACTTCGTTTGCATTCTTGATCTTCCGCATTGGGGGTAGAATGGAGGTCAGTCTCATCTTCTGGCCTCTGCTGCAAATACAAAGCTTTTAAAGGATTCATAGTCCAGTCAAAGAGAGGATCGTACAAAAGGACCTAGACAGAAAAACAAACGATGTGCATATTGATTACAATCAACAATAGCAACCACATGAAATAACACTAGTCTGGAGCAGCCAGTGGAGGGAGCAGACTAAGAGATGAGTTATGCATTTGTGCAGAGGAGCTATGTTAAATATAAGCTCCAAGGTTCTCATCCCACCCCGAGTTCACTCTTCCCCCAGGGTCAGGTGTCAGGCTGGATGACACTGTCCCAGCTGGAGGAGATTGTCACTGTGGTTTTCACTCCCTTCTCTCTCCAGGTCTATTTCACCTCACTCTTAAGCCATGTTCCCTAATGGAGTTTTAGCTCCATCAAAACTAACATTTTGACCACCATCCTACTACCCACTCCAGTGGCTCTTTTTCTATTAATTAGATCCCAAGCAGAGTGAATCTAATAAAAGGATGTAAAGTGTTCAACAGCAAACTGCCCTGCTGTGTGTACACACAGACATTTCTTGTTTCTCAGTCAGACTTAGGCAGTCTCAGTAGTAAGTAGAATACTTGGTTACAGAGGCCAGGCCAATATCACAGGACCACAATCCTTTCTGATAGTCACCTTCACTGGGTTTCCTCAGCATCCACATGCTAGGACTGTAAAATGTCTTCAGCATATTTTAACTTTAGGACATGTACTAGATCAGCAGTATCAAAAGATTTTAATTTTGTGCCGCTGCTCTGAGTGTCCTCCAGGACCACTGATAAACCATGGAGGGACTGAAATTAAAAGGAGTGACCTCAGGATTGGGAGTCAAAACACTATTGGGAAGCACTGCCCTAGAGCAGGAGACAGCAGTGATGAAAGAGAAACTGTTCCTTAATATTAGGAAAACCATGGCAAATGACTCTCAGAAATTTGGACTGATTTACCAGGGGCAACAATAGAACTTTGTGTGACTGTGAAGGGTGGGTTTGTTCTAAGGTGATAGAGGTATTGTAAGTGGGAACAGAAATCATTTCTCAGATGTAATACTCTCACTCAGACCAGCATGGCAAACTGCTAATTGAATCTTCTAAAGGACACAGCTCCACCCTTACTATGAATCTCAATAGTGCCAGCGAAATACAAATGACTCTCAACCCTGCCTGCACAGGAGGGATTTACAAAACACACACGCTCCTACTTCTTCGTCCCTAAAAATCTGGTTCAAACTCAGTTAACAGTACTCGTTAGAAGCAGAATAGGTGATACCTATGTGCAGTCGGGCCTGTACTCAACTTCCTTTATTTCTCTCTGTAGGAAATAGCTGAGTTCTTGTCTCACACATCCTTACCAGCTTTGTAATGACTGCCAGACGCACATAATTCTCACTTGGGTAGAATTAGTGTCATAAGCACTGGAAGTATGACTTTTTTCCCTCTCTGTCCTGGGTCTACATGAGATGATAAACCTGATTTAAACACATGTTCTGCAGGACACAGCTCCATTCAGATGAACTGTCTCAAAGCTACATAGCAAACAAGAACTACAAGAGCCTCAACAGCAAACCTCATTCTTCAGTTACATAACTAACAGTGTTGCTATTCTGATTTGCAATTAAATTAGCTCTGAAATTTGGAGGGAAAATGACATATATTATTGATTTCATGGAAACCAATCTCAATCCCATATGGGATACATACAGCTACATTGGTATGTATATGTACACGTGTGTGGGTGTGATGGGACCAGAGGTTGATGTCAGGTGTTTTCTTCAATCATTTTTCTATTCATTTTCTTTTTGAGACAGTGCCTATCACCGAATCGGTAACTCACCAATTTGGCTATACTAACTGGCCATGAGTCCCAAAGATCCTCCCGTCCCCGCCTCCTAAGTGCTAGGATTATAAACATGCACTACTATGCTAGGTTTTTATAAGGCTTCTAGGGATACCAACTCAGGCCCTCATGCTTGTGTGGCAAGCACAACAGCAACAGGCCGAAGTGGGATGTCTAGGATGTCAAAGTGCTCATTTATTTTTTAGAAATTGGAGATTACTTAAAAATGCTACAATATCCCACGACACGTTTCTAACCCCAAACATTGTGATGTAAGAAAATGTCCACTGTGTCCCTTCCTGCTGCTGCCCAGCACCAGTCTACATGAAATGAGCAATGCTCTTCAAATGAGTGACTTCTTAACAAGGTAGGCTGACCAGTAAAGGAATCCAGATGTCTTACTTCTACAATGGTTAGCAGAGTTTCCTGAGAACTGCGCATAACTTCCATGGTTTTCTCACAGCATCTGCAAGGTGAAACACATTACAAACATGAATTCTGTAGCACACCAATATTTCAGTCATCTTTGCCTATATGCACTTATGTGTGCATACTTAGATGATCCTTGTTAGCAATTCCCAAAATTTTATTTCAAAAAGCAGACCAGTTGGCAAAGACAGCATTTAAGAGATGTCCCAGAAATTAATATAAATAAATACAAATATGTGGTGTGTATTTTATAAGATCAGCACTTGTTTAAAAAAAAAAGACACTACTGCTATGAAATACTTTGTCTTGATTGATTACTGGGGCAAGTATTAATTTACTTTTACAATCTGAGATTATAGACCTTTACTGGGAAAACTACAAAAAAATGTTTGGCTTTGAACTATACTAGAACATGGTTCTTTCAGACAGAAGTATCATCTCTTGAGCCCAATTTGGAGATCTCTATGAGGTCCCTCCCCTTGGAGCTCAAGAACCCCCATTGAAGAGGCAGAGGAAGAACTGTAGGAGCTAGAGGGGTTGAGGACCCTGGAGAACATGGCTAACAGAATCAACAAACAAGGGACTCACAGCAGCTCAGAGACTGAAGCGGCAATCAAGGAGTCTACATGGGTCTGAGACAGGTCTTCTGCAAATATATTATGGCTGCTAGCTTGGTGTTTCTGACTCTTTTGCCTGCTCTTGGAACCATTTCCCTTCTACTGGGTTGCCTCGCCCAGCCCTAATATGAGGGTTTGTGGCCAGTTTTATTGCATCTTGTTATGCCATGTTTGGTTGATAACCCTGGGAGAGCCGACCTTTTATGAAAGGAAATGGAGGGAGAGTGGATCTGGGAGACAGGGGAGGTGGGGTGTGCTTGAGAGGAGTAGAGGGAGGAGGAACTGAAGTCAGAATGTATTATATGAGAGAAGAATAAAAATAAAAACAAAAAACTACTATCTCTTTAACACCCCCAACAATGAGCACCAACAAAACAGTAAAAACAGAGCATGTCAGCTAAGGTTGAATAACAGTAAAAGTGGGCCTCTTCCAGAGGACGTTAGATGTGACAACATGTGCCATGCTGAATTAAGTCCCAGGTGGCTGGAAAGAACAATTACTGCCTGTACCAAGGGTCTTTTCCTTAGTACTAAGTACCGGGATGTCATTCTACCACTGAATCCCATCATCTATATAAATTTATTAGTTGAATAATAAACTTGATAGCAAAAATTGTCTGCCTTCCTCCCTTACCTTCTGAAGACACCTTCTACACCAGTGATGCCCATGCCATCCACGATGTCTCTGCTGAGTCTAAAAGGAACTGTTTCTGGAGTGGGAAGGATTTTACCCTGCTCAAAAGCCACTCCTAAAATCAAAGATGTGAAGCAAGAAAGTGTGACTGGCTGACACACGGTCTCCTTAAGTACATGCTAACTCTGTAAAGGCAGCAAATAACCTGTCACTCACATGCTATCAGTACTTGAGGATTACTCTATTTTTGCTTTCCCTGCCTACTACCTCTCCATCATCTTTGAGAACCACTTCAAATGCAAAAGAACAGCTTACTGGCAAAGGAATGCACATTAAAGGATGATTTAAACAGTGGAAAACTGGCATGTTTGAAGTGTAGAAGACTCGTGTAGTAAATGTTTTGAGATATAAACTCACATGCTTATTTTGAGGTAAAAATACAGATTCACATGCAATTCTAAGAAATAATGCACAAGGATCACCCTTATATCTTCTCCCAGTCTTTCTCACTACAGGAAAAAACCATGATACAGCATCATAGCCAGGATATGGACACTAGTTCAGCCAAGGCATATAACATTCCATCACTAAGAGGTCCTTCATACAGCCCTTTTATAGCCACACCTACTTTCCCCAATCATCTAACAACCACTAATTTGCTTATTTATATAATTTTGCCATATCAAATGGACTATATAAATGAAGTCACACAGTATGCAGCTTTTGGGATGGGATTTCCTCACTAGGAGGACACTCTAATTCTCTTCACCTCTCTGTTGTAGTTAACCCTGGGTTTTATTATGGCCTTCATGGGATATTTTCCTCCTGTGGCTCAGAAGGTGACTCCTTGCAAGGCTGAAGAAATGGCTCAGCAGCTAAGATATCTCTTCCTCATGGTTTCTGAGACTTATTTTTATCTTTTTGTTTTGAAATGGAGTCTCATTTCATAGCTCAGACTGGTAAAAAGTTCCCTATATAACCTAAGCTGTCCTTGAACTCAGAAATCCTCCTGCCACAGCCTTTTAAGTGCTAGGATTATAGTAACCAAGTCCACTCTGGTTTAGCATTCCTAAAGCCTCCATCTCCAGTGTGAGATCAGAATCTCCGCCAGCCCAGGGATTTCAGTCTTCTCTACTGCTGAGAGTTTGACTTGCCATTACATCCAAACGCTTTTATATCAAGATTCCACGCCGGGCGATGGTGGCGCACGCCTTTAATCCCAGCACTCAGGAGGCAAAGGCAGGCGGATCTCTGGGAGTTCGAGGCCAGCCTGGTCTACAAGAGCTAGTTCCGGGACGGGCACCAAAGCTACAGAGAAACCCTGCCTCGAAAAACCAAAAAAAAAAAAAAAAAAAAAAGATTCCACTACCTTCCAGAAATCTCACTGTTTTAAAATAATGTGGAAAACACATTATTTTTCTTATTTTCATTTATTCGTTCATTATTTTATTTGTTTTTTTATGAAGCCTGCTGTATTCCTTTGTTAGATGCTTCAGCTGTCTGGAAATCCCTCTCTCAGTCTGCACAACTAACGTTAGTGGTAAAACCTAGAACACAACCATCTTCAACTCTAATCTCCTGGTCACTACAACTCTAGTCCAAACCTTCATCATTTCATATCTACACTATTATTTTCTCTCTTAACTTCCTGGTCCAAATTGCTTAGGAAGTTACCTAAAATTCAAACATGATTGGCTCTTGGTTAAATATTTCCCAACATTTAGCAGATGAAAAGTCAAAACTCTTTAGCCTATCTATCTTGTTAATCTACTACCCCCCACCCCCTACTTAATTATAGGCAGAGTTCCCTCTAGCGATACTTAGGACAGCTCTCAATTATTACCCTGTCCCCATTTTTAGATTTCCACCTTCTCGATCACTCTTCCTTCTTTTCTTGAGCTGCCACCTCTTACAGTAAGTTTTACTTATTATTGTAGGTGAAGATGGTTGCTCATCTCACAAGTGCTTATGCTAAAGAAAAAAACTTAAGTTATATACTTTCTCATAGGCAAATAGTCCTTGATGACTAAACATTAATGAAAGATACAAATCTTTTACTACTCACCTAAATCTATGTGTACGAGTTCTGCTGACTGCTCGTTTATCAAGATATTCTGTACATGCCTATCACCAAGTCCAAGGATGTAACCAACTAGGGAAAAAACAAAACAACCATGTAAAATCTCTAACATATATCCAACCATAATACCGCTGATTCTAAACAATTTTTAAGTAGTTCAGACTTTAAAGCTATTTAAAGAAAATTATACATTGTAAGTAGCATGTAGAGTTTAAGTCAAATCTAGCCAGATATTTTAATGTATACTATGTTTTAAAAATAGATATGCTGCTAAAATTGTTTTCTCTTTATTAGAAAGCACTGATTTTCTCTGAAATTAGTGTGGAAAAATTAGTGGAAAGCTCGAGACCCTGATTTACCTCAGCCAGTGTAATACACTCAAATTTTTATTAAGTGTTCTTAAGAGAGATACAGTGATTGGCAACTTCAACATTCAACAGTGAAACTTTCCTCTCTGCCTGATAAACTACGCTGACCAGAAACGGATCACTACTTGATTTCACAGGTGCTTTTGCAGGCATAACTGCATTTTGATTTTTAAGACAGAGAATGACATGCCTTAAAATACCTTTAGCCCGCTGAGCTACCATGTAGTACTACAGAAAAGTCACTGGGTGGCAAACAGGATGTCCCGTGCCTGGCTGGCCTTACTGTTAACTGAGCCTGATTTCTTATTCATAACTCACACCACTTTAACCCAATTAGTGATTTTCAAGGCAGAAGAGGTTCCACAAGTACTGGGGATCTTGCCTAAACCTACATGTCCTGTCACTCTAAGTACATTACAAAAGTGGCACAAGACAGTGTTTTTAGTTGCAAATTAACATGAGACAGTTTCTACATTGTTATTTTTGTAGGGAGAGGGCCCACTTGTTCTTCCCGGCCACCCAGTTTCTACATTGTTATGGTTTTCATACTTTAGGATTTTGTTAACTAATTTATCTAACAACTTTATTCCATTCTCATAAAAAATTAAAAAGTCAAAACATACGTTGAATAGCAAGTATTTAAATACATATCACAATTTCTGTTCTGAGATTCTACTAAACAATGAACCATTGAGTGGAAATCTATTACAGAGATTCTGTACAGAAGAACAATAATAAAAGAAAGCCAAAAAGGGTGCTATGAGAAGTTTTATATTCCAAAGAAAATCTCAAAGAACTTATATTAAAGGGAGTGAAAATAAACTACATCCACTATATTAAAAACAAAACAAAACTGGTTTTAGTTTCCTACCTCTGAATGGAATTCTCGTCTATAAAGATGGTTGCAAGCTAACAAATTAGCATGAACAAACACAATGATCAAATGGTGAGGACAGTTTGAGCAACAACTACCATTACCACTATCATCCTCTGGTAAGTCAGAATATAGTTATGTGCTCAATATGTAAGTTATACAGGATTACCAATAGACGACGTGGCCACACTACGCGTATATGCCAATCGTTTCTCAAACCAAACAGCTGGGTCCAAGAATTTTTCCAGGCAGAAGTAACGAAAAACTGGTTCAAAGTTTTGGCAAACAGTCATGAAGGTATCGTATTTCTCTTCAAAAGACTTCTTCTGGACATCCTTTAAACAGAACATTTGCAACATTTTCTCAGTGTTATGTTCACGTCATGTCATTCAACTAATAGCTACAATGTTTCTATGTGAAATAGCTAACAAATTATAGGGACAATAAGAAGAAAACCGAGACATTCTACCCATAAGAGGTTAGCAACTTGGTCAGGAAAGTTTTATTCAAGTGGTGATCCCATTAGGATCCTATCCTTTGACTGATTAAATTCTAATTTGAAGGGTCTTATACTATAGATGGAGTGACACAGACATGCTAGAGGCAGCTCCCAATCATCTTAAGTGGTGTCACCACATGCATTGTGACAGGATGGAGACATCAGGCTTCTGTCCTGAAACCTCTCTCTGGAATATTCTCCTGAGGCAAAGTTTATCGACTTCAGCGGTCTCAGTGCCCATACACTAGATGATGACATCCTAACCTGGTCCAGGCGCCTCCAGTTAACTTGAGTGATGTGCCAAAGCCAAACACAGCTGCTCACCTCATCCTCCAGAAAACTGTGAAGAGCACACCCTTCTGCACACGGTTTTTGTTGCTGTTGTTTACTTTTTAATAAAATTTCATCCAGGTATATATTACGTATTGAGTATATTACCCCACCCAATACCCTTCCGCTGTGAATCCTTTGTATTCCTAAACAATTTCATTTCTGATTTTCTTCATTTTATATATACATATATAACCATTAATTAGTCTTACTTAGTTAAAATATATCCCTAATCTGTTTTCTCAAAATGACAACATACATTGGTGTCAGAACTCTCTTTCTACAATGTAAATCTGTAGCTGGGCATGATGGCATGTATTTTTACTCCCAGCACTCAGAAAGTAGAGACAGGCAGATTCCTGCAGGTTTGAGGCCAGCCTGGTCTACATTGAAACCTACAGGATAGCCAGGTCTAGAGGGACTCTACCTCAGCTCCCCACCCTTTTACCCTCCCGCTAAAGGAAACCTGATATCCTATTCCTCACAAGGGTCTGTTTCGAGAATCTAACTCTCCACTCCTCCCCACCAGGCACAAGAAGCACCTCCTCCTCTAAGCCTATCCTTTACCACTAGTGCCTGCACAAACTTCCATCAAATGCAGATCACATATTTAAAATAAACTTTGAGGGGCCAGTGAGGTGGCTCAGCAGGTAATGGAGCTTGTCATGCAAGTCTGGCAACCTGAGTTTAATCTCTGGTTCCCACAGACAGGCACAAGCAGAACTGACACTGCAGAGTTGTCCTGTGACCTTCAAATTTGTACCATGACATGAGCGCCACATACACACATACAGGGACACAAACACACATACACACAGGTACACACACACACACACACACAGTTTAAAACAAGATAACAACAAAAACCATGTGACAAATGCAACTGAATTTTCTGGAAAACAAACAAAAATACAAAAACAAAAAACAAATGATTTACCTTGGACAGACAAGTCTTAAAGCTCTGCAAATTACAGTCCCTAATCTCACTTTAAAGTAGGGATAAGAATGACTGTCAAATTTGTGACGTCTCAGCTTAGTACCTGGTTGACAAGAGGCATTCAATAAGTGCTGCTAAAACAGCAAGTAAAAGCCAAACCAGACAGCCAATGGCATGGAAATTATTTCAGAAACTTGTTTAATGTAAAAATGGCTTAATTTGTTTCTCTACTTTAACTGGTATTTTGTTTGTTTTATTAAGAATCACCTTATCACAAACTGGAAGCAAACTAGTATAAACTGGACAATGTTTATATTTTTAAGATGACAGAGTTGGCACTTCATATTGTGTAAAGACCTCCCTATGTCACTTACACATTATCTTGGTAAGTTTACATCTCGCAAACTAAATACTATCTTCAACAATTATCTCATGAAGCTATATTTTGTATTTTACAATATTTGGTAGCTTTATATATTTTTATAAGCTATTAAATAACCTTTCAACTCACCATCATTTTCTTTTGGCACTGATGGGCACTGAAATCATTTGGCCTGTATCTTTTATGAGCACCTTCATCGTTGTTGACAAGATATTCACCAATAGGGATGGTTCCTGTGCACCACTCAAGAACACCGCTTCGCTGAGAGAGGGGAACCACCTGAGGTGAAATCAAATACATTTGATTACAGAAAGACATCAAAGACCCGTGGATGACCATTCATCATCAGTAATGCAAAGCATCTCCCAGAATTTATTAACATCTTGGGAGGAAAGCAAGAAATAACAAGGCTCAGAAATGAACACCTTTCTAGCTTCTGCTTAGACTTAAGAGAAGCTACCCATCCCTCAGTACCCAAAATTCTCCGAGATATCATTCGTATTAGTGACACTCAACATTATCTGTGATTGGTCCATAATTAATTTGTTCATTTAGTAGAGAATGCTTCAATTATGCTTTGTTTCTGAAACAGGGTGGTTATGTAGCCTAGGACCCTTGAACTTGCAATGCTCCTGCCTCAGCCTCTGGAGTAGCTGGGATTATAGGTATGCACCACTACACCCACTACTTCCCTTACACTTTTGTTACCCAGGACACTTAGGACATTTCACCTAGGAAAACAATTACTTGTGACTGTGGCCTCAATTTAACATACTTTCATTATTTAATTATACTGTATTTTTGTTTATAGTCTTATTAATTTTAAGAAGAGAAAAAATATAATTCTCAACAAAAATGAGAACTTTTACTGAGATAATTGTTTTTAAAATCATGATATTTTATAAACATACAAATGTAAAAATAATAAGAAACAAATATTATTTTATACATTAAACCACTTTACCAAATCTAAGAGTTTGTCAAATTTGCAGGGAAGAAGTGAAGCTTATTTTGTGCCTCTTGCTGTGTTCACGCCTCCTCCCACTATCACAATGCTTGCTACTGCTTTTCCACATTCATGCATTTTTGGTGTTTCATTTTTAAAGCTATTTATGTACAAATACCTGCCAACATTATTTCACAAATTAATTAATTATTACTGGGGGCATGCGTGCCAGAAGACAAGAGAGCTGCAAACTTTAAAAAAAAAAAATATGTGTGTCAGCTTCTACAATGTGGTTTTTCTCACTTGATATTCTCATGTTTGGCTTTGTTAATATACTTAACTATCATTAATTTCATAACTTTATGGTAACACACATACACACAACTGTCCAATTTATCCAGCTTGCATTTCAACATTTATATTGGTTGGTATTGTTTTCTTATTTCCTGAAGGAGACATGTAGGTCCTTGTGCTCACAGATGAGAACTAGAAAAACCTTTGTCTCTTCAAAGGGAGAGCTGTATAACCTGTTTTCTGCTCAGAAGACTGGGAGCAGAGACAGATAATAGCCTGGTGAACTCTGCTATCTGTATGGCCAGGACATACCAGCTCCTCTAAACCCTTACCTTGAGCTTATCTTGGCTAATTTATAGCATTATCCTCTCCTAGATCCCTATCATGAGCACTGACGACCTTGAGTCTGCTCTCAGTTAATATGTGGAACCTATCTTTATGTCACTTGTACTTTGCAGGAGTTTTGATGTAGTCATGTTTTAACCTTTATTGTGCACATGGGACTGAGTTAATTATCATTTGGAAATTTTTTACCAAATTGTGCTGTGCTTAAATATGCCTAAAGTAAACTACTGAGTGCCAGACTCTGGAAGTTTGACCAACACTGGCTACTGAGTTGTGGTGAAGCCGACTTCTTGCCTCTGCTGGCCAGAGCGTTTGTGGAGACCCCCACAATTTTCCCTGAAATACTGCTGCAGTGATAGACCATGGGTAAAAATATAACAGGGTTACAGGGAATGTATATCTTTAACTTAATGAAGTAACTATCCAAGTCGACTGTTGCAATTTATAGAATTACCAAGAAAGTTGTTACTGAATTTTTCCAACACATGTCTGACTTTTACATTTTGCCACTTTCATGCTAACTGTAGCACACTGTGGGTTTTAGTTTGTATTTTTCAGATGACTAACAGAATATCATATGATAAATTTATAGGCCACACAACTTTTTACTTATGAATTCTGTTCTTTTCTATCTTTTTCTAATGACAACCTTTAAATTCCCTGTAAGAGGTATTGATATAGTCTACATGTAAATTTCTTGTTATAATATTAAAATTTACTTTCTTTATGGATCCCCTGTTTTTATGGTATCTTTAATTCTAAATATTTTTTTTTCTTTTACTATATTTAGATATGTAGAAATACTTTGTTTTGTGTCCCAAGGAACCCTTTAGTTCCAGCTCAGGTCCTCATGCTTGCAAGGGAAGCACTTTACCCACTGAGACATCTCCCCAGCCCCACATATTAAATTTCCGTAAAATAAAATACAGTGTCTGAGCTTTACTCTGCCTGAAAGCAGTACCTTTAGCTGAGGCAGGAAGAAAGGGTTATTCTGAAAGTGAAGATGGTTAACAAAAGAGTTCTACTTTACATTTATTGTGTTTGAGATGCAAATAACCTCACAGGAAGTAGTCCTTCCAACTGGTTACGTGCTAGGTGACCATCTATCTTTAGAGATCAAATGAAGGACAAACAGGGAGTCTTTAAAAGCAAGTTAGATTTCCAAAGAGCGCAGGGACACAATCCATAGGTAAATTCTTCTAGCAACTTGAAAGGCTTCAAAAGCCCAAGCACACTAGGACATCAGCCCCAAACACTGTCTGAGTCTGAGTTACAGGTGACCTAGCCTTAAACGGGTACTCTGACGGGGTAGGGGTGGAGAGAGAAAGGGAAGCGGAGAGAGAAATTAAGAGCACTTATTCTTGCAGAGAACCTGGGTTCAGTTCCCAGTGCCTATATGGCAGCTCATCTGACCTCGGAGGACACCACACACAATGTGGTGCACAGACACATATGTGAGAAAAACACTCATATACAAAAATAAATCTAAAAATAAAAAGCTTTCACAGAACCGTAACTACATCTGTTGGACTGGGAATGTAACTGAGCTGGTAGCATCTACACTGGGCTTTTAGAAATATATCCCTGAAAATATTTTAAGGCTTATTCAGTTTTACTGATTTCCTCCACCCCCATCTACACCCCACCCCAGTGCTGGAGATAGAACCCTGAGCCATGTATGTGCTAGGCAAGCAATCAACAGTACTTACAAAATGTCTTACTGAAATTATACCATCAAAAATTATTTTGAAATAAGCTGATATTTTTCAATGCCATTCCACTTAAGATATATCTCAGCTTTCCTTTACATTTTATGCTTTCCTAATTTTTTTTAACCCATTCCTGTATTTATTTTGTTAATGCCACTGCTAGGCAGTTACTCTTATTTTCCTTCTTGCGCAGGAACTATGTTAATTTTATCTGAATTGTTCCAATTTTAGTATATGTGCTATGAAGTGAGTTTAATGTTACTCTTTAACTTGTGAAGGGAACATTTTCCCACTGTATTTTCAAACAAGTATTAATGTTTAGGTTAGCTCCTGATAAAATACTTAAATTTCTAGAGAAAATACTTACAGAATCTACCCTTCTGAAAATAAAAGAGACAGATAGTTAGACTGTCTGGAAAGAACTGGTTCTCGACTACAAGGTGAATTAAATGCTTTTTAGTTTGTTCATATATTTCTGGGAAAAGGAAAACGCAGTAGCAGTAAGTCCTGTTACAGCAGTGACAGAGGACGGAGAGGGGGGTGAGACCTGGGAACAAAGCCAGAGAAGGACACACCTACAGAATTTTATCTCTTATGTTTATTAATTAATTAAAATAGTTGGTTCTTATATTAACTAATTAAGAGTTAATTAAGAAGCCAAAGATCAGCTAATAGAATAACATGACTTGAAGATTTCTACTGTGAAGGAAATGGAAATGGGTCTAACTCCACTGACTGTCCTCTAGCAAAATCTACCAAATTATAGTTGCATGTGTCCAATCACCTATTAATCCAAATTTTGGAAATCTTTCCAATAGACTGACCTGAGTATGAATGAAACCATGACCTAATAAACGATACACATACAAACAACAGCAAAATCCCTATAGTTCATTACAATAACGGCAGACAGAATATTTCAGGTAACTACAGGAAATATCTAATGGTAAATAACTTTAATGATAATAAAAATTGTATTGTCCAACCAGAGAGTGGCAATCAATGGCCTCTAAAGAAAATAACAGCATCAATCTATTTCTGTACAGCATGTAAGCAAAGAATGGCTTTACAGATTTAAAATGCAAGGGACCTAAGTGGCTCTCAAAGTCTAAAATATTCACTATTTGTTAATTTACAGAAAACATTTGCTCATCCTTGGCACAAATAGTACACTTTACTTGGTGAAGCACCAGAATAGAAGCCAGTAAGTTACCTTGTATGTGCAGATAGTCAGTTTCCTCTTTCTAGTCTCAGTGTTTCTCTGCAGCAGTGTATTGCACATCTGGAAAACCTGCTGCATGACAGCATCTTGCCTGAGGTCATCACGGCCCTTCAGAACAACCAGACATAAACAGGTACTGTAAGTACACAGTCATCTAAGAACAGCAGTACAAGGCCCTCAGAAATCAATCTGAGGTATGCTCCGTTTCAGAGTCTCTTGAATAATTAATAGCTACTGTGATTCTTTCATTTAGAAAAAACTATGAAACTGGGAAGCAGACTAATACAAAAGACTAAGTTTCTCTTGCTTCACTATTAACTGAACTCTCTCACCTGAAGGCACAAACAAAACACCCAGCTAAAGTAATATCTCATCTCTTTTCTATCTTCAGCAGGACCTCAAAAGCACCTCCGCAAGCAGAACAAAGCAAGGAATGCTGTCACTTTCCAGTACAGTAGCAGATGGCGCAGTACCAGGCCCAGTATATTAAGCAAGGGCCTTAATATACTGTTCTAATTACCACCAAAAGTTTTTTTCAGAAACAAGCTCATGGTGTGTATATACTTTGGTAACATTCTTTCTCTTGAATCAGCCATACAACGATAGTACGCTAAACCCAGTAGTGCTGACCTACAATTTCAGGTTCTCCAGAAGTTGAGTTGAGAGGGTCCCAAAGTCAAGCTCAGCCCAGTCATCTTAACAAGATCTATTTCAAATAACACCTAAACAAGAGCTGGGATGTAACTCACAAGCAGAGAATTGTTGAGCATGAGCAAGGACCTGATTTTAATCCACAATATCAGGAAAAACTTTCTCTGATAGTCTTTCAAGAAAGACACACAATAAAAAAGCAGTCTGGTTCTAGCAAACTGTATGTCTACTTCACAGATGTTTCCTACCTGTCATTATTCAGGATAAAGCTAGAGTCACATAGCCAGCAAATGAGAGAAGAAGACAACATCTACTCAAATTGTTCTTGACTTTGATGTCATTAACCCTCAAAGGACTATACCAGAAACAGGAAGTCTTACCTTGACAAGCTGTCTCCTTTCCTTGCCGTCAGAACCCACACAATCTATTATTTTTGGTAAATTTAAACCTCCTGCTAAACGAAATTCTGTTTTAAATGATTTTATAGTCACCAGATTTTCATACTCTCCCGTGGGATCAACCTAAAAAATGACACATAATTAGTATAGGAGAGATAAACACTGAACACTGAAGAAAAACAAATCATAAATAGTAAGCGAAAAACAGATAAGAACAAACTGCTGGTTAATAACTGGATCTTTAACTTACTTTGTTTAAAGTCAGAATAAATGACATTGGTAGGTTTTTATTTCATTTGCTTGTTTACTTTGTATGTGAGTCTACATTTGTATGTGCCACCATGTTGGTCCCAGGGTTGAGCTTTGTTTACAGGCTTGGCAACAAGTGTCTTTACATGGTGAGCCATCTTGCCAACCCAGATTTTTAAAATTACATATAATTTAGTTTACTTTCTTAAACATCTTTTAATAAAACTTCAGCATTTCAAGTCAATTAGAATAGTGTTGCTGAAAAATTAGAACTCAGTTGTTATTTACATCTATTAAATCATCTAAGGAATTATTTAATTCACAAAAACATCAGGTTAATTTTGAAAAGTGAAAATATTCAGTTAAACAACAGAGCCTCAATCAGTTAACAAATATGATTCAGTAACAGGTCAGATTCAGTAACAAAGATACTAATTTTAATATATAAACTCACACATCAGTTTGTAAAATGATAACCATAACTGTTACATGCATCCTGTCTACATGGTACTTCTAGTAATAAAAAAAAGACCACTGTGAATAGCTAAATTTAGTATGTACACACAGCAACTTAAAAGTACTGTAGTACTGTAATACTGTTGTTCTATTAAATAATACAATACATCACAACCAATACTTCCACTATATAAAGAATTATTAAAAAACAAAATAACTGGTAAAGTGCTTCCTTACCACGAGCACCATGTCCCCCTACCCCCATGCAAGCATGTACATACTTGAAAAAAGTGGAGCAACATGAAGTGAAACAAATTGAACGGGCCATGGGCCTGCAGTCCCAGGAACTAAGGAAACTGAGACAAGGAGGGCTGTCAAGTTTCAGGCTTGCCTAAATTACAGAGCAGGTTCTAGGTCAACTCAGTGAGATGCTGTCTCAAAATTAAAAGTATAAAAAGGCTTAGTATAGGGGCTGGAGAGATGGCTCAGAGGTTAAGAGCATTGCCTGCTCTTCCAAAGGTCCTGAGTTCAATTCCCAGCAACCACATGGTGGCTCACAACCATCTGTAATGGGGTCTGGTGCCCTCTGCTGGCCTGCAGGCATACACACAGACAGAATATTGTATACATAATAAATAAATATTATTAAAAAAAAAAAGGCTTAGTATAAAAAGGTTTAGTCCTTAGTGCTAAAGTAATAGTAAAACAATGGGAATTCTCAGAAGCTTGTGACTATTTTTTTTTTGGTTGTTTTTTTTTTTTTTTTCGAGACAGGGTTTCTCTGTAGCTTTGGTGCCTGTCCTGGAACTAGCTCTTGTAGACCAGGCTGGCCTCGAACTCACAGAGATCCGCCTGCCTCTGCCTCCCGAGTGCTGGGATTAAAGGCTTGTGACTATTTTAAGGCTTAGGGAAAGGAAATCTAACATAGACAATATCTAGTTGGAAACACATGAAACTGCAATGACTAGCCATTTGGACTACATAAAAAGGTCTACAGATAATTTAATCTACTAATGTGTAATTTAGTATTATTAAAAATCAAGATTTAATGGTAAATTACCTTAATTTCCATAGTGGGAACAACAACATCTTCTAAATTCTTCAGTTTAGTGATTGGCTGGTTTGCTGGAATATTGATGCCTTCTATATTTAAAAATAAAGAGTTTAGTGACAACAGTAAACTGAGGAGTATCACTGAAGGTCAACTGAAACAACAGCAGCAACAACACTTTCAAACATACTTCTCTGGTTCCTCCACTGAGAGGCATCCAAGTTTGCCAAAATAATGTAGGCATCACAGAGTGCCTCCATGTCCTTCACCATCTTACACCTCTCACTTCTGATGGTATGGATTATCCTGGTTGCAGCCTCTGTTCGATCCTATCATCAACAAGGAACAAAGAAAGACAGAACGAGATCCACTGAACCAAGCTTCTTGGAGCTACACAAAGAGAATTTATATCTAGACAATGGAAGGACTATAATTCCTCAGATATAAACAAAACACCCATACAGTGAATGACATACACACATAAAATCCAAGGTTAAGACTTGTGTACTTTTCAAAAAATCTGTTTTTCTGAGGTTCGAGAGATTGGTCTGATGGTTAAGAGCGCCTGCTGCTCTTTCAGAAGACCCAAGTTCAGTTCCCAGCATGCACATGGCAATTCTAGGTGTAGGGGATTAAAACACCTCTTTTGGCCTCTGTGAGCACAAGATACATACATGCAAACATACGTATTAAAAATAAATCTATTTAAAATCTAGATTTTCTTTGTCTATTGCTACAAGAAAACAAAACTAAGCCAGTATTTATGCTCTGGAAAATGTTCAGGGATTGTTAACAAATTTTGGGTGGCATCATCATAATAAAGTATTTAGAATCTACTACCAGCAACACACATTCCTAAAATCTGAGAATTAAGAAAGGAACACTCTGAGAAAAAACAACCACGACAACACAAAGGGCATTTGTATTTAATCTGAATACCTCATCAAGCTGAGAGCTTTCTTTTGGTGCATTTTTGGGTATTCTACTCCTTCTTGCTGCCTCTGGTTTGCTCAAAAGTTCATCTTTGTTTGCATTTGCTAAAGCCAATATAATGAACAGAGTATGATGGGGGTGATCCATTGAAATCCTAGAGATCAGCTATCAGAAAATTAATAACTATTAGTTTTACCCAATAGAAAAAAATTAAATATACACTTTAAATTTTGCTTTACATATAAATTCAAATTATGTCACTACTGTGCAGTAAGTAGTACATGTCTGTGTGAAAGAGAACTAGGAAGGAACATGAGAAATAAGAGACAAATTTATCTGTAATAAAAGAAAACAATTTGATGTTCTAATGGTGTAGGAGGTTCTTCTGTTTGTGTGTTGCTTTCATTGGTTGAATAAAGAGTCTGTCTGTCTTGGCCTTTTGATAGGGCAGCCCTTAGTGGGCAGAGTAGACAGAACAGAATGCTGGGAAGAAGGGAAGTGTGGCAGACGCCATGCAGCTCTGGCCCAAGATGGACGTAGGTTAGAATCTTTCCCAGTAAGCCACGACCTTATGGTGCTACACAGATTATTAGAAATGGGTTAGATCAAAATGTGAGAGTTAGCCAATAAGAGTATAGAGCTGATGGGCCAGGCAGTGTTTTAATTAATACAATTTCTTTGTGGTTATTTCTGATATAAGCTAGCCGGGCAGGATGCAGCTGCTCCTCTTACTACATTCTGATTTCTCACTTTCCTTTATATTTTATTCAGTAATATAAAAGAAAGGTAATTATTACATTTTGACTTCAAGTCTACTTACATTATTGAGAACTTCATGAAATCCTAGGCCTCCCATCATTTTGGTTCCCATTCTAGCAGCCAATTGATACATAAGAGGCAAAAATTTATATGATGAAATCTTCATTCCATCTCTCTATTATTAAAAAAAAGCAAGATTAAGACATGTGTAATATAACCTCACATCTAAGCCAAAATGATGATAGTAAAATAATGTTCCTCTACTAGCACAACCTAGTGGCTATCAAAACTTCACGAACTACACAATTTCCCTTGTCCCTTGGCCTGTCTCAAAGACTTTCTAACAAAGCCTAGGAAGCCTTGATTCAGTGATAATAAAAATACTTAGCCCTAAATTAAGTTGCATCTCGAGCTGGAATGCTAACCACTGCATACATTCTAGTGACTCTGAGGAACACAAATGTGGACCCGAGTCCTACTATGCTCTCCATTCCAAGAAGTCAGTGTATAACCAAAATGCAAGTTCTTTTCCCTATACGCCAGAAATAATGAAGTTAAATACACACAGTAGTATAGACTGGCTCTACTTAACCCTGAGTTTTATTATTCTTTTCATTCCAGAGAAACATTTTGCCTTCAAACTAATTGACAATATTTTATAACCATATCTTAAGATTTTTTTTCAATAAAAACTTAGAAAGTATTCCTGTATATATTATAAAATTTCTTTATTTGTAAAAGCACTCTATTGGGAAAAAAAATCCCTTAAAAGTATTTTAAAAAAAGGAAAAAGGAAAATTCTTGCTTAGGATCATATTATCTTTAATGGTTTTTCTATTCCCCAGTCTAGCATTCCCTTTGAGGCACTCCCATATGATATCTGCAAGGATAAATCTCTCACCCCTACACAAACCTGCATCATTTAGAGCTTATACTTATTCTCGGAGCACCAAACCCACTGCTGGGGAGCACAGGGATGTAAAAAAAACCAGACACTGAAGGGGCTTATGCCTCAGTTTTTAAAGCAGATGCTCAAATGCTGGGTTGAGTAAGACTTGCCTTCATCATGCCATTGACTTCAGCAACTCCAGAATTTTCAAGCCAGAGGGAGCAAAGCCGGAATACCCACACATCATGCTCTTCTCCACACAGCAAGCAGCTGATGTAGTTCTCAACTGCCTTACACAGGAAGCGCTTACGGTCTTCTCTCAGCGCACGGAGAGCACACTCATCTAGCTCCAGCTCTCTCTGAACCTTTACTGTGTATCTTGCATTTGATAAATTCACACATAAAAGTCACAAAACTTTACATAACTATAAAATCATACATCTCATACAGCATAAATGAAAAACAAGGTATTTATTCCCAAGGGAAAAAAAAATCTAAGGATAGTGAAAGGAACTAAATGTCACAACTGCAACCTATAAAAGTCTTCCATAAACCCAAGAACAGAGTGGATTCTATAGTTAATTCTCTGCTTATTCCAAACACACAAAACTCAATGCAGACTTAAAGGAACTTGACAATGCCAAAGCAGGCTTCTGTGCTTAATTTCAGTACCTAGGAAAACCAAACAACTAACATTCACGTAGTCTGCTAAGAGCTAAACCAAGATATCAGCTCTTCAGAGAAGAACATCTGTCAGTGTACTGAAGACTGATTGAAGCTGTAACTACTGATAAAGTCTGTAAAAACAGCCAATTTATGTGTTCAAAACTGTAATTTAGATGACAAGTTCGAGTCACATTTCTCATGAAAATTCTCCTTTAGCCGAACACAATACCACCACTTGTAGACATATTACCTGTTAGTCTGAATTTTATGTTCCCTTAGAAGGCCCACTTCTTCTTTGGCTCTTTTTAAGAGGGCTTGCTTGTTTTCAAATTCTGATGATTTCATGTAGTTTTCAATTCTCTGGTACTGAGTATCAGAGAAACGTGCTAATGAGAGAAATGCCTTCATCTGTCCATTTCTGAGCTCACTGCTTTCGCCATCATAACTTCCAGCAACTTTCACTGCCTTCAACAACATACAATCAGCTTAGTTCATATTTACAAGTGTTAAACAAAGCTAAAGAATTACTCAAATCAAGGTAAATCACTTATGTATACGTAAATGCCAAACTTGATGACCTGGAACCCTTATCAGATAAGAGATGCTATGAACTGTGTGAAATGAAGAGCTCTTTAGTATCAGTGACAATTACATTTCACTTTTCATATTAAATTTACTGAGTAAAATAACTATTTCCCAAATTAGTGACAAGGAAGGATAAAAAGGGAGAAATAGTAAGGTCAATGGGGACTAGAAGTGCAATCTTATACCGTGCCCAGTCTGATTTGGGGGAAGGGGCATGGTCTTATCTCAACGTGGTATCCCAGACTTTGGTGACTCCCCATGGGAGGCTTTATCCCTTCTGAAGAGGAGATGGTGGGGGTAAGGGGAGCAGGAGGTGGGAGAAGGGTAGAGAGAGGAAAATGGGGATGGAATATGAAATTTAAAAAAAAAATCAATTAAAAAAAAACCTAATCCCTACTTTGGGTAGCTGAACCACATACAGTGACAATGACATCTTGTATGTTATCTAATAAGATAGTTTGTAAGATACAATAAATTCTTCAAAGAGTAGTTAGGGGTGGTTCTAAAGAGTAGATAAAAGACACACATGTATTTAAAGTTGTTCCCTCTTTTGTAGCATTCTGTTTCATTCTGCTCTAAGGATTACAGATCCCCAGCAGGAACTGAGGCATGAAACTACACTTGCATTTGCTTAGGATCAAGTGTATTTATGCTATACCTCAATCTTCAGAGTTGCACCAACAACCTACCTTTTCTAGGTAGGTCTGCATGATGACTGCAGGATTTTCCAAGCAGGTTTCCGCCAGCCAGTTGCCACAAACCCTCAGACACTCAGCATATATGACTTTTAGACCTGCATCATTCTGTATTAAGACGTAAAAATCTTAAAATGTCATTCCTTTTCAAGATTACAAAAATGTCCTCCATGTAGGTAGAAAAAGCACTCAGAAATATTTTTATTAATGTTTTTACCACGTAACTATTAAAATAAGTAAAATATGCAAGTTCATGAAATAACCACCCTGATATATCATCTTCATCAACAGAACAACAACTCACATTTACTTAAAAATGCCAGAAACCTTCCAACAGATTTGTGTATATTAATTTATGATATTCTTTCTTTCCTTTTTTTTTTTTTTTTTTTTGGAGACAGGGTTTCTCTGTAGCTTTGGAACCTGTCCTGGAACTAGTTCTTATAGACCAGGCTGGTCTCGAACTCACAGAGATTCGCCTGCTTCTGCCTTCTTGGATTTAAGGCGCATGCCACCACTGTCCAGCTTAACTTATGACTTTCACAGGAATCCTATGAACTAACTAGGTATATCATTATTACTTACTTGACAATGCAAAAACTGAGTATACAAACAGCCCATACTTTAGGGCCTGTACCATTATGGAATATTTAAGCAAGTTGTACTGGCACCCAGTGCTTTGTTATAATAAATAATTCCTGGCCCTACAAAACCCTGAACTGTCCACTGAATATGATATTTTCAGAGTACTTAGAATGACAAACTGTTCTAACTTGTTTTCTACTTTTCTTCTCTCAGACGTTTCTAATTCCATTTTTGTTCTTGCTACTTCAAAGTTATAATATGTATTTCCATTTATTTCCTCTATATCATTCTTGACTTCTATAGAAAACTGAAAGACTTTGCACTGGGATCAATTAAATGAATATACTACAACACGGATAGACTCATTTTAAATAAGAAAAAGTTTCCTAGTTTTATATCTGAATTAATTTTCAAAATTCTTTTTCATAATATCTTGTTCATGGGTCAGTAATTTCAAAACCTTAATCATATTCTGAAGCACAGAAATGCTTTTCAATAACATGAAAACACTAAACCAGCCAACTAAACCAAGCACATACCTTTTTAAAGCTGGAGTCCAACTTCTTGATCATTTGTTTGAGAATATTCAGGGCAAGACCCTGCTCCTTTTTTGCCCAGAACACTTGTGCCTCTTCCAAATGCCACTCAGAGACTCCACAAATAGCTGAATTATATTGTTTAATTTTAAATATTGCTCTTTCAGGGAGCTGCAATAAAAATAGCATATGGAGATAAATACTTTTACCACTAAGATTAAAAACCAAAGAAGCAATTACCATTCACCAAGAACTTCACTATTTGTTCGGGACTATCTTTATGAGCTCCCTGCTTACTTACCAACCTGCAGACCAGAGAATCTTGCATGTATAAGTATGTGAAACCATTGTTTTGTTACCTTTATCTTACAGGAAGTTATCTTCATTTTATAACCAGGAATTGGGGCAGAGTTCAGGTTTTTGTCTAATTTCAATATAGAAGTTTTGTTTGGTTTTCTCCTTAATATTGGAGTTTGATTCCACATACTAGTCAAACAAGCATGATACCACACAACTATAGTCCTAGCCCTTTTTTCAATGTGCATTTACGACAGATCCTACTAGGTTATTCAAGTTGACCTTGAACTCATTTTGCCCAAGTAGGTTCTGAACTTGTGATCTTCTTACCTCACCCTCTACAATAACAGGATTATAACAGGTCTATGCACAAGCCTGGCTCAACATGAAATCTTAAGTAATTTTATACATAGTAGTGATTTCTAGTTTTCAATGACATTTCTTCTTTACATTATTATACCTTCTGGTATCTGAGTAATACAGAAGCCCAAGAAGTGAGATGACAAAATTTTACAAGGGTTTTTTTTTTTACCTGGGTGTTCTTGAAGGTTCGGGCCAGAACAGAGAATTCTACAAGGTGTTTGGTAAGAATGTCCTTACAGCACCCTCCTTGGGAGTTCTCCATTTCCTTTTGCGCCAGGATCTCCAGAATGACTGTGCGTAGAGCCATGAGAGGCTCCTGAAAACTAAAGTCACTGTCCTTCAGAAGCTGGGAGTGTTTCTGCCACTTCAAATACACTTCAGAGAGATCTCTATCTGAGACTGACCTGGAAATCAAGTCACATAACTTATGTGAGTAAAAGAAATTAAAAGGAAAGGGCCCTCAGGTTCTGAAACTTAAGACACTGTATAGGAACTTTTATAATAGCAAGATTAGAAGTTACAAATAGCCCTAAATATTTAGACCTGTAACTATGTAGTCAGAGGTCAATAGGAAGGTTATAGATAATGGGTACTTAAAAGGTTTTCTAAAAAGGCAGCCTTTCTAAACAGATTTTGTTTTGAAATGAGAATGTTGTAATCAGACATATAAAGATATGACTACTCTAGTCCTCCATGCAGCAAAGGAGGACACATCCTCAAGGAAATCAACTAATTCCATTAATTACCTATAAATGTCAAAAAATCAGTTCACAGAAGAAAGCAGCTGGCATTTAAAAAGATTCCATCTGCTTACATCATTAAAGCAAAAGAAAATGCAGAATATAAAGTTCATTAATATGAATACATTGCCTTTCACAGGCATAAAGTAAGAAATACTATCTTATCTTTCAAGACTTGTGTTGACAGGGAGACTAAGGAAATGATGAAGCAAATGTGAGGAATCATTCTAGTTGCCTGACAGAGAAGGAAACAGTAATGCATGTAATAATGCATGTACATAAAAACCAAACTGCTACTTCCTCCACAAATGACACCAGAGTAACCGACCTAAACATTTTAATCATAGACCTAAAACATTTTAAGCATAGGAACCTCTACATACTCTTTTTGTGTGTGTGTGTGTTTTTAAATATTTATTTATTTATTTATTGTGTATACAATATTCTGTCTGTGTGTATGTCTGCAGGCCAGAAGAGGGCACCAGACCTCAATACAGATGGTTGTGAGCCACCATGTGGTTGCCGGGAATTGAACTCAGGACCTTTGGAAGAGCAGCCAATGCTCTTAACCACTGAGCCATCTCTCCAGCCCTCTATATACTCTTAAAATTAATGAAGATTCTGAAGAGCTTCCCATTTCAATTCTTAAGTTATACCTGTTAGCATTACATTTCTCATCTGTGAAAAATCTAAATTGTATTTATTACATATACTAATAAATTTAAATGATATCACAGTGTGTCAGATATTGAGTGTGCTGAGGTCACTTCCTGGTTCACAGATGACATCTATCAAGTTTATTTTATAATAATTCTCTCCCTTTTGTCCTGTTGTCTGCCATCAACACAATGCTTCATCCAGGCCAACATAGAAGTAGCTAATAATGGGTTGAAATCTTTGAAAACCATGACCCAAAATAAACCTTTCCTCACGTAACTAAACAAATAAACATGCCCATCCATCATATGTTACTACAGTAACAGAATGCGCTTCAGGCTTACCAAAACCTATGAACCACACACCTCGAGAAAATCTCCCCAATGTTTTCCAGTTCTCCAAGTGCCTGCAGTCTACTAAGTGTGGGATACAGCGAGTACACAGATTCAAGGCTGCCCTTACACAACTCTTCAACTTCTTTCAATCTAGGGGTAAAAGAGAGAAGAGTCTGAAATTCACAAGTTTTAATGCACAGAACTTCTATTCATATTTAGCATATGCTTGCTGCTGATCTAACAAGACTACTACACACAAACAGTGATGATGACACAGCAATGCGACCAACACTAGCTTTAGGGTCACCCAGTTCTAAACTGAAAGCCCAGTTCTGCTATGTCTGTCTACCCTTGAATCTGCTACTCAATTCTGCCACCGCTATTGTTTTTCACCTTTGAAGTTACTTTAAAGAACGTGTGTAGAAAGAGCCTGACAAAGTATGTAGTATTTTATATTTATTTATTTTTAATTTATTTATTTTACATACTGACCATTTTCTACTCCCTCCTTTCCTCTTAGTCTGTCTCCCTACCCTCCTTTTGCTCCCACCCCCCTGAATCCATTTTTCCTCCATTCCTGTTCAGGAAAGGGTAGATCTCCTATAGATATCAACAAAACATGTCATATTAAGTTGCAGTAAGACTAAGCACCTCACCATGAATTAAGGCTGGGCAAGGTGACCCAGTATGAGGAGCAGGATCCTAAAAGCCAATAAAAGAATCAGAGATCACCTCTGTTCCCATAGTTAGGAGACTCACAAGAGGACCAAGTTACACAGCTACATTATATATGTCAGTCCAATGCATGCTCCCTGGTTTTTGATTCAGACTCTATGTATTCCTAATACAATCACTTTAAGGGTAAAAAATATTGTTTGCCATATATTTGGTTTTATAATATCAGTGGTTATTGTTAAAGCATTTATTTTAACTTGTTATAGCTATGTTACATCATGTGTCATCTCATGTGTGACTCAAAGCAACCTAGAACCTAGAAGGACTATTGCTCATCATCTTATGAAGCAGAGATGCAATGGTAAGAGAGTGCAGCCATGGAACTAGAGAGGACAAAGATTGAAACCTTTTAGAAAGAGAACACTATCACGATCTTCCTGAGGGCTCAGAGTGAAGAAGGGACACAGAGTTCTGGGGGAAGAAAAGCCTTTCTTGAGAGAGAGAGAGCAAAGAATGGCAAGGAAACAACCAATCACAGCCACCACATTTTCATCCCTTCATTGACGCAAATACTCACATCAGAACTACTCACACTGTGAGGACAACCGTCACGGCATTAAATGTAAAAATAATCTTGGCTTTTTATGATACCTGGCATATCTGAGACTTTCATAAAATGTGGAGAATTCTCTGTTTCTTAGAGACTGCAGAGCATTATACAATGATTCATGGTAACTGGCTCCTTCTAGTTCTTGGCTGCGGCATTAAAAAACAAATTTAAAAACAGAAAATCATAACATATGCATGTATAAATGACTAACTGAAAGAATAAAATTGAAAACTAAAATTATTTCTTATAAAAATTTGCAAAATTAACCAAAAGCTGGGTGTAATGGTACATGCCTTTATTAGGGTGTCAGAGGTAGGCTGATCTCTGTGAGTTCAAGGGCAGTCTAGTCTACACATGGCAAGTTCCAGACCTGACATAAATAAATAATAATGAAATAAAAAAATAAAACAAAGCACTTTATAGGCTATTTAAATTATTAAAATAAAAAAAGGTTCTAGAAAACTTCTTTGGTTCTCCATCTTTTATTTCCATTTCTTATTATATTCCAGGTTCTATGAACCAAGTTCTAGATGCAAAAGATCTATTAATGGACAAATTAGATAGTTTTCTCTCTTGTGAAGCTTATATTCTGCTTTGGACAATAAATCTAAAAAATACTATATTATCACAAGAGTCATGCAGAGAATCAATGTAGGGTAACAAACTAGCAGGAAAGAGTAGCTGACATAAGAGTGGTCAATAAAGGCTTCTGAATTAGGGCATTATTTAATTTATTTATTTATTTGAGTTTTTTGAGAAGAGTTTCTCTGTAGCTTTGGAGCCTCTCCTGGAACTTACTCTGTAGACCAGTCTGGCCTCAAACTCACAGAGATCCACCTGCCCCTGCCTCCCAAGTTCTGGGATTAAAGATGTGCGCCACCGCTCCACTACTGCCCGGGTAGGGTACTATTAAAATAGAAAATGGATGACAAGAAACTGTGACAAACATGAAAATTGGAGGAAACAGGCTTCTAGCCTTTATATAACACTATATTAGACTAAATCAAAACATAAAAGGTGACCTGTATGGCTGAAACACCAAGCAAGGAGAAGAACTATCTATGTAAGTTTACAAAAACAGACAGAGACCACTTTAAACAATAAAATGTTTTTAAAATATGAGAATAGCCAGTGGTAGTGCATACTTTTAATCTCAGCACTCTGGAGGCAGAGACAGGTGGATTTGTGTGAGTTCCAGAATGCCAACGCACCAGAGAAAAACTCTCTCAAAAAAGAGGGGGGTGGGGGTGGGGAGAGGATAAATCTATAGCACTTACAATATGAAATCTAAAAAAGATTTTTATAGAACTACTAATCCTTTACTAATCTAGGTGTTTTGGTTTTCATTTTTAAAAATATGGTGATTGACATACAGGTTACAACTTTCATCTTTTGACACCTTGGTTTAGCACTACTTCTTTTTGTTTGGCTATCTGTTTTTTAAGTCATTGTCTCCCTGTATAACACTGGCTGGCCTAGAACTCATTATGTAGACATGCCTGATTCTGCCTTCCTGAATGCTAGACTAAAGGCATGCATCATTTCTTCTAGCCTAGCATTAACTTTTAACAGAAGAAAATATTAACAAGTTAATTTATTTTACTATCCAGTCAATAGTTAGTGAAAGTGTTTGTGGCTAACTACAATGTAGGCAAAATGTGGAAGAATGCCTTTACTTGCTTTTGGATTCCTCAGTCTAACAAACAGTATTCTCATAGGAGAAGACCCTTTTAAAATTTCTACTTGTGAGCCAGGTGGTGATAGCACACGCCTTTAATTCCAGCACTTGGGAGACAGAGGCAGGCAGATCTCTGTGACTATGAGGCCAGCCTGGTCTACAGAGCGAGTTTGAGGATGAGCTCCAAAGGTACACAGAGAAGCCCTGTCTCGAAAAACCAAAAAAATAAACAAATAGATAAATAATAAAATATTTTATCTTCAAAAATGCCTGAGGCAGGGAACAGAATTTATCTTGTGGAAAGAAGAGAATATATTTTTTTTTGAGACAGGGTTTCTTTGTGTAGCCTTGGCTATCCTAGAACTAACTCTGTAGACCAGGCTGGCCTTGAACTCACAGAGATCCATATCCACCTGCCTCTGCCTCCTAAGTATTGGGATTCTAAGTACTGGGATTAAAGGCATGTGCTACCACGACCCGGCCTGAAGAATAAAATTTAAGCCTTGCTGTTTTAATTACTTATTGCTACCTTATTTAGGTATAGTATTTAGGTACATGTGTAGCCCACAGTAGCAGTAAAATATAAAAAGAACACCTTAATATTCATAAATAAGAAAAATATCTTTTTAAAGATTACATTTTAGAGTTAGACAAAAACGTAACCAGGGAAAGGCTAATGCTTTGAGATGTCCATTTATTCTTACGTGGCAGAACTGCAGAGGTCCCACTGCATATTCCTCCACGCTGCTTGATAATGAAGTTCCTGCAGTTCAGCATCCCTCTCTCTATTTTCATGATCTAATCCTTTTAGATAGATGGAAAGAACATGGGAGAGCCCCAAATTCTGCAAAGCCTAAAAGGAAGTTATTACAAAATAAATAATCAAATATCTCAACATAAACTACAGCAGTGGTTCTCAATCTTCCTAATGCTGTGATCCTTTAAGAATAGTTCCTCATAAAAAAACCATAAAATCGTTTTCATTGCTACTTGTCAACTATACTTTTACTTTTGCTACTGTTATGAATCATAATATAAACATCTGATATGTAACCCTCTATGAAAGGGTTGTGTGCGACCTACAGATTGAGAATCACTGAATGGGGGGAGCAAACAAAAATTAACTTAAAATGTTGTAATCAACAGTACCACCTAAAATTCTAAAATAACGCTTATCATATTTCCTCAGAGGATGCTAATGTTTGGTGGAAAACACCTCAACATATTGATCAGTGATGGAAATAACAGTTTCTGGGACCATCTCTACTGCAAACTAGAGATGCCATGTGAAGCACTAAGTATCTCCCGGCATACTGTGTATACACTCAAGAAAAGTCTTCTGCTGTCGTCTAATAAAGCTTCATCAACAAAACTACACTGTCCTGTCCAGTTTTCCTGTGTATCCCTGAGGCTTTAGCCTAATGTCTGAAAGCAGTAACTCCAGTCCTGTCTTCAGAGTTTACCTGACTGTGTAAACAGTTTACTGAGATGCTGAAATAATGTTAGCAGTTGTCCTGATGATGGCTTTACAGAGCAGATACAGAAAAAGAGTGTACCTGAATTATTCCTGACTGGCGGGTCGAAGAGGAGATTGCGGTCTCAAGGTCATATGTTACTAAGGCTTTTCCCCACATTGCTTCATGTTCGTAAGTCCGTATTCTATAGGAAAATATGATAAAAACATCTTTTGTTTTTGTATGCATGTAGCTACTTCAAAAAGAACAATTATTATCTAAAAAGTCCAATTTACCTAGTAAGGGGCTGTAACATTTTCCCTCCACCACAGCCATACAGGCTGTCTGGTTCTCCTATGCTTCTGTAGATCTCTAAGAGAAGATCCTGAAAACAGAAATACCAAAGATAGAGATTGAAAAAAAAGAAAAATAATCAGTTCATGAATTTATAAGCTTCAAATTTCATCATTATTAATTCATAATTCACAACATATAAATGTGTTGTAAAGGTAAAATACAGTGATATTTAAAAACATACAAAATATTTGAATCAATAGGACTGTAAATTCATCCCATACGATAAAATGATTATAGTCTAATTTAGAAGGAATGCTCACAGACTGGAGAGATGGCTCAGCAGTTAAGAGCACTTACTGCTCTTGCAGAGGACCCAGGTTTGATTTTCAGCACTCACATTGTGGCTCACAATCATCTGTAATTTCAGTACTATGGATCCAAAGCATTTTTCTAGCCTCGGCAGGCACCAGGAATGCACACGGTGCACTTATATACATGAAAACAAAATACTCATATGCATAAAATAATAAATCTAAAAAAGAAGTGACATTCACAATTTTATGAATTAGATAAAACATACTAGGTTTTTTTTTCAATCATATTTAGCAATAATTACCATTCAAAACAATCTAGTCAGCAGATGAAATTGTAAATGGGAAAATAAAATTCTGCAAAGCCTAACTACTGAAACTGGTAAAAACAAAGGTCATACATTTTCTTTAAAAGGACTCATAGTTTAAGTGCATAAAGCAGCAATTTAATTACTTAAACACCTATGTGAAATTTACATAGGAAATACTAGTGCTGTTTAACTTCAATGAAATAAAACACACAACAAAAACAAAAAAAGAAGCTACGTTTTTTAAAAAAATGAGTAAGCAATTTACTTGCCTTGATATTTTTGCTATGGGAAGTATTTCCTAAATACAAATCCACCGATACTGGTATAATTCTACATAAAATTCTTATTCAAATATTCTATTCATAGACATGAAAAAAAAAACCTTGAAAGTTGAAACACTTAGTCCCTAACAATGCTTATACAAAAAGAAACTCATAAAAAATCAGCACAGAAAGGCTAAACTATTTAGTATTAAGAGAAAAAGGAACGCTAATATAGTGGATCACGTGGTAAGCACAAGACAAGGCTGAGGATGCATCAGGAGATGCTTAGTCACCAATGTGCTTGCCACGAAAGCATAAAGACCTAAGTTCAGATCCCCAGTACACATAAAAAGCTCAGGAACATTACTGTAGCTCTGTAATAGAGTTTGAAGTCAGGGATGGTAATGCCTCCAGAAGATCCTTTATTGTATAGGATTGTTTTGGCTATCCTGGGTTTTTTGTTTTTCCATATAAAGTTGATTATTGTCTTCTCCAGATCTGTGAAGAATTTTGATGGGACCTTGATGGGGATTGCATTGAATCTATAAATTGCCTTTGGTAGAATTGCCATTTTTACTATGTTGATCCTCCCAATCCAAGAGCAAGGGAGGTCCATCCATTTTTTGGTATCCTCTTCAATTTCTTTCTTCAATGCCTTAAAGTTCTTGTCAAATAGATCTTTCACTTCCTTGGTTAGATTTACCCCCAGATATTTTATGCTGTTTGTGGCTATCGTGAATGGCGATCTATGAGGGCTGATGAGACGCAAAGGACAATGGCATGGGGGTTTGATCCTACGTAATGTGATGGCTTTGTGGGAGCCCAGCCAGTTTGGATGTTCACCTTCCTAGATATGGACGGAGGTGGGAGGTCCTAGGTCTTACCACAGGGCAGAAAATCCTGACTGCTCTTTGGACTGGAGAGGGAGGGGGAAAGGAGTGGGGGGAGGGGGAGAAGGGTGGGAGGAGGGGGTGTAGGGGGAGGGAAATGGGAGGCTGGGAGGAGGTGGAAACAAAAAAAAAAAAAAAAAAGCTCAGGAACAGCTGCAACCATCTGTGATCCTACCTCTTGGGAGGCAGGCAAGTAGATCCTTAGAGTTCATTGATTAGCCTAGCAAAATCAGTGAGCTCTAGGTTTAAGAACACACCTTGTCTCAAAAAAATAAGATACTGATTAAAGACACCTGACTTCAACATCTGGCCTGCTTCCGCAAACACACACACACACACACACACACACACACACACACACACACACACACACCATGGCTGAATGTGAAGTTAGAAGTTAAGGAGAAAGAAATAAAAGGTTATAAGCAAACTTAGCAATTTCTAGTTCGTGGAAAACATTAGGCAAGTGACATTTTAATGGAATGAAGGAAAGAAATGCAGAAAGCAAATAGAGACAATATCACAAAGTCCAGCTGTTAAAGGAAAGAAGACAGTGAGACTAAAGAGAACCTCCTATCTCCAAGAACAGGAATATGTTTGAAACAGTAAAGGTCTGAAGTGGTTACGACACAATTCTGAAGGAGCACAGCATATCAAAGTTACTGAGAAAGAACAGATAAATAACCTGAGACAAAGGGAAAGTGTTATTCTATTTTAATAAGAGAAATAATGACAAGAGCATATGTGGGGAGATTTAAGTCTGATTGTCATGCTTGAATACTTGGTCCCCCATTAGAAAAGCGTGAGAAGGATTAGGCCATGCAGCCTATGGAGGAAGTCTGTCTTGGGGGGAGGGTTGTCATGCCTTTGCTCTGCCGTTATGGACTATAACCCTCTAAAACCATAAGCCCAAAATTAAACGCTGTCTTCTAAGTTGCCTTCATGGTTTCTTACCACAGCAATAGAAAAGTAACAGAGACATCAACTATTCTCTCCAAAAAGCAGAAGGCAGGTGAAGACAGCTAGAAAAAACGTGGACTTCAGAGGTCAAAGCAGAGAGGAATGAGCTGGCCAAGGAGATCAGGAGTGCCAAACAGTGCTACGCAGTACATTGAGACAGTACTTAGAAACTTACAAATGAAGCTGCTGCTCTGTGACATATGTATACATGCAAAAAAGTTAGCAACTTAGAAATGCTATAGATAAAATAGAAGAAAACACAACAGCAAAAGCTGTGTGGTATAAATTTACACCATGAGACAGGTGATTTCACTTAAGCCTTTTAAAGTCAGACAGGGTCAGTTATTCATGCAGCATTACATAAAAAGTGGCAGGTCAAGACTGGAAATTATTTCTCTACTCAGACCATATATACACATACATACATACATACACACGCAGATACATACATATGATGCTCAGTCCAGTAAGTAGCTTCAGTTTTAAAATCAATGATATCACTATAAAAAATAATACAACGTATCACATAAAAACCATCACAGAATTTCTAATATTTACCTGTAAGCTTATTCCTGTTTCTTCTTTACTTTTTTCACTCAAACTAGAAATAGTTGTACCTTGACTCCCTTCTTCAAATGTTGGACTTCTGTTTATTATAAGAACAGCTCTTTTAATGAGAATATACGAAGAGGTTATGAATATATTTATCCTACTCTTTAACAGAAAGAAACTAATTATGGTTGCAAAAAGAATGGTAATCCATTTTTACACAGAATATCACTTAGACCTGGAATTGAAAAGAAATTTGAGAAATTATATATAAAAACAATATTGTATAAATGGCAAAGCTATATGCCAAACATGCTTATTTATATAGAAACAGGCCTGTTTAAAATAGAGCAGAAGTTTCCCAATTTGATTCTAAATATTCTATCAGTAGTCTTACCTAAAGTTCAACTTGATAATTGCAGATATACATAATAAGACCACAAGACACATTTAACCTCCAGTAAACTGAGAAAACTTAAGACATTTGATGAAAGTAAGTTGGAGTCACTGAAACCTAAGATTATAAAAGTAATAAATAATGAGAGTAGAACTCAGATTTATCCACTCTAATTAAGCATTTAAATATATGGGTGTATAGTTTGGTGACTCATTTTCATATCATGACTTTTACTATGCCTATAATAATCCAATATATAAGTTAAATGCTCCTATGATAGTCCCTCTAATATCTTTCTAAAATATGTTCTGTATTATCTATACTATTTTCCTTCAAACTAGATAAAGTCATATTTTTGCTTTCTTCTTCCAATGTGGCACTTTCTTATCAACTACATTTACATATTTGATGGAGGAGGGAAATGATGTATATGTGTTACTTTTATTGGTTAATAAATAAACTGCCTTGGCCTTTGATAGGACAGAAGATTAGGTAGGCGGAGTAGACAGAACAGAATGCCGGGAAGAAGGCAGTGAGGCAGACGCCATGCCTCTCCTCTCCAGGCAGTTGCCATAGCTCTCCTCTCCAAGAATGGATGCAGGTTAAGATCTTACCAGTAAGCCACCACCTTGTGGTGCTACACAGATTATTAGATATGGGTTAATCAAGATGTGAGAGTTAGCCAGTAAGAAGATAGAGCTAATGGGCCAAGCAGTGTTTAAAAGAATAGTTTCCGTGTAATTATTTCAGGTAAAGCTAGCCGGGTGGCGGGAAGCAGCCCGCTGCTCCTATTACAACATATATTTTTTTTCGTCCCCCCCCCCCCCCCCAGACAGGGTTTCTCTGTGTAACCGCTCTCATTGTTCTGGAACTAGCTCTTATAGACCATGCTGGCCTCGAGTTCTCGGAGATCCATCTGTCTTTGCCTCCCAAGTGCTGGGATCAAAGGCATGCACCACCACCGCCCAGCTCAACTACACTTTTTTTTTTTAAGATTTATTTATTTATTGTGTATACAACATTCTGCCTCCATGTATGCCCACACGCTAGAAGAGGGCGCCAGATCTCATTACAGATGGTTGTGAGCCACCATGTGGTTGCTGGGAATTGAACTCATGACCTCTGGAAGAGCAGCTGGTTCTCTTAACCACTGAGCCATCTCTCCAGCCCTCAACTACACTTTTGTTAACTATACAAACTAGTACAATCACTTTAAGAAACAATTCAGCACTACCTTACTAAGTTTAAAAGAGATATTTTGATTGAGGAAGCCACTATGGGGTTAGCAAGAAACCTGGCTCTAGAAAAATTCCCAGGAATCCACAAGGATGACCCCAGCTAAGAGCCTAAGCAACAGAGGAGAGGGGCCCCGAACTGGCCTTGCCCTGTAGTCAGACTGATGATTATCTTAAATATCACCATAGAACCTTCATCCAACAACAGATGGAAACAGAGGCAAAGAACCACATCGGAGTACTGGACTGAGCTCCCAAGGTCCAGTTGAAGAGTGGGAGGAATGAGAATATGAGCAAGGAGGTCAAGACCATGAAGGGTTCATCCACTGAAACAGTTTACCTGAGTAAATGGGAGCTCACCAACTCCAGCTGGACTGGGAAGGAACAAGCATAGGACCAAACTAGTCTCTCTGAATGTGGTTGACAGTTGTATGGCTGGGGCAGACTGAGGAGTCACTGGCAGTGGCACTGGGATTTATCTCTACTGCGTGTACTGGCTTTTTGGGATCTTATTCTCTTTGGATGCATACCTTGCTCAGCCTAGATGTAGTAGGGAGGGCCTTTGATTTTCTACAAAGCAAAGTGCCTTACCCTGTCTTAGGATTAGAAGGGGGTGGGGGGGTGGGAGGGTGTGTGGAGGTATTGGGAGGAGAAGAGGGAGTGGGAATTTGGATTGGTTTTTTTTTTTTTTAAATCTAATAAAAAAAATTCTGGCTAAAGTGTCTTTTAAATGGAGAAATGGGGCAAAATAATCTTTACTATATAATTTTATTGAAACAATATTAATACAAATTTAAAAACCGAAATGTCAAAATCCATTACCTTTTCTCTTGTTCATCCATGCTTTTCTTATCTGAATAGACCTCTGCGTAGAGCAATGCTGTGAAGTGAGCAGCACAAGACTGAGCCACCTTTGCAACCTCCAGGTAATTCAAATCCAGCCAGAAAGCATCATCAAAAGCTGTTCCTGAAGAAGGCCTGAAGAGGAAGTAAACATGATCCCATGTCACTGCTAACACAAGAAGCACAATGGTACAGAACAGAGCTGAAAGCCACAATTCTCTAGTGTATGATTATAAACCATTCTGAGATAGCCCGGCTAAAGTCCAGTTCTCAATGGTCTTGACTCATAAACCTCTCAGAGAATCTGTAGAGAACTACCAATTATCACGCCATACAAATCTGGGCTCTGCACCCACACTTTACATCATCAGTTGCAAAGGACAGCTTCATAACCACTTTCAGTATGAAAACATGGTTTCTTCTCAGACAGGAAAAATAAACTGTGATAGGCTAATTCTAATTGACTACTTGATGGAATTTAGAAAGACCGTGGATACAAACTTCTGGGCATGTCTTTCACAGATTTCTAGAAGACCCACCCTGAATGTGGGTAGCACCATTTCATGAGCTCAGATCCTGCACTAACTAAAAAGCTGAGCTCCAGCATCAATGACTCTCTGCTTCCTAAAGATGAAGAAAAAGCTATCAACTGCCTCCTGTTTTTGCCACCGTGCCTTCCCCAACACAGTCAAACATACATCTCAAACTAAAAGTCACAATCAACCCTTCCTTCCTTTCCTTAAGCTACTTTCATAGGGTATTTTGTCACAGTGATGGGAAAAGTAATATACATGTCTTTTCTGTTGTAATGATTTGCTCCTATTATCCAACACTGAACTACTTAATTAAAAAAAATGTCCACTGTGATATGACAGATCAGAACTGAAAACTAGAGATATTATCTTTTTCAAAGGTAAAATTATAGCCATAAGACAACATAGCGGTTAAGGGTACTGGCTATGGAGTAGTATACAGCTAAGTACAAAGCTAGTTTTACCACCTGCTCCTAGCTGTATCATCTGTAGCAACTTAAGTTAGTCATTTTGAGTCCTATCTGTAAAAACCAGAACAGCACAAACAACATTTTCTACATAGTCAGCACTTCAGTATAATAATTACTTCTGAGGAAACTCGAGTTCAGAAAAATCAAAGTTGCCCACCGAAAAGAACTGTACATTTATTGAATGCTAGGTATATTACATACATTGTCAATGTTGCTTACCATACATCTCTATCCTTAAAGTAGATGTTTTTTTAAAATATTTATTTATTATGTATACAATATTCTGTCTATGTGTATGCCTGAAGGCCAAAAGAGGGCACCAGACCTCATTACAGAGAGTTGTGAGCCACCATGTGGTTGCTGGGAATTGAACTCAGGATCTTTGAAAGAGCAGGCAATGTTCTTAACCGCTGAGCCATCTCTCCAGCCCCTAAAGTAGATCTTATACTCATATTTATTTGGGGCAGGGCTCACAGTCCTAGCTATCCTGGAATGCATAGAGATCCCCCTTTCTCTGCCTGGGATTAAGGGTATGCATCAAGATGCCTGTGTCCTTATCCTGATTTTTTAAGAATGAGAAGATATCAGGTAACACGGTCAGATCACACAGCTTTTAACAAAGCACTTAAGTCCTGCCCTAGTCACATCTTCTTGAGTAATTTTTTAAAAAGGTTGTTTTCTTTTTCAAGACTTGATCTTTCTGTGTAGCCATGGCTGTGCTGGAATTCACTATGTAGACAGGTTGACCTGGAACTGGGAGATCGACCTGCCTCTGCCTCCTGAGTTATGGGAAACATGGTACCACCACACCAGACCTCCAGGTTTTAATAACAATAAAAAAGTAAAATTTTTTTGTATGGAGATAGTGTCTTTGTTTTGTAATTCTAGGTTGACTTTAAACTCACTAGCTGAGGCTGGACTCAAATCACAATCCTTTTCCTGAGCCTCCTAAATTCTAGGATTACAGATGTGCACCACTACGCCCAACTCAAGAATTTCTGTCTTGTACAATTACTATGTGTCAACTAAACACAAAAAAGTGAATTTTTAGATGTGTGTATATCTATAGCACGTGTATGTCCATCATGTGCTACTGTGCACATGTAGAGGTCAGAAAACCATTTTGGATGTCGGTCCATGTCATCATCCTGTTTAAGACAAGGTTTCCCTTGTTGTCCAGAATGCATAAACTAGGTTTGTTAGCTAGCCCACACGCTTCTGGGCATTCTCCTGTGTCACCTTTTATGGTTGTGGGATTAGATGCATGGTCAACTGCACCACTGGGATCCAGGATCAGGCCATGAGGCTTGTGCAGCATGTAAGATTTACATAGTCAGCATTCCACTCACTAACCATCTTCCCATCCCTAAAAATAGTCTCTAAAAAAGATTTACCTTCTCTATCTTGCCAACATCATCATTCTACCTCATTAAGCCTGAAATAAATGGCTCTAAGATTAAACTACCTCCCATACCAGAAAAGGGCACTCGCAGCTACAAGTGAAGTGCTTTCTCAGAGGAGGATATGGCATAAAACAAGATAAATTACAAACTTTGTAGTCACAAAAAGACATTAAAAAGAAAAAAGGAAAAAAAAAACCCACAAAAAAACCCAAGCCTGTTAGTGAGATGGAATGTCATGAAAGGCATGTATCTTTTACAACTGTGCTAACAATGACTTTGTGGTACTTTTTGGCTCCTGACTGCCAAGATACCATTCTACCCGAGCTGCAATGCTTACACTAGGCAGAGAGGGAGTAACAGATGCTAGTGAGACATAGAATGAGTTAGATGCACAGAATTGGGTAGAGGTAAAAGCAATGTGGCAGAACATATTTAAAAACAAGCCTAAGCCAAAAGTCTAGCTTTTGTAATTAATAATAAACCTTTGTGTCGTTATTTGGGAGCTGGATGGTGGGACAGAAAAAGACTCATTACACATCTGAAGAGGTGAAAGCGGTCAGAAGGCTGAGGTGGGTGGCTTGATTGCTATCCAGAGCCATGGTGATTTCTAGGCCTAGGCTGCTGCCAGGACCCATGTCTGGGTTCATGGCCCTGATGCAGCCTCAGTCTGTGCTGATGTTGGTGGATCTTGATACCACAGAAGGCCTAGAGGATAGGGCTATAAAGAGTTGACCCCCACCTTCCCGACTCGTTGCAACACTAGAGAGAACTGGTCCTACCCCTCACTGGCTAAAGCACTCAGGAGAGAGTTCAACACCCTGGTCAACACAGTAGAGCTAGCCCTGATGATGTAGGTGTGGGAGAGTGGACCCTAAGACTGTGAAAACAGAACTGGCCCCACCCACTGCTCATAACTGCAAGGGGTGAACCAGGCAAGGCAATGTTGGAGAACTCACCTTGGTGGTGAAGAAAGCTGGCAGGTTGACCAACCCTGCAAATACCCAGGCCCAGAAGTAGCATTATGAGTTGGCCCACCCTATCTATGATCTGTTGGCGCACAGACCCAAAGCTGAAGGATCTCTACAACACAAGGCAACAGCAGGATAATCAAGAAAAGTCCTAGTGAGGGCCCAGCATTGAAACTGTACAAGAAACCAGAGGCCTTGAAACAGACCAATGATTCTTTGCAATGAACACTTGCAGTAAAGATATAGGAATAAAAGGGTTTACTACGTGACTCACTGTGTCACACTACAGCTTCCATGACGAGACTAATTTTTCCTTTTTTCTCTTAAATTTTTCTATTTGAAGCCGGGCGATGGTGGCGCACGCCTTTAATCCCAGCACTCGGGAGGCAGAGGTAGGCGGATCTCTGTGAGTTCGAGACCAGCCTGGTCTAGAGAGCTAGTTCCAGGACAGGCTCCAAAGCCACAGAGAAACCCTGTCTCGAAAAAACAAAAAAAAACAAAACAAAAAAAAATTTTCTATTTGAGGGGGAAAGGTTGCAAGGGCAGAAGGTGGCCACGAAGGAATGGAGAAATGAATAGGTTGGAGATGCATGATGTGAAAAACACAAAGAATAAAAAGAAAGTTAAAAATAACAATAGAACAAAGACACTATATTGCAAAGTAACTTACCTAAATCAATTCTGTCATATCACAAAAATTCTAGAGATTTTCATCGTAAGTATGGCACACAGCAACAAAAGCTTTACCTTATAACACAGATGATAAAGGAGACATCTGACTCTAGGTACTCTAAGAACTATTTAATGAGCAGCAGCAGCAGTACTGAGAACAATCTGGGAAAACAATATACTTCTTTCTCACATTCACTAGAGCATGACTTAGCCACAGCAGTATGCCTGCTGGACAACTGGTACAAGAACCGACAGTTCCCCACACTTGACCTAAGTGTTGTGCTGCATACAGATTACTAAAATATAGAAGTATCGTACCCATTAATTTTAGCAGTCTGAAGCAGTTGCAAATAAAACAATCAAGCTAAAATGTAGCCAGAAAAAAGGTACAGTGCTCAGTTCCCAACCTGAGAAACAACTGTTACCATATTACCTCTTCTGCCTTCTCAAATAGTCGACAACAGCAAGCATTGTTCTTTGTGACTTTTTATCCAAACAGCATCGGAGAAAGTGCTCTGGCTCTAAAAGAAATAGAAATAGCTCTTCTAAATCTCAGAGTGATATAAAAGTACTTTCTTGTCTGTGTCCTTCTCCTTCTACACTGATAGGTGGTTACCCAAAACAAAAATGCTTCTTAATAAATTTAAACCAATTTAATTTAGCGCCCTTCCTTTTATTTCAAAAGAAACAATATGTATAGCATAAACAAGAACTGATGGTGCCGATTGTAATTTGTTTCTGAAACAGTACCTACTGGCTTGAGATGTCATATGTGCTGGGTGCTTAGTACATTCACAACCATGAACAAATCAAGACTGTTTCTGCACACAGAACTCACTGGTTAGCCTGGAGGCTCTTAATATGGTGTGACAAGAGGAGTGAGAGAAAGGTTGAGATTGCTGTAGAATTTATGTGAGAGTGACCTCACCTGGACTAAGAAAAGCTTGAAGGAGAAAGTAACATCTGAAGCCAAAATACTGGTCAGTGGGGGAAGGGAAAGGATGGAGTGCCAGGGAAAGTCAGCAGAGTCCAATGGGGTGAGTGCAGCTCAGTTGGAAGGAATGTTGTGCTAGCCTGCACGAAGCCCTGGGCTCGATCTCCAGAACTGTATAAACTGGGTGTCATGGCAAGTGCCTCTAATACCAACACTTGAGAGGTAAAGACAGGAGAATTAGAAGTTCAAAGTCTTCCACTGCTATATGAGGAGAATTTGAGTTGCTGTCTCAAAAAACTAAATGCTAAAAAAATGTGTACCTGAGACGGCTAGTAGTAAGTAGAGTTCAGAAGGTAGTGAGGGCATCTCAACTTTCTGAATCAGAGCTAGACAGCAGAAAGAATGATGGTGACTGAGCAAACAGAATTGGCCAGATTAGGTACGCAGAGGGTGAGAAGGGTCTCCATGTGGGCAGCAAAGAACCATTAATTTTTATTTACATAACTGAGTTTGAGATTCATGTGATACATTCAAGTAAAGGTGTGAGACTTCCAGACACCAGAAACAGATACAGCATTTAAGATTTATAGGAATCTACATTTATTGCCATTTCAATAATAGTTTTATATATGTAAAGTCCAAAATTTCATCTAAGGTAATAAAAATATTAGCTCTCTATTAGCCCTCTCTAGAGACAAAACTAGATAATTTTGCTATTAAGTGATCAAAGTATAAACATAAGTGGTAAAATTGTTTAAAAAATACTTAAGATCGAGGCCACCCTGGTCTACAAGAGCTAGTTCCAGGACAGGAACCAAAAGCTACAGAGAAACCCTGTCTCAAAAAATAAAAAAAAACCCAAAACTTAAGATAAACTTCAAATTATTACTTATACCTATGGATCACATATTTTTTCCCTAAGTAAATATAGGTGATATATTGTAGACCGCTAACAAAGTCTCATCAAGAGTTTTTATTTTAGATTTTTTACATTATCTTAAATTATTTTTTTAAAATAGACTTAATTACAATAGTTATTGTACATGTGGGCACTGAGGCAGGGAGCTCGTATGGAGATCAGAGGAGAGACGCTTGTGCAGGTTGGTTTCCTCCTTCCACTATGTGGGTTTCTCAAGACTAAACTCAGGTCATCAGTTTTTGGTGGCAAGGAACCTTACCCATTAAAACCATCACATCAACCCATACTTTAGGATTTTTAATTCAGCAATTCCCCCAAAATTTCATTAAGCATATTCCAGATCATTTTGATGAACAACTTCTAGTCTAATAAGATCAAAGGTGGGGCAGCCATGTCTGTGTTGATATTTGTATGTTCTTTCGGACAGGTTGTTACTTTTGAATTTAACTGAAATCATACATATTAATGAGATGCCATTTGATTTTTCACTATAAGTATGTATTCTATAATGTTTTAGTGAGGTTAAATCAGGATTATATCTATCTCCTCAAAAATTTAAGTATAGCTGGTGGGAATGCAAGCTGGTACAACCCCTTTGGATGTCAGTGTGGCGATTTCTCAGAAAATTAGGAAACAACCTTCCTCAAGACCCAGTAATACCACTTTTGGGTACATATCCAAAGGATGCTTAATTGTGCCACAAGGACATGTGCTCAACTATGTTCATAGCAGCATTGTCATAGCCAGAACCTGGAAACAACCTAAATGCCCCTCAACCAAAGAATGGATAAGGAAAATGTGGTATATTTGCACAATGGAGTACTAGACAGCAGAAAAAAATAACATCTTGAATTTTGCAGGAAAATGGATGGAGGTAGAAAACATCATTTATAGTGAGGTAACCCAGACACAGAAAGACAATTATCACATGTACTCACTCATAGGTGGTTTTTAAACATAAAGCAAAGAAGGCCAGCCTATAAACCATAATCTCAGAGAACTTAGACAACAATGAGGACACTAACAGAGACTTACATAGATCTAGTCTACATGGGAAGTAGAAAGTGGATAAAGACAAGATCTCCTGGGTAAATTGGGAGCATGGGGACCTTGAGGGAGGGCTAAAGGGGGGAGGGGAGAGGCAGGGAGGGGAGCAGAGAAAAATGTAGAGCTCAATAAATATCAATAAAAATATTTATGACAAAAAATAAATATAAAAAAATTAAGTACAATAAAAACATAGTAACTATTCTTCAGTGTGTTTTAGGAAGATTTTTTTAAATGTATATGTAGGTATATGCACATGAAGACAAGTGCCCATGGAAGAAAGAGGTGTCAGGTCCCCATGGAGCTGGAGTTACAGGTAAGCTACCCAATGTGGTGTTGAGAATCAAACTCAGGTGATGTACTTTCCAACAAACCAAAAGGTTTTTATATGCAATCATTATCATTATCAACTGTCACCCTACTTTGCAGCAGAACATCAGATCTTATGTACATGTGAATCCAAATGTAGATATCTTAGATTATATGATTATGGGCAATTTAATTTTTTTTCTTTTTGGATAATGTATTTTTTAAAAAACTTATAGAACCTTTATTGTCTACAAAAATACGCCTGATGTAGAGGTCTAAAAATATAAAAATTCCATCATACCTCTACCATGGTACCAAACATGTGGATAAGTTTACGTTTTTATCTAAAATGGGAGCTCTGTTGTTACAAACATTACAAGCACAATGCCAGACATACAGAATGCACAGTAAGCTGCCCTGTTATTTACTGAACCATCTTTCTCTAAGGCTGAGAAGTTTACAGTATAAACATTAACAACTGAACAGCATACCTGAATCCGAACTTGCAGGAGTTGCTGATCGGCTTGCCTGTGAGAAGTGTTTAAAACAGCTAGTGAAAAATCCTCGGACATGTGTAGACAGCAGAGTCCGCCAAGATTCATGTGTATCTTGGAGTAAGACATCATGGATCAAGTATGGCAGCACAGCCTGGCAGAAGTCAGGTTTCACCTAGAACACAGTACACACCCACACAACTGCTTAGAGTAACACAATTCACTTAAAATGTTTACCCCATTGCTGACATATGAAAAATTTAAAAATACTACGTTGGTCTGCCATGAACTCAAGATAGTACTAAACACCAACCACCATCGCCAAAATTGTGTATCAAGTAGTGTTTAAAGAATAAATAAACAAACAGTAATACCAAGTATGGTATCTCAGGACTTGAGAGATGGTGATAAGGAACAGGAGTTTAAAGTCATCATTGGTTACACATGGAGACCCTATCTCAAAATGAAACAATAACCAACCAACAAAACACCAGCAGTGACCCTGGTCCTAATGCACTAGAGGCACATAGTCTCCCGGTGAGCCACAGCCTTTGTCCCCAAACATTTTTAGCTCTTTGAATTGGTTCATATACTTACTATTTGCTGAAATCAACTGTACCAGACCTTCCAATGTAAAACTCTACCGCTACCTAACTTTCTTCACTCAGAAAGCATGCTGAAGAATGCCAATTGACAGCAAACAGGAGCTGACTTTCAGTAATACAAAAAATTTATAATCACCATTGTTTAACATGTCATTACTAATTTATTCTAGTACTTTGTAAAATTTAACTAGTATGTTGTCATCTCAAAACTAAAGTGTGGCAAAGCAGTAGTGGCACATGTCCATAATCCCAGCACTTAGGAGGCAGAGGCAGGCAGGTCTCAGTGAGTTTGAGGCCACCTGGTCTACAAAGGACAGTCAGAACAGTTACATAGAGAAACCCTGTCTCAAAAAACCAAAACCAAACAAACAAAAAAACTAAAGTCTGCCATGTAGTTCTGGCTAACCAAAGATACCTACTTCAATGGATTTATAGCAACTAAATGTGGATTACACTGCAGGCAGATGATATACTCATCACTTAGTATTCTTTTCAAATATACAAATCACGATCAAATACACAGAAATTAAATAGAATGGGAAAAGCAAAGAAGAACAAAACCACAGGCTCTAAATAAGATTAATTAATCCTCTTACCTCACACATTGGCTTTAATAACTGAAGAATTTCACTTTTTATGCCTCCACTGTCCAAAAAGGCACATGTCAGAGTCTTTATCCAAATGTCATGACTTTCACTTTGAGGAACCCACAGATTCACATCATCCAGGCCTTCTAAGATATCTTCTCTAACAAACTGGGGTACTTCTAAAAACTAGAAGCAGAAAATCATTTCCTTGTCAAATCTGTTTCCAATAAAACTAAGTACACTTAGACTACACCTAGGGCCGCCATATGGTTCAGCAAGTAAAGGCACTTGCCATCAACCCTCACTGACCTAAGTCTGATCCCCAGAACCTACATGGTGTGAGGAGGGAACTGACTCTGGCACATGTCTACACGTATAAACACACAAAAGAGAAAATAAATGCTTAATAAAAGGAGTAAATCTGAATAGAATTATTTGCCTTTTAAAAGTTAAACAGATTAGACTAGGAATGGTGGTTCAGGCTGCAGTCTCAACTATTCAGGAGCTGAAGTAGGAGGATTTTAAGTTCAAAGCCTGCTTGGTATCTTAGTGAAATCCTGTCTTAAAATAAAAGTAAAACAGAGTTGGGATATAAGTCAAGTACAAGGCCCTAAGATCCAATCCCTGCTCCAAAAATAAATGAGAGGGAAGGGGGAGCACACATGTGAGATGGGGGGGTTTAAACTAGGGAGTGAAGCAGTAACAATATTACTGCAGGAGTGAGAAACCCAAGTTCTACTGTTAGCTCCGTCACTCGCTGGTAGTGTATTATACAACTCACACTCTGCCTTATCTGGCTCAGCTACAAAACTGGTTCAAATTTACCATAAAAAAATGATTTCAAAATGAGATTTTTACATGTTAAAAATACTTTACACTAAGCTATATTAGTAACTTCATTAACAGTTCTTACTAATTTTACTAAGAGTCAAACTATGATGCATTAAAATTACTACTTTAATGATGGGCATTTCTATTGAACTTAAGCAGGAAAAAAGCAATTGCATATTGCTATCACTTTCTGAAAAGAGGAATGCTTAGTAACAAGAGATGCAAAAGCTCTTAACATTATTGCAGACTGCGTTCAGCAGAATTGTTATGACATCAACATACAAGGAGGATGCTTACAGTCCTCTTATATTTATCCCAGTTGTGCTAAGCAGTAAATGCTTGTTGGCTGATCACAACATCTAAAATCATCCGGGATTGATGGTGCATGGGATCAAATGGTTTGCTATACCAAAAAAGAATTTCCCTCAGCACCAAATTACCACTTCTCTAGGTTATCTATTTCAATGTTTCTATCCTGCCCTAGTGAAAAATAACAAGTTCCTTAAGTTCAAAAATGTACAGTATGAATTTTTCTAGAGAACAGTATATTAGCACATAACTATTTTAAGCAATTTGGTATCTATAGTACAAAACAAATGTAATCATTCTACAAATAATAGGTACTCAACAAACACTTATTATTTAAGGGACCTTCTTCCTTGATGTTCTAAAAGGCTGTAGGTAGATCAGCATGGGATCTTCGGAAGTCTTATAAGCCTCCCAGAAACTGTGTCCAGTCTTTGTAGCCAAAATGTTTTTCAAACAGGTAGCAGCAGCTGATCGAACTTTGACACTGAAAAACATCACAATTAATTTATCAATTTGGAATGTTATGCAAATTCAACTGGAAAATTTTAAAACTAAAATTTAAAGTATTAGAAACTTCCTATCTATAAAACTCTGTACCACTGAAGAAAAAAGCCAAAGATTTTTAAAATATTCCCTCAGTAAACATGAGTTACTGATCACTTCAGCAGCAATTCTCTTCATTCTATACAATAATGACTATGTTACAATGATCATAATTTAAAGAATTCTTAAGGGGAATTACTTGGAAAAACATAGTATCATAAATATGATGAATTCACCTAAGAAAACATATTGACAGTATTTTCTCTAGTAATACAAATTATTTTTGAGGTGAAGTACAATGATATCTAACTCCAAATGATAAAATTATTGCAAATATATATATTTTGAAGGTACATACTCATTCTGACAAAGCAGTTAGTTGAAAATCATTAGCACTTAAAATTTCTAGAAAAAAAGTAAAATTTCTTCTTTTAAAACAAAACACCCTAGGAGATAGAGGGCTACAACAGTCCTGAAAATATGGCAACTGACAAGACAAAAAAAAAGAAAAGCTACCAGGCCCTGAAATTAGAATAATGACAAGTTAACAAAGAAGATTTAATTCTGTTCAGGTATGCTTTGCTAATTACCCAGAAGATGACCTATAAACCTGGATTCATTCCTCATTAAATCCAATTGACTCTGTTAAAAACATATCCTGCTTCCATCCATGCCCCTCATGTTCATTATTGGTCTCCTAACTCCCTAACTCATATGATAATTTTTTCTCCTCTGTACTATAGCAATAATTTCACAACCAATTCCTGTTTAGTCACTGTACTGATTTTTGTTTTTGGACAACTTGACACATCTAGAGTTATCTGAGGTGATGCCTCCATCAGACTGGCCTGTAGAGAAGTCTGGGGACGTTTTCTTAATTAGTGGTTAGGACCCAGGCCACTGAGGGCAGTGCTACACCTGGACAGGTGATCCTAACAGATATAAGAAATGTAGCTGACCTAGAGAGCAAACTGGTATGTAGCATTCATTTATCCATGGGCTCTGCTCTAGTTCCTGGTCTTCTTCTTCTTCCTTTTTTTTTTTTTTTTTTTTTGGTGGCTTTTTTGAGACGAGATGGGGGTTCCTCTCTGTGTAGCCTAAGCTGTGTTGAAACTAGTTCTGGTCATCTCTTAAAAGTATATATGTTTGTTGGCTTTATTCTTCTGCCTATCCTCTTATAATCTACCATGTTTCCATTACAGAGTTAATGAACCTTTACTTTTTTCGTTATCGCTGTTTTTGTTATATTAAACTGGCTGGCATGGATTCTTTCCTAACATTTTATTTTATTTTATTTTATTTATTTATTTTTTTTTTGGTTTTTCGAGACAGGGTTTCTCTGTGGTTTTAGAGCCTGTCCTGGAACTAGCTCTTGTAGACCAGGCTGGTCTCGAACTCAAAAAGATCTGCCTGTCTCTGCCTCCCAAGTGCTGGTATTAAAGGTGTGCGCCACCACTGCCCGGCCTAACATTTTATTATATAAATTTTCATATATACAGTAAAGGTGAAAAAAATTTACAGGGAATATCTGTATGCTTACTGTGTAAATTTTTGCATTGACATTTTTCGTCCATTAACATTTTACTGCTATCTTTTTTTAAAATCATGTTCCCTAACTTTCCTACCATTGTCAATCCTCTGAACTGAGCCTCCCACAATGGTAATGATGGGGTGGACAAATAAACCAGTTAAGTCAATGACTAAATAATGAGAGAGCTGGGAATATGGCTCAGTGATGCCTCGATGTAAGGCCCTGGATTTAGTCCCCATTATTGCAAACAATTAAAAATAACAGTACAATAAATAAGAAGTTAATAAATAATGAAAGGAAAGTAATCCGACAATCAACAAGCTAAAATAGTGACTGTATCTTAAAATTTTGTTTTGAACAAGGAATAAAATAGTAATAGAAAATTCTATTATTTCAAAGTTTTGGTGGTTAGAAAGCTTTTGCTCCATGGATTATTCTAAAAGATTCAAAATAAAGATTAGCTTGGAGGAACATAGCACCCTGGTTTTAAAAATCACAAAATATATTACTTTTTACATCCCTGTGTTTAAATTTGTAAGGGTGAAGGTGCATGACACCATGCTTGTAGCAGTCAGAAGACAACTTCCAGGACAAGGCTCTGTCCCTTTACCATGACTTCTGGGGATCAAACTCAGGTTGTCAAGTTTGATGGCAGGTGCATTTTAGCTGTTGAACCATCCCACCAGCCTACCTACACTCATGATTTACATTGTCTGTGTGGAACCACCTGGCAGTTTACTTCTTTATCCTTTGTCTAACTTAGTCTCACGAGATTTAAAACAGACCTTACTCTTCATCACCATCAAGTATCAGGAACAGAGGGTATTCAATCACACAAATTAATAAAGAAACTTAATAAAAAAAACATACAAGATTTTTTTAACGTAAGAACTTGAAAGTCGAGAGTAAAGAAATGTCTTAGTGGTTAAGAGCACTCATTGCTCTTGTAGAGGACCTGGGTTAGATGCCCAGCATCCACATGGTGTTTCACAATCACCCAACTCCAGTCCAGGGTATCCAATACCCTCTTCTGAGTTCCGTGGGCATCAGGCATGCATGTACATACACACGCAGGCCAAACATTCATGCACATAAAGGAAATATAAAAAACTTAAAAAAGAAAGAGAGAGAAACAGAAAGAAAGGAAGGGAGGGAAGAGGGAAGAAGGAACCAAGGAAGAACTTGCAAGGCGAAGTGGTAAGTGAAGCATTAGCATAATCTTCCTGAGAGCCAGATTTGGTTTCAGTTTCTATAATTGAATGCAAGGTGTGTAAGTACTCACCTGTCTTCTACCAGTGTATTGTTCAGGGCAGTTAGCATTATCAAAGTCCACTGAAGTTCTTTATCTTCGGGTAACCCAAGGGCTTTGGTATACGATGTATCTTTATTATGCTGTACAGCTATAGTAGAGAAATCCAGAGGACCTATTTCTCCCAAACACCTTCCAACAGCCTCTACATATAAAAACTTAATTTTAGTACAGCCATAAGTAGAAGGGTATACAACACTTCCAATTTAAAAAGTATTAACACCATTTTGTCATGCTTCAAAGATTTCAGTGTCTTCCAACATTACAACACATCAATGTTGTAATATATATTTTTTCTCAGAGGTGACAGAAAATAAGTTAACAATTATAATAACAGAATATTAAAAGCACAAGTATTAACATGGCTGACACCGTATAAAGTGTCAACCTTAAAACATTAAAAAAAGGAAATCCCGGGTATCACACATATATTATTCATAAATCTTAAACATCTAATTCAGTGAAAATGCCATCTATAATCACAGGCATTGCTTCCTTTCCACTTTGCACACTTTTCAGTTCTTTTCCTTGCTTGGCACTCTGGTTAGAACTTCAATGTAGTGCCGAATACAAGCAGTAAAGGTAAAAAATACTTTTCTAATTCCTGATGTTAGAGGAAAGATTTCAGTCTATTACCACTAAATGAGGCACAAAACAGGATTCTTCTTGTGTCACACAAGAAAGCTACGTTGGGCTCCTGGAGCAAAGCAGCTTTATGTCCAGAAGCAGGAAAATGAACAAAGATGTTAATTTTGGGGGCAGGGGAGACTCAAGGGTTCTGGTAAGGTTCAATTCCTGGATCTGGGTGGCAGATGCACAGGTATTCTTTGATTGTATACTTTAAACTAGGTACATTTGGTCTGTATTCATGTTTATATGAAAGATACATTTCAATAAAAACCAAACTAAAAGCAAGTATGCTAGATAACAGGCTCCAGTGGGAACTGAGAAAGTGCACCAACAGCTCTTACACTCCCCATTCTCAGTAAGGCACCACTGCCATGCCAGCTTCCAGCCAATGTTAATCATGTGACTTTCCATTCTAAAACCACCAAATCTAAATACCTATACTCAAGGAAAAATCTAAATGGTATTTTAAAAGATATGAGTTTAACCATTCTTCAGAAGCGTTGTTCCTATTTGCTATGTACAAAATAGACCAGTATATAAAGACCAGTAAGCCATATTTATAAAATATCTCATAAGTTTACTGAGCAGAGATTTATGATATTCCTACATCTTTATAAGGTGTTTTAAAATTAACATTTATACACTATTAATGATTATTGCTAACTTTATCTTATAAGCACATCTAAGGAATATGAAAGGTGGGTATCTAGAGTTACCTGCAGAAACATAACTTAGCAAACCACCCTTATTTCTCCAGTAAATCAAACAACAAGCTTACACTTACTATGACCATACTAAAGAAGACCATTCACTTAATCATTACCTAAAACTTCTCTTTCACCAGTCTGGTTCACTGCCATCTTGGATAGCTGCAACAAGTTGACAACCAGCTTCACCACAATGCCATCCTGTGGGTTATCTAGAAATAGTTTAGAGAAAAGATCTCCAATTTCCATAAGGGCAATATATATATTTTTTTCAACACATATGCCCAATCTTAAATCATAAATGGATTTTAAAAATACAGAGAGAATTCTGAAATATTGCCACATGAAAATGATTAGCAAAATTTACCAAGCAGACAGAGAAAGAGCTTGAACAAGCTAAACAGCAAAGTTAATACCTTACCAAAGTCACAAATGACGAGAAAAATAAGAACCATTAAACACAAAAGCTAGCAGGGACCTTGCTTAGTCTGTTACCATACAGTATTCAGAACTTAGCACACACTATACAGTGGCCTCTCTGCAATGATGTGAATATAAATGACAATGGTGGCAATCTGACCAAGAAGAATATACAAAAGGATATCTGAAGAAGAAACAGGAAGAAAAAAATTCATAATGCTAAAATTAATACCCGGAAGCAGCTGTAGAGCTGGCTCATCTGTTAAGAGCAATTGCTGCTCTTGCAGAGGATCCAGGTTCAGTCACATATATGATCCGGGTTCAGCACATATATGACAGCTTACAACCATGTTTTAACTCAAATTCCAGAAGAGTCCAATACTTTCTTCTGGTCTCCATAGGCACTTAAAGTTATGTGGTGCACATATATACATGCAAGCAAAACACCCATTCACATAAAAATAAATAGTACCCTGAGATGCTCTCATAAGATCTAGTATCTCATCTTTATGTTGTTCCAGTTGTCTTCGAAGATCCTTCAATCCTTCAAGCCTGGTCAGTGGAAGTGGATTGTAAGCACTCACAGAAAGAAAATGGTTAATTTCCTAAAAGACAAAATCAAATTAGTATTAGTTGAGTATGTACTGGCTAAGTGTGAAAAATAAAACAAAAAAAGAAAAAATAATAAGCAGTGTCTTTATAGACACTGAAATACAAAACAACACATTCCTTCTTCCACTTTAGTTCTGACAATGTTTTAAGGTAGATAAGAGTCTCTTATCTACATTAGATGTCAAAACAACAGACTCTAAGACTACCACAGCAAGCAGTTCAATTTTTATTTATTTACTAGTATAACTTGAATTTTATATCTGAATGCATTAAATGTTTAGAGATTTATAGTCTAATACAATGATTTTAAATTATAACATTTAAAAGAATACAGACATAACTAAAATTTATAAAAGATTAACGTGCTAAATATCATCACTAATATAAACATTATTTATTTATTATATATACAATATTCTTTCTGTGTGTATGTCTACAGGCCAGAAGAGGGCACCAGACCTCATTACAGATGGTTGTGAGCCACCATGTGGTTGCCGGGAATTGAACTCAGGACCTTTGGAAGAGCAGGCAATGCTCTTAACCACTGAGCCATCTCTCCAGGCCCCTAATATAAACATTATTAATCCTTAAAGAAAAGGGCAACAATTTTCAAATATTAATGAACCATAGGACCTTATTGTATGAAAATTAATAATATTTTGTATCATATTCTTTGAATATTCAAATTCATCTTAGTCAGAGCTTTGATATCCAGACATTAAATGCAATGCAAAAAGATGCATAAAGATCTGTTTTGAGGGGCTGAAGAGAACACCGGTGGTTAAAAGACATGGTTGCTCTTACAGGGGACCTGTGTTCAGTTACCAGAACACATGTCAGGTGGCTCAGAATTATCTGTAACTTCGGCAGCAGGGGAATCTGAAAACTTCTTCTGACTTCCTTGAGTACATGTACATATAAGGTATACACACAGACATACAAATTTAGAATATATATGTATATTTTAAAATATTTAGGTTTTATTTAAGAAGGTAAATCTCATGCATTATTTTTACTACAACATAAAGTTTTCTGTCTTTATCAACAGAGCATTAAAGGTTTATAAAAATACTACTGCCTATATTGTATAATACAAAGTTATAAATAAAACTTTTATTACTTCTAAGAGTGAAAAAGGTCCTCCACTATATTTGATTTTCTGCTGAGTAAGCCGCAAATTCTTAAAAACAACATGGTCAGGAAAAGGATCCAAAAGTTTAATCGTGACAAAGAGGTTTTCATTGTCCTTGTTATCTATCACCAAGTACTTCAACAGTTCCAATACCTAAATAATAACCAAAGGGGGGGGGCATTAATTATATTCAGAGAATTAAAGCCCATTAATTATATTCAGAGAGTTAAACAAACAAACCTCTGCTAACCTAGAAATGAACTAATGGTATGTGTGGTACCCAGCTATTGGTGTGCATAGATTCAAAAACTAAAATACGTACAGTGCTACACACAGCGGGTGTAACAAATAACAGGGTTAACTGAACATTTTATATGGGATCTCACAAGCCATAATTGTGGGAACTGCTAGTTTTACTTTGGACTACTACATTTCAGTGTAATAGATAAAACTAAAAGGTTTATTAGATCAAAATTACCATTGGTTAGGTAACTGATTTCAAAGATTAATTTACTAATATTGTCTTCCCCACCATTTATCAAAAGAACATTCGCATTAAAACTACACCAGGCAAACTAACAGCATTCAATTCCTAAGAGTTCATTTATCTCAAATACCCCTCTGTAGATCAACTGGTAAATTACCTGTTCTCGAACCTCCGGATAATCCACAAGTGGTATAAGTGTGCCAACAATGACATGAAGATGGTTTTCTAGGGCATCCTTACAGTGAGTTACAGCTGTATGGCAAACTCGACTTAACAGATTACAACAAAGGGAAAAGCTATGCTTTGATACATCCGTGAAATGAGAAGGCCTAACAGGAAAAAAATTAAGAAAAAAATATCAAGGTCTAAGAAACTACTCTGAAATAATACTCAAATCATTTTTAGTCAATGTCTCTAATTCTGACATGGCTTGACAAAGTCACTTTTATAACTAATACTTCAATGGTTACAATTCAGAAAAAAAAAGCATGTCAGAAAGATACACAATATACAATCCTATTAGAACTACCGGAAAACAAGAAAACTGCAAAATTCATTCAAGTAAGAGATCCAGGAATCACTGCAAGCCAGCAAGCACTGAAGGACAGTCGTAGCAGTCATTTTTGTAAACAAAAGTCTTTACTCTTTCTCTCATGTGTACCCTATCCCCAGTACTTGTGACAGTGCTCCTGATAATAACCGCTGAAAACCCAAAAGAAGGAAAAGAAAGCCAGGCTGCATTGAATACTTACAGCAAGAAAACCATAAGAGAAGAGCTGGTGTTCAGTAAAAATAAAATAAGATAAGAAGGAAGGGAGGAAGGAAAGGAAGGGAGGAGGAAAGAAAAAAGAAGAAAACGAATAAAGGACAAACAAGGCCGGGATGATGGCTCAGCGGATGAGAGTGCTTACCCTGAAAGCATGAGGGTCTGAGTTCTAGTTTTAAGCATCTATACAAGGAGCAGGCATGGTTGTTCATATCCATACTATAGGACTGTGGGCAAGGAGCTTGCTGGCCAGCCAGACTTGCTAAAATGGCCTGGTTCTCACTGAGTGAGAGATGCTGTCTAAAGCTAGAGGAAGACATGGCATGTCCCACTCTAGTATCCATATGCATACCCAGACAACCAACATGCATGGAGCAGCATTCAGAGTCAAACCTTAGGGAAAATCTGATTTCAACACTTAACCTCATTATGTACTGAAGCGGTCAGATTTTATTAACAAAACTGCAAACCCTATAAAGAAATAAAGCATGAAGTAGAAATATCCAGAGTAAGAAAATCGAAACATTTCCTGAAGAACTCCAGATACTGGAGTTACTAAAGAAAGAATTCAAAATAATTTTAAAATTTAATTAAAAGTTGAGAATAGAATGAAGGTTACCAAAGAACAGAGAGTGGAGATATGGAAGGATGGGGAAGAGATCTGTGGGCACTAAGTCACAGCTTGGGAATGAGACATTTTGGTGTGCTACGGAAGAGGATAACTGCAGATAACTGTATAGATCAAAAAGCTACAAGAAAGGATTTTGAATGCTTTCATCATAACAAAAGGATGAATGTTTTTAAATTTCCATTCTTTGAAGATATAAAAAAATGACAAACCTCTGGAGCTATTAAAAAAAAAAAGGACAAGGTCAAATGAACTTATGAGAGACTATCCAGAGAATATATGCCTGCAGCTCTTGTTATTTGAAAGGTCAAGGAAAGAGAAATTGCTGAACATAGGTGTTTGTTTGAAGGCAATTCAGCAAAGCCCTAACACTTTAAAACAATTGATAGTCAATAATAAGGAAAGAAAAACTAACTTAAATAGCTAATTTGAACAAGTCAATAACAAGTAATGAGACTAAATAAAAAGTCATGCAACAACAAAGTCCAGGACCAGATGACATCACTAAACTGATACTGGTTTTTCTCAATTACTACTAGAAAGACAATTTCTACTAGTTCATTCCACTAGACCAGAATTATCCTGACACCCAAACCACAGAAGTACATAACAACAAAACAAAACAAAACAAAAAAAAACAACCTGCAGGCCAATATTCCTAAGAAGCATAGATACAAAAAAAACTCCCATAAAGTACTAGCAAATCAAATTCAACATCACACAGCAAAGATTGTACAAGATTAGGTGGGGTGCATCCCAGAGATGCAAGGATGTTCAACATATACCAATCAATAAAAGTGCTAAACCATATATCAACAGAATTAAGAGTAAAATCTATGACTATCTTAAGAGCCAAAAAAGGAATTTGAATAAATTTAACATCCCTTCATGTGGGGGAAAAATCTGAACTAAACAGATATTTTAGGAATATACCTCAATAAAATAAGAAGTCCAGAGTTAACACAATGGACAGAGAAAAGTTGAATAGTTTCTCTATCATTTTTAAAAGGACAAGAGCTTCTCTTTCACTTCTATTTCAAGACAGTGATAGAACACATAGGAATGAAAAGTAAATTGTATCCAAACTAACAGAGAAAACTCAAATCATCACTATTTGCAGGTAAACTTAACAGTTCCACAAAGAAACCCACTAAAACTGCTAAATGTATTCAGTAAAGTGCAGGTTATAAATTCAACATAAAACAATCAGTAGGATTTCTTCACAATGATAATGAATGAAATGGAAAAAGGTAGGGGATCTCATTTATAACAACCACAAAAAATTTTAACCTGAACAGAAACAATCTCTACAAAACAAAAAATTTATTATATATTAATGAAAGAAGGTAAAAAGGAAGAAATCCTTTAATCATTATTAAAATGCTCACTCTACCTACACAAAGCAAAATGCAATAATATAATCCCTAAAGATACCAATGACTCCTTAGAGAACTAAAAATAAATAAAATTTCCAATATTCAAACAGAATACACACACACAAATCTCAAACAGCCAAAGCAATTTCGAGTGAAAAGAACAAAGCAAACGTATTAGACTACTTTTGATGACAATGACATAGGCAAAAAGAGAATGAGATTATCATGAAAATGTACACAGAGACCAATGAAAGAGCACAGTGTTCGCCTACAATCCCAGGATGCAGGAAACAGATAGGTATCCTCAGAGCAAGCTGGCTAGACAGACCAGCCATACTGGTGTGCTTTGGTTCCACTAAATGACCATGACTCAACGAAGCAGGTGAAAAACAATTAAGAAAGATGCCTGATGTCAACTTCAACTCTACTTACACTCATGTCCAACATGCATGCGCTTGCACACATGAAAGACCAGCACACAAAAAATACTGCTAATGCATCAGTTCAATCTATTCCTTACCTTTTACTGATATAGTGAATCAATGTGTAAATAACATCCCGAAGAACAAAGGCCCAAGCACCTCCCAAGCTGCTTTTTATATCTTTCAGTAATAAACTAACAAACAATTGATATATTTTAAGAATTCTGTGCTTTTTATAGACATTATTTGTCTCATTTGCTTGTTCACAAATGGCCAGAAGAATTTTCTGATAGGAATCCTATAAAATAGATATACATATAGAAAAAAATTTTTAAATCAAATATATTCAGCTACAACCAGTATAGTTTAAACTTTACTAAATGATCATTTAGATATGGGCTTGACAGCACATGCAAAATATTATATTAAAATTGTTAAGAGTATTTCACTTTTTAAAAAGTTGCTACATTAGTTTTTAGAAAGTAAACTGAAACTTAATAGATTATTATGAAACAGTAAACATATTCCCTGAGATAATTAATAAGGCAGGGTCATGAAATCCTGGCCTGATACATTTAGTTAACAATAACTAACATACTAAAATACAACTTGTAAATCAAGTGTTTTTCTTTTTTAAATTAGTCAAGTAAGTTTTCATGCTTATTATCCCCCAGATATATTTAGATTTTCTAGATAAAAAGGACTTTTCTTATCAATTATTATACTAATAATGTAACATGTACTTACAGGAATTTTAGAAAGAATTTCTAAAATGCTTTTAAACTTGGTTTTATGGCAGTTGCTGATGTAGGCAAATGTTGCTTTAATAACATGTGATGGAAAATACGGTGGATTAGGAGCAGGATCCAAATCCCTAAAGAAGAAAAAAAATGTAGGTATTTTAAAAACAAAATTAGAAGACTGAACTTCTAAAATGGAGCTTTAAATAACTCCCAAGTTACAAAACTGGCTTCTTACTGAAACAATATATTTTAAAATCACAAACAGTAAAACAAAGTTCACATATGAATCAGACTTAACTTCAGATGGATTTGTTTAAAACAATTGGTTTATTTAACCTTTTATGATGTTAATGGCAGTCCCAGAGTCAAGCCTTAGCAAAACTTCCCTTCAGGTCTGATTTACAACTCTATATTAGACTAAGTATTGCAAGACCAATAGTATCTTAAACCAGGTAACACATTAGATCAGTAACATTATTTAGAATACAATTATAAACTCTAACTTCTTTCCCAGCATTAATTAATTTATATGCTTAGCACAGTAAGCTTTTATAAAAATTGAGTATTTTCAGCTGGGCACAATGGTGCAACCTTTAATCCCAGCACTGGGAGGCAGAGGCAGGCAGATCCTTGAGCTTGAGGCCAGTCTGTTCTACAGAGAGAGTTTTAGGACAGCCAACACTGCACAGCAAAACCCTGTCTAACAAAAACAAAACACAAACAAAATATTTTGGGGACTGGAGGGATGGCTCAGCAGCTAAGAGCACTGACTGCTTTTCTAGAGGACCCAGGTTCAATTCCTAACATCTACTTGGTGGCTTACAACTACAGCTCCAAGAAGTGTGGGGTGTAGGGGGTGTACTAATGCCCCCTTTACAGCCTCTATGGGCATAACATGCACGTAATGTTTTGATATTCATGCAGGCAAAACATCCATATGCAAAAAAATAGTATTTTAATTTATTTTTTAAAATTGAGAATTTTCAAGTAGCTTACAATCAAGCCAAAAAAGTCATATACAACCAACTGATTTCACATCTGAGTTAAACTGAACAGCTAAAGAGCACCACAAAGAAAGGAGGCAGAGAAAAAGGCAAGACATGGCTAAGAGAATCAGTAATAAAACACATCAAGAAAAAGGTCACAAAAGGAATTATGTAACTCAATGCTTAAATACCAAGGGAAGACTGAAAAGACTGGGTTTCCCCAAAAAGGGAGCTATAAAAGCAAGTACAGTAGGAAGGCTGCAGTGAAGGAGATAGGTGATTGGGGTGACTCTTATACTACATATGCTACCTTTCTATGGAAAAGGCTTACCCTGAAAAGTCAGCGAGGTCAGTGCTTTGACTGGCATCAGAATCAGCTGTTTCATGGAATGTCATCAGTAACTCCACCACAATCTCTGGTAAATTACTAATGAATACTTGATCAATCTGCAAGGACACAAAATTAAAATATATTAAACATTTTTATATCTGTGATTTTTACAACAGCACTAAGGGTCTGCATTAATTCCTTACTTCATAACTATTAAAAAAAGATAACCAAGCCCAAGTTCTGCAAAGAAAACCTCTATATTTTCTTCTACACAGCCAATCCATAGACCAAGATGAGCATAAGGAAATCACAACAAACCAACTCTCCTTACTTTAACCCTTGTATTATACAGAATCATTTTAAAAGAATTTGGATTTCACATTAAATTTCTAAAACCGGAAGTTCTCCAGCTAGTAAAGTTCCATAACTTACACTTTTCCTTGATTTGCATTTTACTTTTTATTCATCTGTTAACTCTTTAATAATCTTAACTATTAAGAAACCTTTGTGAGCCCCTGAGATGCCCTGTACTCTTCTTCCGTATCTGGTGACAGGATCGCTTTTCATCAACAGCTGCTAAAATAATGACTGTGAAAAAAGTAAATTTCTCACCAATCTGCTTCTGCTACAGGCAGGCTCACAAAGGGCAGAAATTCTCTAGGAATGCCAGCAAGCATCCAAGATCCCTGGCTCTGGGGTTACATGTGTGAGCTGCCAGCCAAGGCAAGCTGTTACATGGATGTAGGGCTATGAACTCAGGTAGCCATATTTACACAGCAAACACATTACCAAGTCATCACCCCAAGTCTGATAACCTTAGACTTTAAAGCTTACATCTTTTATCAGTAAGGGGATAAGAGTAGATAAAAAGTGAAGCCATACCTGTTTTCCTAGTAAGTCTTCACCTTTAAGTATATCATAGACTTTGGTAGCAGTCTCTCTCTTCTGTATTATGCTGCTGTCTCCTGTGCTCTCATAGGCAAAGTAAGGAAGAATGTGTACAAGAATCTTTGGAAAGCAGTCTATCAACAGACTTTTCCAGCATTTCTGAATCTGATTAGCAATGGACTTCACTTCATCAAACTCACTTCTAATCACCAAATGTGGAATCAAAACCTTGTAACAAGATCTGAAAATGTGTAAGTTTAAAATTTAGGTTACAAATGTTTTCACAAGTAAAATTTTACATTAAAATAACAAAATATGCTGGGCGGTGATGTCGCATGCCTTTAATCCCAGCACTCAGGAGGCAGAGATAGGTAGATCTCTGTGAGTTCGAGGCTAGCCTAGTCTACAGATTGAGTTCCAGAACAGGCTCCAAACCTACACAGAGAAATCCTGTCCCAAGAAACCAACAACAAATAAACAAACTTACTTTTTTATTTTAAATTATTTATTTATTTAAAATTTTACAGATGCAGGTGTTCTGCCTGGTGCCTATGGAGGCTAGAAGAGGGCATTGGATCCCTTGAAACAAAAAGGGCAATGGATCCCTTGGAAAAGAAGTTACAGAAAATTGTGAGCTACCATGTGGGTGCTGGGAATTGAACCTGGGTCCTCTAGAAGAGAAGTCAGTGCTCTTGACTGCTGAGCCATTGCTCCAGCCCCTAGATCATTAAATACTCTTATTCTCATTTTATAAATGGAGAAATTAAAGATAAGAAAAAATATAAATAATAACACACACAAAAAAAGTACAACTTCTATTCTCCCTCGCTTTTTCTGAGACGATAGCACTCCGTGGCCCAGGCTAGCCTGGACTAACTATACTTATGTACACACCATGTTGACCTGTAAATTGTGGGAATCCTCCTGCCTCTACCTCTCGAGGTCAGGAATTATAGACACACGGTATGCACCACTATATCCAGCTAAGGAACTTTTATTTTTTACCCATAATCAACTTGGTGCTTGATTATGGCAATGGTAATGGTAATATCAATCAATCAAAACTTAATGTAAGACCAATGGTAAAACAATTTATAAATTCAAAGAACAAATATGAAAGTTATCGCAAAATATAATGGATGATAAAAACCATCAAATGTACATCTATCAAAAAACATTTTCTTTTTAAAAAAAATACAGGATCCTCTGTAGTACAGGCTGGCTTTGAACTCCTTATGTAGCTGAAAATGACCTTGAACTACTGAGCTTCCTTCATCTATTGACCTTCTGAGTGTCAGATTATAAGTATGTGCCACTATGCCTGGTTTATGTAGCCAGTGTTGAATCTAGGACTTTGAGCATGCTAGGCAAGCACTATACCAACTGAGCTATATCTCAGCATTTTTCGATAAACTTTGAAAATTCATAGAAATAATGACTAATTCACTATCAAGCAATAGGAAAGAAAAGGAAATAATTACCCCACTAGTAATTTAGAAGATTATTTTCAAAAGTAAATTGAGATACATAAGATATTATGTACAATTCAAGATAAATAAGATAGCATGTAAATATATCTTATATGTGTAAATCGAGATACATAAGATATTACTACAGCTTACTCAATGACACACAACTGATTACTAATATTGCTACCAACAAATCCTAAGTTTTTGAACTAAAAGCATACATACATCCTTTGATACAATCTCACTATGTCTTTTTTTTTTTTAATAAAAAACCAGGCAACTTCCTACCTGTGGATATGGATGTGAGAGGTGGGAGGAGGGTTGTCAAACACTACTGCAAACAATATATATAAACCTACCTATAGAAATCCTCAATACTTGTGTAATTTAATAAAATAAAAGGAAAGGAAGATAAGTTGTATTCAGTATCTTGAATGTTCAGCCATTCTGAAACCAGATAATCTAGATGAGAAGTCATAAAGTCTTCTAAACTTCTGCACCCAAAAGATTCGGAGACTTTCTCTAAAACCTGCACAAAAGGAAAATGTGATGTTTAAGCTTGCTAGTATTTAAACTGTATTTGTAGCAGTTACTTAATATTTTTCTACCTTGACTTCTTTATCAATGACACAGGGGTAGTAATAAATGAGAAAATGGAAAATGTTACTTACTATACATTTGCTGAAGCAGCATCCAGAGCACATAGAAAACCCACAATAGACATTAAATAAATAATAGCATAATTTTATATAGCTGACTATATCTCAAAGAAAAGTCTAAGGAAAATTTAAATATTTTCATCTTTACATTTAAATTTTTAAAAATCCAAAACCATGTCACTCACTTTAATAACAATAAGTAAAAGGTTAATTCATTTAAGACCAGTTCCCTAGACAATGACCTACAATAAAGCTTCATGGAACCCATGCTGGTACAAAGTTAACTGCCCATCAGTCCATATTTACCACATTAAACCTGCAACAAGAACTTGTAGAGGGTCTCAAATAATGAGCTTGGAGTGGAAGAACAGGGAGAGCTACCACAGTATACAAATGGGATGTTATGCTTGCAATGACTGAGCCCAAGCCTCTTTTCAAAATCTAACCTAAAAGCCACATTGTCCTCAACTTATTAAATTCCAGTGTGCTGCTCCACAATCTGAGGCATAAGCAAGCAAAAATCTCCAGTATTCTAGAGGAACTGGTCTGTGTGGACACAACCACTAAATTTTGCTAATTCTCAATGAGTGTTTTATAAAACTAAGAAGAAATACTGAAAACAAATATACTGCTTAAAGAATTAATAAATTTGGCTGGGGAAAAGACAATAGTTCAGGCTCCAAAACCACAGAGAAACCCTGTCTCGAAAAAACCAAAAAAAAAAAAAAAAAAAAAGACAATAGTTCGGTGGTACAGTGCTTACTTACTAAGTACAAGGCTCTGGGTCCAAGCGCCAGCAGTGGAAAAAATGCACCCCCTACACATGTATATGCGCACACAATAAAACTTGTTTCTAATATTCCCAGTCCAAAAAAGAAACTGTTTCTAAGCATCAAATGACACATAAAAACAATGTGAAAATATTCATCATACCTTTTTCACAAGATGAGGTTCTAATCCATTTTCCTTCACAGATTTGCATAAGGCAAACAGAGCCTGTTTTTCACACACAGGGCTACAGTGCAAGACCACAGCTATCACCACCAGTAAAACAGATTTTCTATTGTGAATCTCATCCAGAAGATCAGGGTTCTGAGTAACACATGACTTAAGAAAATTACAAGAATAATGACATAAATAATGAAATTGATAAATCAAGCAAGCAAGCTCAAGTATTCGCTAATCTCTAAGTAACCTGCAAACTTTTAAATCTTATAGTAATGAGCTAAAAGGAAAGACATGAGAAACAAGCTTTTCTATAGTTAAGAAAAGCTGCCATTTCCAAAGATCTAAGCGAAACAATTACCAAAGAAAAAACATTTTCACATGGTATTAAGTTATCTAAAGAACAACAGCAAAAGGAAAATGAGAAGTTTTAAGAGTTCTTCCACTACAAGGTGCTACTCCTAAGACTTTTTATGTTTTCTTCTTTAAAAATCACTGCCATCTGTCTATATTAGTAAAGGAAAGCCTTGTGGACAGAACAACATGCTTTCAGCTTAGCCGTCAACTACTTTTTTAAAAGTCCCAACAGGCACCCCTCTTCAGTTTTTAAATTTATTTTTAATTTTTATGTGTGTGGGTGTTTTGTCCACATGGATGTCTAAGTACAGTGCCTACAGAGATCAGAAAAGGGTGGCAGATATCCTGCAACTGGAGCTACAGATGCCATGTGGGTGCTGGGAATCAAACTCAGATCTTCAGAGCCCACGTTTTTAATTGAGAGCCTTCTCTCCAGCCCCTATCTTCATTTTCTGACTAGGTGTACTCACTCTGCAATCCAGGGAGCTCTCAAATTTAATTCAGTCATTGAATAGTAAGATCACAGGCACACACCATCATACACAGTATTTTCTGGTGTGTTTTGGATTTTTCCTTTTGGCTTTAAAGATTTCTTGAACTAAAAAAGGCCTTTTAATCTCTCTTTTATATTGAAATCCCCATTAAAGTTGGATTCGCCTCACAATAATTAGATTAGTTGAAGCAAAAATAATTGTTATTATTGACTTATTCTGACCTATAAATTTCATTCAGGAAAATTTTATCCAGTCCATACACTTGACTTAGACCAGCTTTACAGTGTTAACTACAAAACGCAAACTCTCATCAAAACTGTGCTAAGAACATGTAACACTGACAGACCGCACATGAGTGCAGAGCACAGACAACTTACTGTAGTCACCACGTCTCTTATTCCTGCCTCTGCTTTCAGGTATGCATTTTTAAAAGCTGTTTGCTGAAACTTCAAAAGCAGTGCTTTCGACCATCCAGAGGAATCTCCATGTCTCATATCCTGGAATAATCTTTAAAAACAAACAAAATCTATTTATTTCAAAGCCTACATATCAAAGCATATTCTAGAACACAAATAAACCACTCCAAAGCTCTTCCTTTGAAAGGCAAGTAGTTCAGACCATCTGTGAAATGTTAAGGTCCTTAATCTATAAGCCAATTTTTCTAGATATAAAAGATTTCAAAGTTCTTTAACTACTGGTCAGATTTGAACATCAAAGCCAAGCTGTCAGAAAGATTGTCTCCTCTTGTCAAACATGAATCATAAGAGTCTACAAACTTATTTATCAATCTTTTCTAATGTTTAATCATCCCCCAAATGAATAGCTTAACACTTGGATATTCAGTTAACATTATATTTGATGTAGAGGTTATCAATGTCTCTTACATAATAAACACATATTTTAGGGCAACTGTAATGAAGTTTAGTCTTGATATTTCTTAGAAATTTGTTATTTCTGATTCCTTTATTTTGCTAGCCTCTCTTGAAACAGCCCAACATTAAATATCTAACAAATCAAAATATAAGAAAAAAACAAAATATAACAAGTCTACTTATCTTTCTTGAAATTTTTGAAAACTTCGATTTCCCCCCCGTGATATTATTATTGCATTCAACTTATGATCCTCTATGGCCTGATAATTTAAACTTCAGTTCCGTAAGTTGAACTCCCACACATAACCAAGAGCAATCTTGACAATGCACTATTTTCTTACTAAAATAAATGAGGAAAAAGGAACAACACCTGGCTCATGGAAACATCACTGTCACAGACTCAAATTTTGGACACATTTGTTCTAACATCAGACCAGTGGCTCTCAACCTTCCTAATGCTACAACCCTTTAAAACACTTCCTCAAGTTGTGGTGACCCCCAACCATAAAATTATTTTCACTGCTACTTCATAACTATTATTTTTATATTGTTATGAATCATAATGTAAACATCCGTGTTTTTTGATGGTGTTAGATGACCCTTGTGAAAGGGTCGCTCTACCATCCCAAAGAGTCACAACCCGCAGGTTGAGAACCACTGCCATAGAGTATGTGCCTGCTTGGATAATTTCTTTATGGCAACCTTCTTTTATTGGTCATTTAGATCTGAAAAATATGCAATTTTCAGCTTTTTAAAAATTTTATTTTACTATTATTATTATTACTGTCTTTCAAGACAGGTTTCTCTGTAGCTTTGGAGTCTGTCCTAGAAATAGCTCTTGTAGACTAGGCTGGCCTCGAACTCACAGAGATCCGCCTGCCTCTGCCTCCTGATTGCTGGGATTAAAGGTATGCACCACCACTGCTCGGCTCAGCTTTGATGTTTTTAAAGTAGCACAGAATTTCTTTTTCAAATATATTCATTTCACCAATTATCAATGAAAAGCCACCATAGCCAAATATTATTTTAGGCTAAAAACAGAAATTATATCAGCATCATACAAAATGAAGAGACTACTGACTCACATAAAGCCATTAATAGCCAAATATTCTATACCTTCTGTGTGCTAGCAGACACTTCTCATTCAAACCAATGGCTCATAAGTTCCATAGCACCAAGCCAGTTAACCCTCTAAGCCAGTTTTCAATTATAAATTAGAGACAATGTTATATAAGTGACAGAACTGTCAGATTAAAGAAAAAACACAATTCCCAGGCACATGCATACACTGATTAAGTGGACGTTGCTGTTAACATTGCAGCTAGTGAAGGTGCTGCTAACAGCAGCATTACAAGAGCTTTGTGAAAACCTAACTCATTACCTGTTGATTGACCCTGCAGCCAACATCCGAACTTGGTGATGATCATCAGCAAGAAACTGTGGAAATACTTCATTTACAGGAAAGTCTTGTCCCCTTATGTCAAGGATTGCCCATTTGGAATATGGATCAGCCTATAGTAAAATAGCAATCAAAGTTAAATGCAAAATATTAAGAAAAAAACCACTCATTAGCATACCGAAAGAAAGGTGGCCTGCCTCGATCATTCCAATGAAAAACTTTCTAGTAATATGGAGTAACCCACCTCAAGGAGAGCTTGAAGACACTTTACTAATGCCATTCTTACAGAGAATATACATTTCTTCTCCTTTGTTAGATGCCTGAAATCAGATAAGACTTTTAATGTAATAATTATTCAAACAAAAGCAAAAACAGAAAAAAACAATAAATATTAACAATATCATAGATAATTTCAAAAAATTCTGCTTTAAATTAATTGTCAAGGCCAGTCTGGTCTACAAATCTAGTTCCAGGACAGCTAGGACTATTACACAGAGAAACCCTGTCTCGAAAATACAAAAAGAAAAAAACAACCCACAAAACCGCAAATAAATAATTCTCATTATAAGAAACATGCCAGCATGGCAGTATATTTATCTTCCCTAAAATTCAAGCTAAATAAAGAGAAATTCATTCTAATGTACACTTGTTTTATATCTTGGAACTGACATACTTCAGGTAGCCATACTATAGAAAACTGAATATGAACAGAATATCCTTTAGGCTTTCGTCATTATAACATATATTTAGAAATCTATGCTCTATACTGACTTAGAAAATTCTTTACTATTCTAAAAGAATGAGGCATCTAAGTGACATTATGTGATCTCCTATAAGTAACAAATATGTTATTGCTGGACCTGAGTTTGATCCCTGGGACCCACACAGTAAAAGGAGAAAAACTGACTCCTACAAGTTGCTCTCTAACCTGAACATGGGCACCATGGCTGTGCTCAGACTTCCCCACACACTAAATAAAGTGTTAAAAAGATGTTTACTACTGTTCTTGTGAGACTATGAATGAAATAAACAGAGTCAAAGCCAATGGGTTCATTTTCATCACCAACAATCCAGTTGGTTTAGGATTGCTGCACTTTTTATGCACCATCCATGTCAAGTTATGTGTGATTCAAAATTTACAGGGCCATATGCTAAACACTTTAGAACACAAAACTTTATAAAAACTAGTGTAGCTTTTCAGTTAGGAACTGGAAGACAGAGCTGGGCAAAGGGCTCTATAGCTGAAGTACGTGCCATGTAAGTGTGAACATGTGAACATCAGAATCTAGATCTCCAGAGCTCATGTAAAATAAGATGCAGTAGCATCCATATGTAATCTCAGCATGCATACAGCAAGATGAGAAACAGAAAAGGAGAAATCTGTGGGTCTGGTATCCTGGTATGGGCAGCAGCGAACATAGTACCTGCTTTAAACAGGTAGAAAGTGAGGACTGACACCCCAAGTTGTTCTTTGACTGTTATAGAGTACAGTGACACACATGTACCCACACTCATGTAAGCAATATTCACTGACATGCACATTAAAGAAATGAAGACAGATTATGTTATACTATTGTTAAATATGCAGAAAGTTACACGAGATACTCAGGAAAAAAAATCACCAAAGTATAGAGTTTACATCTGCATCCCGAAGTGAAGAAAGAGACTTATGCTTACCAAAACGCCCCAATCACTGTCAGGAACTGTCCCCGAGCATTCCTTGTGCCCTCAGTGTCCACACTGCCTTGACTTAGGTTTGTCACTATATGATGGACATGGCTTAAAATTGTTCGACAAACATCTTGGTCACGACGATGCAGAGAACATGCAAGGCTGTGGTAGAAAAGGTTTTTGTTATTAAGCTTACAAGAACATGTCAGTTAGCTTATAATTTAAAGTGAGCATAACGTAACATGGCTTTCAATTCTTACGATAATGGTTTCAGAAGTTCAGCAACATCTTCCATTGGCAACGAATGGTCTCTTCCAGGAAGATCCTTCAGAAGCACTAAGTACTAGGGTAGTTTAAAAAAAAGAAAAAGCCAGCTTTACCCATACATCACTCTTTTAAGCACATATAAACATCACAGAGCATTTCTAAACACAGCATATAATAAAATATCTTTAAAATCAAAGACTTAATCCAAAATTCAGCACAACAGCTTTAACTTAAATGATTAAGAATCCTGACCGTATGGCATGGAGAACCCACACTCTCGCCTGTAAAATGGGGATATATCAATTATTTGGTCAGGTAACAAAGGAGTAGAAACAACTTCTATTGCTGGAATTCAATAAATGATCATCACTGTCACCACTGCAGTTAAAAGATAAAGAATCTGAAACTACTATGTCTCTATACTCTCAGAATAATGCTAAATTCAATGGTGAAAAAGTACTGAGTCCTGGGAAGCAAAGATAATCCTGAAAAGTAAAATATCCTAACCTACCTACTTAACCATGGCAACTCTGTAACTATGTGTTACTATACACACACACACACACACACACACACACACACACGGAGCTGTTATAAGTAACATTTATAATGGTAGTTAAAAATAAGCAATCAATTTCTCAGAGGTGCTAAGTAACTTTCTAGTTACAAGCAAAAAATCCTAAGAGATATTTCTTATATATTAATAAAGAATTTGTTAAAAACCCTCTTTAATACTTAACTTGGGAGTCATATATAATGTTACTGAGAATGTGGAATGATTTTAAACATCAAAGCTTCAAGACAAGCATATAACCCTTCCCACAAGTCAGGGGTAAACTTTATACTAGAGTATTTGTGAGGAATGAAACCAAGGGTCCCAACAAGATACAATGAAACCCATTTCAATCAGAGAATGCCTGTTCAGCCTAATCCCATGACAAGAGATTCCATTACACAGTTAGGAATGCACCAGGTATGTCTACTAATTACCAAACCAAGTCTATAATCTATCCAGAAGATACTCAATGGCTCAAGAGCTATCACCAACTGCTTACTGGGAATAAGGTAAGGACATCTTCCACATGATAAGAAATTAGTTCCATAGACAGTTACTGAGTAAATAAATTCATTACTTATTTGTGAAAAGGTAGGGTTTTCATTTTGTCTTATAAAGACAAACAAAGGAGCTACAAATTTGGGGGGGGGGATTAAGCCACAAAGTCATGAATTAAAATTGAAGGTATATATTAGTAGCATTAGTTTGAAAGCAACACTCAGACATCAAATTCCATGTTATGAATTATTTTTACAATCAAGACCTGTTTTACTGACTGCTGAATACACTCATAATCTCAGCACTTGGAAGAAAGACTGTATAGCACAGGACAGCCTGGGCTACACAGTGAGAACCTTTCTTAAAGATGTTTCCTGTTCTAGTGTATAATAATACATAATAATTATAGAGAATAATATTCAAAATATACCCAAGTTTTAATGTTTCAGCCTCAACTTCAATTATTTTCATAGCATGCTAAAAGAGAAAAATGAGAAAACCAAGCGTGATAACATATACCTGTTACCCCACTTATTCAATAAAACTGCTTCTGCTCAATCTGGGAAACACATATACACACACATGCAGAATATATTTTATAACTAGTCTCAGATTCATCTTTCTAAAAAACAAGTCTTAAAGTTACTGTACCACTCTTATATATCCAACTATTACCTTTTTTGGTAACACCATAAAAACAATCAAAAAGCTTCTTCCACTTTACTCACCATCTGTAGGTGGATGGATTTAGTGAGGTCCAGTGTGCTAGAATCAAGTAGCATTAACAACTTTCTTCTAATATCAGTTGCTCTAAAAGACACTGTATTGCTCTGAGATGCGGTTACACACAAGCACAAGAACTTGAGCATGTCTAAAAGAAGATGATCTTGTTTTGACAGATAATCAGCAGCTAAAAGACTCATGGCACCTAAAAACAAAAGGCACTGATTAGCACAGACAGGGGCACAGTAGACTGATACTGATATGACCTAAAACATCCCCTTGCTTTCACAGTTGAAATAATGTTATCATGTAGTTTTCGTTTAAACTATTTTAAATTTTTCTATGAACAATAAAGAAAGAAACTAAAAAATTTGAGTTTTAAAATGAGGGTGATTTAAAATGTACAGTACGGAGGGCCAGTGAAGTTGACCCAGCAAGTAAAAGGGTTTACATATAGCCAATAAAACTGAGTTTAAAACCCAGAACGCAGAGCACACAGTGGAAGGAGAGAACTGACTTCTGGGCCATTGTCCTTCAACCTCCATGTGTGACCACATTAACACACGTGAACACAGAAAATAATATAAACAATAATATATATTTTAAGTGCTCAGGCATAGTGGCACACACTTTTAATCTTAGCACTTGGGAGGCAGACTCAGAAGGATTATTTTGAGTTTGTAGATTACCCTGGTCTATATAATGAGTTCTAGGACAGGACTACATAGCAAAACTCTTGTCTCCAGAAAAAAAAAAAATTAATGTATAGAAAAAGAACAATCCAAGTAGACAATACCTCAGGGGAATGAAATTATAATTAAAGTTCTTTTCAGTGAGGTCCTTTACAGTGACAAATTCATATAAAGTGGTAAAGGAAACCCAAGCAGTAAACACTTACTTACCAACAGTATTCTGGTTCTCTCCAGAATCATTTGCATCGCTCACAGTACTAGCAGGGTAACCACTAAACAGACTTGAGGATGATGGACCCTGTGCCTCCATCAGATTTTCATCAGCAGCATCTTTCATGGAATTTACCTCTCCATAATCAAATGGCTTTTTTATACAGGATGCCTTTAGAAAGAAGAAACAAAGATGCGGTTTTCAGCTTCTTTCAGAAACACCCTAATCCATCATATTGTAGGAAGTGAATATATAAACTGTAATCTGTTTAGATAGCATGGTAATAACAAGATCTTAAAAATAAATTCTTATATAAAAAATTACCATGGGCCATCAAGAAGGCTCATGGGATAAAGGCACTTGCTGTCAACGCCTGATGATCTTAGTTGAATCCCTGGAATCCACATGTTAAGAGAGAAAAGACTCCCAGAAATGTTGTGACACACGTGCCCACACACAGCATAAATAAATAAATGTAATACAAGAGTCTAGCAGTCATTCCAAATTGTATTTAAATATTCGAGCACCACTCTGAACCCTTACAAACAAAAACTTTTAAAATTTAACACCAGAAATTGATGAAAGCACAGAATAAGTGTCAATTATTAGGACTATTTTGTTGGACAATAATAATACCCATCGAAATTAAAATTAAAGGGCATGGAAGCATGTGCCTGTAGTCCCACCTCTTTGGATACCTGAAGCAAAGAGCAAAGGAATCATTTGAGCCTAGAGTTCTAGGGGAGCCTGGGCAACACAATTAATATCTTATCATAACTAACACACACATATACACTCCCTAAAATCCTCACATTACTTTGAACAATACAGTCACTTTCTTGAATCCTTTCAAGTGCACAAATTCCAGAAGACAAAACAGAAACGCAGAAGTCTCTGTAGCAGAACTTTTGGTTAAAAGGGGAAAATGACTTGAAATGTTAAGTGAGAGCAGGTGAGTATGGAAGGCATAAGGATATGGTCCCTAAGCAGATTGCTTACAAGGCTTAGGTAGGATGACTGTCAAAAACTCAAGACCAAACTGAGGTATGTAATCAGTAACAGGCTAGCCAGGGATATCCTAGAAAGATGCACTCTAAAACAGATAGACAAACAGAAAGGAAACAAAAAAGCAAAAGCAGGTGGATTTTTTAAAAAAATGTATTATTCTGATAGCGATATACACACACTATCCCTAAGCTAAGGAATACCATAACTGCCACATAAAGCACAGCAGTATGTATCTCACAGGTTAAGTATAGCGAAAAGAAAAACAAATTGTCATTAAATACAAATAATAAAGTTACAGAGTGTTTTTTCACTCAGTAAGCAATTAAAGTTTTTTCAGGCACTGTTACTGAGCATGTATAACAAAAGCCCAATGTGATAGAAATGAAGTTTAAACACAATAGTAAGAACAAGTTCTCTAGAAGACAAGGTGTCTTCCTCTACTTTGGGAGTTCTTTGTTTCTTAATGAATTGGCTAGGCATGGTGCACACCTTTAATCCCAGTGCTGGGGAGGCAGAGGCAGACCTCTGGGAGTTCAAGACCAACCTAGTCTGCACAAAAAGTTCTAGGCTAGCCAAGCTATATGGTGAGAATATATCTCGTACAATAAATTGAATCTATCAGTCAATGATTTAGTAGGAAACTAACAGGCAACTAAAATACCCTGCCAGATACTGATATTAAGAAAAAAATCAAATACAAGTCCTCTTAATGCAATAAGTTTATTAAAGGCTACATTTATTTTTTAAAAAAAGTTCAAGATGCTATATACCAGGAGATAATATCTATTCATTATAACAAAAATTTGCAATTTAGGGCCAGCAAAATGGGTCAGTGGAAGAGGCTTTTGTATGCAAGTCGGTTACTGGATCACAGAAAGTGACAGACGAGAATCCATTCCCAAGAATTGTCCTCTGACTTCCACATACACCATGGTACACAGTGCCGGCTTGCTTGTGCTTGCTCATCCTCCATCCTTCTCTCTCACACATATATGTATATATAATTTTAATTGCATCTCAGAATCAATGAAATTTATTAGTCAAAAAAGATTCATACTTACTAAACTTTCACAAATATCTGCAATGTCATTCACAAGCTTTGAAGTTAACAATCGTAGGAAAAAGCCGGATACAATCTTGTGTGGATTACGCTGTAATTTAAACAAAGATCCAAGCAATAAAACATAAAACAAATACAGATTGTTGTTTATAGTATTTTCTTTATCATGAATGAAATGTAGATAACGAGTCCAGAACTGAGGCCAAATTATAAGTTGAGGTACATTACAATCTTTCTTTCTTTCTTTCTTTTTTATTTAAGAACAAGAACTTATTGAGTCTATTTCAAGAAGGGAGTGAACTATAAAGTAACCAGAATAGCAACTACAGTCTAATCTCCTTAAGGAAATAATAAACGAAGTAAATGTCTTTGTGTTGATGCATCATTAACATATCAGCTACTGATACTAAACATAGTAAGCAACTATCTGTGAGGCTCCCTCTTTCACTTCATGCCTTCCACACTTATACAAAAATACAAGAAAGCATATTAGAAAATTGAAACTATATGCTATGAATATTAGGTTGCTTATGTACTAGCTTTCAAAGACAGTTCCAATTAGCAACCTTCTACATCCGTATGGCTATCCCAACAGGCTTCTGAAAAAATCAAAACAAAGATTACACACAGCTGTACTTTTTCTACCAAATGTTACCTAAGGTAATATGGGTAAAAGAAACATTTGTACTAATATCATTTATATTTATGAGCACTCTACAGACTGAGTTCATCCTAAGGTGGTGTTATTCATTTTTGTACCACTTATACCACCTGTGGTATAGTGTTAGGAAAAATTGCAGACTTGTGAACAATGAATCAACTAATGAAAATGTGCTAACAATAAAAGACTCATCTATGTCGTTATATATATATACACATATTATATATAATAAGAAAATGAAGTTACAAAATAAGTTTTATAATAAACCAATATTTTTGGAACATTTTTATCATTCAATTTAATTTCAGATCAGTATATAAACTTATAAATGAACCAAAAACTCAAAATCACTAAGTAATAAGCCATATGAATATACTATATTACCAAAAAGATGATCTTACCTTGGTATGCCGACACAAGCAACTTGTACACAGATGTATCACATTTCTCAATGAACCAATTCTAGATTCTTCATTTGTCTTATTTTTAAATAGAGAGATACTTTCTCCTGCACACTGCATTAGAGACTATTTAGAATAGAGGAAAAAAGACAAATTTCAGTTGAAATAACAACTTAGTATTGCTATTTTAAAATTTCATTTAAGAATCAAAGCTAAATATAAATATATATAAACTGAACATGACTGACACTTGTGATCCTAGCACTAAGAAAGACCATGAGGCCTCCCTGGGCTAAAATCTGAGACCTTATCTCAAAAAAATAAAAAATAAAAATGCACATGGCCATGTAATAAGATTGCAAATGAGGAACACCCAAAAAAGAAAATGACAAATTTAGGTCATGTGTGGCAATACACCTATAATTCCAGTGCTTAGAGGGTACTGGATTTTTTTAGTTCCAGGCAGGTTGGACTGTACAATAAGGTTGTCTCAACAAACAAAATAGGAACAAAAACTCACCAGAATTTTACACCCTGCTCCCTTTGCAAATCTCACCACAGATAAGACATACTAGTATCAAGAGATTAAGCAAGTTTTAAGCTTAGAACCTACTTGATTAATATGCCCAATCAAGAATTCTTCACTATTGATTATCTTGGGGAAAAATTTTAGGAGTACAGATAAAATCAATGTGTATAGCCAGGCATGGTGGTGCACACTTTTAATGCCAGAACCTGGGAGACTGAGGAGGAAGAACTCTGTGTTCCAGGACAGTCAGAGACCCTACCTCAAAATACTACTACTACTAACAACAACAACAACAACAATCATAAATATCAGTAATGTAATGAGGTTACATTGTGATAAAGATCTTTACCATATTTATTTACTACTGGCTTGTAATAACTACATATCTTAAGAAAGGACACGCTATTTTTTTAGACTGTATAAGTGAAAGAGCACCTCTTATCTAAAATATACACAACAAAAAATGTTTCAGAATTTGGAATGTATATATATATAACAAGATATGTTTGGGATAGATTTCAAATCTAAAAACAAAACTCATTTGTTTCATCAACCCTGTGTTTGTTAGATTTTTGTCAACTTGACAACAGCTAGAGTCATAAGAGAAGGGGGACCTTAATTGAAAATTAGTCTATAGGCAAGTCTGTGGGAGCATTTTCTTGACTGATCATTGCTGTAGAAAGCCCAGTCTACTGTGGACAATGCCATCCACAGACAGTCCTGGGTAAGAAATAAAAGTGAACCAGGGGGATCAAGTCAATATACAGTATTCCTCCATGGCATCTGTTTCAGTTCCCACCTCAAGGTTCCTGCCCTGATTATCTTCAATGTTGGACCATGATCTTGATGTATAAGCCAAACACCATCATCTTCCCCAGGTTGCTTTTGGCCATGGTCTTTAATCACAGCAACAGAAAACTAAAGACAACATCTCACACACATCCAATGCTAACCTGTGCCTACATCTTGAGTATGACCTGTCATATGAGGGCAGATGTGGAAATTTTCATCATTGTAGTTGTGCTGGGACTCAAATTTTCTAGTTCTAAAGTGTTTCAGATTTCCTATTTTTTTCAGATTAGGAACATTCAACAAACACAAAAATTTATTTTCCCTAATTTTTCCAGGAATTCATTTAAATCCATCTAAAACTTTATCAGTATAAATTTACCTACCTTGGCCTTCTGGAACAATTCTGATTTATATGCTTCCTCTTCCATTATTATACCCAAATAACAATAGCAGCCAAGAACGCCCACCAGAAGACTTGAACACCGGACAAGTGTTTCTGAACTTGTAATCTTAAATCATAAATTTAAAAATATAGTATTAGAAATAAATAATTCTGTGTACTTGGAATTACCTCTGAAAAAGAAGTTCATGCATATATGAAGAAATAAAAATTCAGCAGAGTTAAAACTGGAATGCTCCAGGGTAGCCATTAAAATCAGCTTAAAGATGACTGTAGAGTTATGATAACCAATATTTCAAAACAAATAATCTAAGTTACTCCTAAAGACAGGTAGGAGTATCTCCTCCTACTCCTCCCAAAGTAGCAACATACAAGAAGGAAAAAAGAACAGTCCAGCAAGCAAACAAGTGTCTTAGAACATGAGCAGAGAGCTGGTCATGCTGCTCAGGGGAAGAGTGCGTGCCTAACAAACACAGGGCCTAGGTTTGATGCCCAATGCTGAGTGGAAAAAAAAAAAACAAGACGTTGAACATGATAAAAAACTAGATTCATAGAAAAACTGGTGTGGACCACACGACAACTATTGCTACTTGACAAAGTTTCAACTTTGTGAATCTCAGTTCTCCAGCACCCTTTTTCTTTTACTCTTTCATGATTCTCACTATGCTGCCATTCTCTTTGGAAATTTTGTGAAGGCTTGGGTGAAGGATGAAAATGTATAAAATGGCAGACTCTACAAAATTCTTTGGAAAAATCCCTGCCACCGTGGAATCATATAGGGCTCTAACTCTGCCTATTCCCACACAAGTTAACACCACCTGCTAGAAAACTTAGATAAGTAACATGTGCTTGATAAACAAGGTATATTTGATAATCAAGATTTATAAATTCCTAAGATCTATTCAAGTTCACAGCAATATTTGTCTAGCTTTGCTTTGCTCACTTTAAACTGATGTCTTTTCCCCAAAGTCAGGAAATTAGACAAAAGTCCCCATTTTCTCCAGGGCTTGAAGAAAGTTCCTGCTTACTAAAAAGGGAGTCATTCTTATCTCTGGCAAGAGGAACTTGTGGCCCTTCCATTAACCTGTTACCTTGTCAAGATCGACGCTAGCCCTGGATCCCTGGATCCCTGGTCACAAGCTGCATCCCAGATCACACGCCCCCTTTCTCTCACTTACTCCTCAGTGCAATGATAGAGTAGAAGACGGGTAGCCTTTTGTCAATAAAACAGGCAGCCACTCCCAATTCACCCCCAGATCACCTCAGTCTCCTCTCCACCTACTCCACCACTCCAGCAAAAACAACATTCTGAACGAGAGCCTTTACTGATTAGTAAGCTTTATCAGACTCCAGACTGTCAGAAAATATTTTTGCAAGTTTACATGAGTTAGATAACTTTACAGGGTTTTACAAAAGAACCCATAAAGATCATCTTGTTTTGTTCCAATCCTGTAAGAAAAGACATTCCTAAGAAGAAAACCACAGAAAACTAAATTACTTTAGAACAAAATTAGCTACAGCTGTGATAATAAAAACCATCAACAAATGGCAATGACAGAAGAAACAGGCACACTGCCCCTACCTGGATTTTTGGTCATTTTTCCTGGGTGCTTATTTCACTCATTTGGGGAGAATTTACAAGCTTTTTAAAATTGTGTCATTTACGTAAGACAGGACTTCGTATAAATTATAAAAATTAATAAACTAGTATGTCCTTTAAGCAAATTAAGATACATAAACATATAAATACCTGTGCTGTAGAAAATTATTTTAACATGTGTTGTTTTTGTTTATGCTGCATTTGTTTAACTCTGTGAAGCTGTAATTGTTTAAAACACCTAATTGGTCTAATAAAGAGCTGAATAGCCAATAGAGACGCAGAAGAAAGGACAGGTGGGGCTGTCAGACAAAAGGATAATTAGAAGGAGAAATCTGGGAGGAAGGAGATATAGCCAGAGAAAAAGGACTTGGGGCCAGCCATCCAGTTACACAGCAATCAACGAGTAAGAGAACGGAAAAAGTCCAGAGGCAAAAGGTAGACAGGATAATTTAAATTAAGGAAAGCTTGTCAAAAAAACAAGCCAATCTAAGGCCAGGCATTTCTAAATAGGAATAAGACTCCATGTGTGATTCATTTGGGAGCTAGAGGGCGGGCCCCCAAAAGAGTAAAGACATTATATACTACTATAACCTCAATTTTAAATAAATCTTACCTCAGACGAATAATTATTTAGAAGCTTTTCTGATAATTCCAGAAGATAATGATCCAACGATTCCTTAAGATTTTGATGGACAGAAAAGCTAACAGTAGATTGAAATTTTTCTACAGCACATTCTTTTGCAGTGGTTAAAAAATCCATCTTGTCAAAAGTTGTCTGCAGAAATAGTTCTTCTATATCTGAAAACGAAGGCTCTTCTTTATCTTGGCAGTGCCGTTCACTTTAAGGGAGAGATTACTGATTAATAACCACCATCAAACAACTTTTTCAACTTGTTTGCAATATATTACATGTAAAAACATCAAGAAAGGGGCTGGAGAGATGGCTCAGTGGTTAAGAGCATTGCCTGAGTAGTTCAATTCCCAGCAACCACATGGTGGCTCACAACCATCTGTTATGAGGTCTGGTGCCCTCTTCTGGCCTGCCGACATACACACAGACAGAATATTGTATACATAATAAATAAATAAATATCTAAAAAAAATGAAGAAAGCACTTGCAGCATTCAATGACTGCTCATACAATTCATGAATTATTCTGCCAAATGTTTCTCTTCTATGGGCAAATTAAATTCACATTGAAAAATGTCATCATTCCGTAGCGAACTTTACTCACAAAAATATAGAAGCTACAATTTAAAAGACAAATTCAGAGAACTCTTTAGACATTAACACTAGATAACTGAATGTAACCACCAAAAACATTGCCTTCTTTTCATTGCCAAAATGCATGATTTCTCTTTCATTTAATGCCTTTGAGAGAGAGACTGGGTATCTTTACATCACTGAGTTATTTTCAGTCACAATGACAAAATTAAGTCTTTAAATCAATCAACTAAAAACAAGGTTTTAGATATTTTTAATTTAATTGTAATTAAGGTTGATTGATTCTAGTTACACGGCTCAGGATGGTCTTCGTATTTTTAATAATTTATTTTTGTTTTATGTGTATTGGCGTTTTGCTTGTACGTATGTCTGTATGAAGGTGTGTCAGATCTTGGAGTTATAGACAATTTTTAGCTGCCATGTGGGTGCTGAGAATTGAACCTGGGTCCTCTGGCTGCTCTGCTCTCGGATCTTCAGGCAAATTTTATTTATTAAAACACAAATAATATACCACTATAATTTTTTTCTTTAATCAGATCAAATTAGATCAAAATTAGTAATAAACTTCCACACAGTCAGAATTATCTGTTTAATTAATACTATATCTTAAAACATCACATATTTTCTTATATAACATACCATTCTGGCACACTCTGAAAAAACTTCATTGCAGCTCGTGAGTTTTTCATAGTGAGACTTACAAGAATTTTCTCCAGTACAAGATGAGGAAAATTACTAAAAAAAAAAAAGAAAAGAAAAAAAGAAAAAGCTTTACTTAAAAGATCATATTCTCTGTGTTTAAAGCTACAAATTATGACCCCCTAGAACTCAGATCCCAAACTAAAAATGCTTTCATCTGTCCTAAATCTCTTAGTATTTGAAAGATTTATTAAAGAGGTTGGAACAATACTACTATAGTTTCCAGCACTACTAAAAATAAGCTATATATAATTTTAAAAGTAGGATTTTAAAAATTTATTTATTTAATATTCTTATTTTTATGTGTATCGGTGTTTTTCCCACATCAATGTCTGTACATGTGTGCCTGGTGCCCACTAGTCCAGCAGGCGGTGTAAGTTTCCGGGACTGGAGTTACAGACAATCGTGAGCAGGCACGTGAGTGCTAAGAATCATACCCTGGTCCTCTGGAAGAACAGCCATGCTGTTTAATTGCTTGAGTTATTTTTCGAGCACCCTTTCCCCCAATACTATTTCTGAGATAAAAGATTATAAACTAAGTTCTACCCTCTGGGGGAAAGGTAAAGCAGGGCCCATAATAGGCCTTAAATTCTACTTTGTTTTTCTTATCACTCAGGTAATGAATTTCACCAGAAAACACCCATTCTGATCACGGAATAAGAACAAGATAAGGGAATTGCTCAGAAGGTCACAAAGAAATACTTCAGACCAGGTGTGGTAGCACTTGCCTTTAATTCTAGCACTGAGAAAGCAGAGGAAAGAGAATCCCTACCAGAGGCCAGCTTCGTCTATATACTGAGTTCCAATCCAAACCACCCAGTTACATGGTGAGACCCTGTCTCAAAAAAACGAGCCAAAAAAGAAAAAGAAAAGAACAGGTATAATTTATAAGGGAGAAAGACATTCTGATGTCGTACTATGGAATGGGTGATCATAATAATTTACTGTATATTTTCTAAAAAAGTCAAGTCATAGTTTTCAATGTGTTCCTAATAAACAAATTACAATTATTTGAAAAGATAGTATGTTTACCCTTATTTAAACATTTTACAATGTATGCAAGTATCAAAATATTAAATGATATACCACAATTATGAATGTTTATAAATATTCTAAATTTTTTAACAAGAATTATGTGTCTATCCTTCATGACCATCTCCCATATCCTACAGTGATGTAATCTTTTATTTTAGAAATGATCAAGCACAAAGATACAGGTAACTTCAGTATTTTAGACATAACTCCAGGAAATTCTGCATTATGATTATAAAATTAAACTATCTGACATTAAATATGTAGATTGAGCCTTATAAAATTAAACAAGTAGACATGTACAGACAAAACAAAACGAGAATCCAGGAGTATTCCAATAAATTACCATTACCTCTGAAGAATCGGGGGTGGTTCCGTGCTGACTTCTAAATCATCCTCTAACTGGTAGAATAAGAGCCATCTCATTATTGACTCCTTTATAGAGGAACTTTTATTTACTTCACACATACTTTGTTCTATTCCCAATTTCATTGCATCCGGAACTACACAGATAGTAAGTGCCATAGTCAAACAGCATACTGAAGGACTATAAAGAAACACAAGACGACGTTTAGAAACAAGCTCTCTGAGGAGCCTTACCTACTTATCCTGCTTTCCACTGAGCCTCTCAAGTTCAGAGCAATAAAAGGTACATTTTGTTAAAAGGTTACATTTGAGAAAACTCTTGATTTTTCTGTCCAATAAAAATATACACAACTACAAAAATGTTTATGAATAGTGAATAATTATTATATATAGGTAAAAGATTTAAACTTTATAATCCTTCAAAGGAAACTGGCCTAAAAAAATAAAAAGGTAGAACACAATGATTCATATCTTTAATCCAGGCAGTTGGGAAGCAGAGGCAAGCAGATGGCAGATATCTCTAAGTCTGAGGATAGCCAATTCTAGAAGTAGAGGAAATTAGGGCCACACAGTAACCCTATCTCCAAAAAAAAAAAACAAAACAAAAAACTAAATTGGCCCAAAAAAAACCTCTGTATTATTAAGCATTTGGGTCCAAACAAAAGTACCCAAAACAAAACCTAATATATCTTCTACTGAAGTAACAAACTACAAAAGGAATCCACTTATGTCCATATGTAAAATCAAATATAATGCAACCTACCTTGAAGGTTTACAGGCTGAGCCAGTAAATAACTTCCAGAATTCTCTGTCAAGTTCAATTAAACTACCTTGAATAATGGCCCCAAGTAAACCAAAGTTTTCATTTTGTGTATGTTCAGAAGTTATACCACGAAAGGCAATAGACCAAATTTTAATCCACAGTTTCAATAAATCTGACTTTTGAGAGCTTTCTAGGTTTGATTTCTTGCCTTGACATAAGGCAACTTCCATCAGGCATCGCAACACATATGGTGTGCGTTCTCCACGCCGCTGTTGAGGGAGAAGCTGGTACAGTATTAGTAGTAATGGCGACAGCTCACAGTTTGGTAAACTGGATGGATACTTTGATATTAATTGGGTTGTAATCTGTAGCCTGAAAGAAAAAAAAAAAGAATTAATCTGAAATTTTTTTCAATCCCATTAACAACCTAAAAGAAACAAATATACAAATTATATACCCACTGGGCAGTTGTAGCACATGCCTTTAATCCCAGCACTCAGGAGGAAGAGGCAGGCGGATCTCTGTGAGTTAGATACCAACCTGGTCTACAAGAGTTAGTTCCAGGACAGGCTCTAAAGCAACACAGGGAAACCCTGTCTTGAAAAAACAAAGAAGCAAAAAACAAAAAAATTATAGACCTTTATGTATCCTAACTAAAGTATCATCTTCACTCTTTCCCATAGTGCTTTCAAAATAGAATAACTTGATATTTACTAGGCCCTGCTGCCAATTACAGAAGAAAGAAAGAAGTATAACTTCTGGCTGTTCCATTGGAACCTCCAGCTCACTCCTGCTTCATCTGAAAGCCCCATTCCTAGCTCTCTCTCAGAGAATCAAGAAATGGAAGGCACCAAAAAGCCCAGTTTTGCACTCTTGGCTGCTACAGCAGCTCCTCCCCTGAAATTGTCAGCCCTTCTAAAGTCCAAAGTTCCTGCTTAAAGTAGTCTGTTTTTGACCATACTTGGACATAAGACCAGCTTGTGGTGGACACGTCCTCACTCCTTGCCTACAACCTATATAAGCTCCCTGCTTTAGTTCAGGTAGATATATGACTTCTCCTGCCTCTATCTTGGGGGGCTGGAGAAATCACCTAGAATTTGCCTTGCTCAAATAAACCTGTTCTTTTACTCTTTCAGTTTGGTTTGATCCGGTTTACTGTATGCCTGGAGAAACGTATTATCAGAATACAGAAAACCTATTACTGGCTAGCTAGATCTTTTTTTTAAAAAAAAAATATTTATTTATTTATTTATTATGTATATAATATTCTGTCTGCAGGCCAGAAGAGGGCACCAAACCCCATTACAGATGGTTGTGAGCCACCATGTGGTTGCTGGGAATTGAACTCATGACCTTTGAAAGAGCAGGCAATGCTCTTAACCACTGAGCCATCTCTCCAGCCCCTGGCTAGCTAGGTCTTTACATAAAACCTCAAAAAAAAAAAAAGAGAAAGAGAGAAAAAACTAAATTTCTGATCTTTAGTCACCAAAATTATTCTATGTTAAAAAAAAAAAAACCTAAACATTTCTAAACATTTGTTCTTTGAAACCAATTTATTATTCAACACAATGTGTTGTCTATTCTCTAGAACAGTGATTCTCAACCTGGGAGTTTAACAGCGCTTTCACAGGGGTCATAGTCATAGATCAGATATCCTGCATATCAGATATTTACATTATGATTTAGAAGAGCAGCACAATTACAGTTTTGAAGCAGTAACTAAAATAATTTTATGGTTGAAGTTACTACAACATGAGACACTGTATTGAAGGGTGGCAGCATTAGGAAGGTTGAGAACCACTGGTCTAGAAAGAGTGCTACTCAAAACCAAGAATCCTGTATTGTTCATTGCTGCATGTCTAAAGTATGACACATAAAAGTCATTCAGTAATTCTTATTTTGTTTGTTTTTGCTTTTCGAGACAGGGTTTGTCTGTGTAGCCCTGGCTGTCCTTGAACTCAGGGAGAGATCTGCCTGTCTCTGCCAAGTGCTGGGATTAAATGTGTGCATCGCCATCGCAGAGCTAGTTATTCTTGATTAAATAAAGAATCTAAAGTAGAACTGTCAGGTATATAAATATAAAGTTAAGCAATAAGTAACAAAGTCTATATAGTTTTCCCCACAACTCAATTATATCTAAGTATTTCAGCAATCTGGTGAAAACTACACAAAAACACAAAAACCCTGTAATTTCTAAGTGTCTTTAGGTACTCTGCTTAAATAGAGCTGGTCCATTTCAGCAAAGTGGAACAGGCCTAACTAGATATAGTCTAATGATCCTTATCAGAGCTAATCTGTGATTCTAAAATTGGGCACATTTAAATACGCATGAATGAAAATAAAAAGAGGAAGAAGAAAAAAAAAACAAAAACAAACCCTACTATCATGACAAAGATCAAAATTACCCTATGATTCCTTAATGTTCTTTAATTCACTGCTAATCCAACCTACATGAAGGTACTTTGCACTGGGGGGGAAGGGGGAGTCTTCTTAATGAGGTTTATAACTCAGTGAATGCTGAGGGCAGAAAATACAGACTGCCTAGCACACCCAGGCCCCACTTCCCTGCTATGTCTACACACCTAAGAAGGTAGTCTTCTCTAGTGCAGCAGATGAGCCTTTAGTGGTTAGCTCAATATGCTATAGCAACCACACTTTGTTACTACTAGCTGGTTTGGGAGTAGACAAATGACAGCTCTGGTCAGTGGACACTTTCTGGGAAAAATACAATTAAATGACATTGAATGAGAAAAATAAACATTTTACCAAGGCACAATATCAAAATCATTTTGTGACTTCTGAAGATGATCTTTTATCACTTCCCAGCCTACTTCTATTTTCCTTTTCTTACAAGGCACGCTGTAATCAGTGGATTCTCTTTGTGTAGTATAAGACTGAGAAATCTCCACGGATCTGGTATCTGCATTAAAAAGCTGCAAAAAAAAAATAAAAAAAAAAGAAGAAGAGGAAAAAAAAACCACATTTTTATTGCTACAATTACAATTTTCTAGTAAAACATTGGGGGAAATCTTTCTCAAATGAAGATACAGGAACTCATAATAATTAACAAGTTATAGAAATATATAAACATATTAAGAGAAAAATCTTAGCAAATATTTGCATGTAGGTAGCATTATTTCCTGGGGATATTTACCAAAACTGCAAAAAGTGTATTTTCAACAGGATTAAAACTTAAATTTCCAGGCTGGAAAGATGGCTCAGCAGTTAAAAGCACTGATTGCTCTTCCAGAGGACTCAGGTTCAATTCCCAGCACCCACAGGACAGGTAACAACTGTCTGTAACTTCCAGATATGACACCCTCACAGACAAATACATGCAGGCAAAACACCAATGCAAATAAAATAAAAAGAAATTTAAATTTGGCCAGGTGGTGGTGGCGCATGCCTTTAATCCAACACCTGGAAAGCAGAGGCAGGTGGATCTCTGTGAGTTCAAGGCCAGCCTGGTCCTTAGAGTCCAAGATAGCCAGGACAGAAACTCTGTCTCAGGGGGGAATAAAATAAATTTAAATTTACCATTAACATTTAAGAGAGCAAAACTACCACCAGGTAATCAACCAAATCTGTATGAAGAAGAGTTTTACTTAAGACACACAGTAGGGTATCAACTGATGAATGGTTAAGCAAAATGTACTATACACATATAATTATTGTTCCATTATAAGGAATAAAATACTAATTTATATTGCCCAATGGGAAATACTACGTGATGTAAAGGAAGCCAGGCACAAAAGCCCACATACATATGACTCTATTTTTATAAAATATCCAAAACAGACAAACCATTCAGATATTAGAAGTAGCTTAGTAGCTAGGAGAAACAAATAAACCTAACTGAAAGCTAGGAGGTCTGAAGTTTCTTTTGAGATAACAGAAAGACTCTGGAATTAGATTTTGGTGATAGTCTTAGAACAAACTAAGAATAATTACTATTGTAAATATCAGTGAATTTTATGCTACATGATAATTTAACTTTTTAATTAAGGTATATTCACCTTCCCTGTATGATTGTCACCACTAGCTCCAGACATATGTTCAAAAGAGTTATCTTTCAATTATAAGGGTTAATTTCAAATACACATAACTTGAAAATCATTTTTTTATATATAGAATAATTTTATAGGCTTCTTGTGATCATGAAAGGTATAAAAGCACAGCAGAAAGAAAATTAACAGGAAATTTCAAATGTGACAACAGCTACTATACCTGGTGACAGATATCTGCCATCAAGTCAACCAAATTTTCCTTGACTGCAATATTACGAGATCCTGAAGAGTATTTCCCTCTACTTCCTATGTGACTTATTTCATTCACCAGCAGGTCATATAAGTTGTACAAGATACTTTTCCATTTCGCTGATTCATAGGCACCTGTAATTCAGAAACAGGTATTTATATACAAACCCATCTGCACTGCCAGCTCCCACATCAATATCATGTCCAGTCCAGCGTCTCTTCAGTACTAATGCCTCTTGGGCCATAGCTTTGAAAACTCTACTCCCTAAGGGTTCACTTCATAATTAGGTAACTGTGGTTGTTATTAATGTCCTTACATTCTCATCAAAATCTTCCCTTTTTGTATGATGTCCCCTAAGGAAGATAATATGCCCTCTTCCACATGAGTAACAGTTTCTATTTTATGGGGGTGAGTTTTGAGATAGGGTTTCTCTGTGTAATAGACCTGGCTGTGCTGGAATTTGCTTTGTAGACCAGGCTGGCCTCAAATTCAGAGATCTGCCTGACTCTGCCTCCTGAGTGGTGGGATTAAAGGAGTGCACCACCACTGCCTAGCTTTCTGTTTAACTGTTATAAGTGTTAACAGGAAACTATTACTAGCTTCTTCAACGAGTACATATATGATGCCATCCGTTTATGGTGGTTATCGCACCATTCAAGTCATACTCCAGTTAACTTATGTCTCTCTTAAAATGCTGACCTGGAGTCTGCAAAGTCTGGTGAACATAATTCTCCAACTGTCTAAGTCTCATGGAAAAATACAGGGTTGCCGGGCGGTGGTGGCGCACGCCTTTAATCCCAGCACTCGGGAGGCAGAGGCAGGCGGATCTCTGTGAGTTCGAGACCAGCCTGGTCTACAAGAGCTAGTTCCAGGAGAGGCTCCAAAACCACAGAGAAACCCTGTCTCGAAAAACCAAAAAAAAAAAAAAAATACAGGGTTATCAATTCTCACAAACAGTATACCATAAAAATAAATTATTGGAGGCTAAAACCAGGTGAATTTTCTGGCAGCCTGATCATCCTGTCAAATTTCCACCATAAATATGCAGTTAACTAACATTTGATACCACTTGTTAACCAACCTCATTTTTTTTTTTTTATCCTGGTTAGAACAGGGTAAAAGACAAAGAACTGGGAAGTCACATCATTTCATGGGCTACAGAAATCTAAGAGCTGATACATATGGAATAGAAAGTGGCTACAACGGCTATCTCCCATTCTAGGTGTTGTTATTTATGTGGCAGTCATCTTAACAAAAATTATCACTATTAGCCACAATGAACTAGTACAAGGCTAGTGTAAGCCCAAAGGCAATTACAGATAGTCACGATGGAGTTCTTTTAAGTCAGTTGTCATTCACTCTAATTCCAAAAGACTGAAGAGCAATACTTGGTTTAAAAAAAATAAGGGAAGGGCTGGAGAAATGGCTCAGCAGTTGAGAGTACTGACTACTCTTTAAGAGGTCCTGCGTTCAATTCCCAGCAACCACGTGGTGGCTCACAATCACCTATAATGAGATCTGGTGCCCTCTTCTGGCCTACAGGCAGGATTCTGTATAAATAAATAAATAAATAAATCTTTAAAAAAATAAATAAGGAAAACAATCAGGAAGGAAATTAAACCAATGTTTTACTGTTGCTGCTTTCATTCTCCAAAAAAGGTGTAACTAAAGGCACAAGGTGCAGTCGTTGACCCATTTAACCTTGCATCTCTTTGCAAAGTCTTAAGTACAAAACCTCTTTAGAAACTGAATAATTGGATTGCCTGTTTTCAATTTAGCTTTCTTATTTTCTACTAGAAATAAGAAGCAACATGTAGATAAACAAGTTCCTGCATTTTCTAAACCTCTTTGCTCTACAGCGTGTGTCACCTCTTAACACTGAAGAGGGATAAATGGCTTTTAGAGAAATAGGCAATGTCTCATATTTGGTTGCATCATACTTTAGTGAACAATAGAAAGGCAAGATATAATTTACTGCCAATAATTCAAATTCAAGAAAATGTATAAAAAACAGTCAAGACTAATTACACTATTAATCAGAGATACTTCATTCATCTACAGAATATTAATATCATGCTTAGGCCTCTTACATTTTAATGAATCATTTTCAAACCAGAAAAACTTCCCGTTATACCTTTTTCAGGGGCTTTAGCTCCTTGTGGATGATGGATATAAATCTGCAGTTGAATTAGTTCAATAATTACTTCTTTTAAAGAATCATTAAGTCTATGTTGAGTCCAAATATACAGTAAGGTAGGAAGAATTTCATCTCCTACTTCACACACACGTTTCCGGAAGTTGACAGCCAACGTCTTGAGGAAAATGACAAGGGCTGCTAAGATATGACTGAAGCCAGGAGAGCTCTTCTCTTGTCTGCAACAGAAGACAAAGTCAACTCAGTGTAATTTTCAAACGGTATCATATCTTGGGTTCAAATCTCTTTGGAAAACAAACAAAAACTAAACACAACAGCACTAACCTGCTGTGGAATATTACTTTAACCATGTAAAGGTATGTTGCACTTATTTATGCTGCATTTGTTTAATGAGGTAAAGATGTGGTGCTTTGTCTGCCTAAGGCACCTGATTGATCTAATAAAAAGCTGAAGGGCCAATAGCAAGGCAGTAGAGGAATAAACAGGGTGGGCAGGCAGAGAGAAAAAGAGAAGGATCTATTCTTGAAAAAAGAGAACAAAGGAGAAAGAGAGGGACAGCCCCAAGGCCAGTCAACCGTGCAGCCAGACACGGAAGAAGCAGGAAAAGCAAAACATATAGAATGAAAGAAAGGTAAAAAGCCCTGAGGCAAAATGTGGAAGAAAAGCAGGTGAAAGTAAGTTTTAAGAGCTAGTGGGACAAGCCTAAGATAAGACTGAGCATTCATACATGATATTAACTTTCTGTGTCTTGATTTGGGAGCTGTTTGGCCATCCAAGAAAGCCTGTTACACTAACCAGTAACAAAAACATATTCTTCTCACTTGGGGTCAAGAAAATTGTTGCTAAATCTCTCTACTACTAAACCACTGTCTTAAAACACACACAACTGATTTGTATACCTACAATTCACACGTTTAACATGAACTAGAAAATGTCATAGAGATGTGTACCAATGTTTCCAAAATATTGTATTATTCTCATTATACCACGTCTATCCTTAAAATGGAATTACTTAAGTGATATTCAACTTCCCTAAAATAGTTTATTACCTTATTCTCAATATACTTCATCTATCCTTAAAATGAAGAGAATTACTTAAGATACTCAACTTCCCTTATTATCATATGAAAAAAGATCCCAAGGCTCACATTTAGTGTTTATTAAGGAAATTTGTATCTGATCCTTGGAGAAACGGCTGGTTCTGAGTGAATGGTTACTTCTGAGACAGTATTTTACCCTCTCACTGATGCAATGAGTTATCTTTTCTCCAAACTGTTGATAGCCTTTCCTGTTTGTTTCTATAGAACCACTTTATCACACCGTGGTTTGGCTTTCAGGTCTTGCACAGCTAATGATGTTAAATGTATTCATTATAAATTCACTGATTGCATAATTATCTTTCTTTTCTCATCTATTTTCTTTTTTTTTCCAAAATATTTATTTATTTATTTATTATGTATACAATATTCTGTCTGTGTGTATGTCTGCAGGCCAGAAGAGGGCACTAGACCTCATTCCAGATGGTTGTGAGCCACCATGTGGTTGCCGGGAATTGAACTCAGGACCTTTGGAAGAGCAGGCAATGCTCTTAACCACTGAGCCATCTCTCCAGCCCCCTCTCATCTATTTTCTTATGATACAGACCAAAGTGGCTGTAAACTTAAAATCATCCTAAACAGAGTCTCCAAAGAACAGGAATTACAGAAGTACACCCCTACACCTAGCCCTTTGCTTACCTTTTATAAGAGTAATAATAAACCAATTTTATTAATTCTTTAGAGAATTTCATACAATGTGTCTTGATCAAATTCACCCCAATCTTATCTCCTAATGATATGGTCTTGTTATTCAGTTTCCTGACGTCATATAATCTGGCTGTTAAGTCTTTAATAAGATAAACAGTGTGCAAAAGCCCCTTCCATTTGCAAAGCTATCTCTTCACTCTTCTCAGTATTTTCTTTCTGTTAAAAAGCTGCAGTTAATGTGATTTTATTTATCCCTTTTTTGCTTTTGTGTTTTTGTAGGGTATCCCAAAAGATCACTGTGTTTATCTTAAGAAATAATTTAGTGTGTGCAGACACACACACACATAAGCATGAAGATCTCTAAAGGAAGATGCTGGGTGTCCCAACTGTTCTCCACATCATTACCTTGAAAGAGGATCTCTCACTCACTTGAAGAGTTTGCCATTTTGGAGCAAGGCTGGTGGTCATCAAGTCCTAATGATTCTGTCTCTGTGCTGAATTTAAAACTTGTCACACTACACTGAGCTGTTTTATGTGGTGGAGGAGGTGGCTTGGTGAATACAAACATTTGGTGTGTCCCTTCTATCAGTATCTTAAAGTGTTTCGTCTGTTTGCTTTCCTCAAGTTTCTAAGTTACAAATAAAGCTTTGGTCTATTTTAAGGTTTTAGGTTTGTTTTTGTTTTTCATGTAGGATGTGAAATAGAGGTCAAGTGCATATAAAAAATGAAATACCACATTTGAATTCTATGGTCAAAAAAATAGAAATATCCTGATTTGATCATTACATACTGTATATCTATTACCATATTTTACATCACAAATCTGAGCAACTGAAATAACCACTGTTTAAAAAGTAGTATATTTTAGCCACTATATCTAAAACATGGTGATGGCAAGAAGATCTAACACAGTTTGGTACAATATGAAAACACAGTGATTAGATTACCTTGCATACTGAACAGCCTTGGAAAAAAAATCTAAAAACTGTGAAGGTAATCCGTCAGTCTGTGAACAGCATCCTCCAGTGACAGCATGAATTATTCTAGCCACTAAAACTCTATTCATCTCTTGTGACGGTCTGAGATACAACTTGAAGTACACAGAGAACAATTCTAAAAATTGGGGGAGAAAAGTATTAGCTAATTATTTTAAAGTATATTCAACATCACAATTCAACTTAAGTATGCCATAATTCTCCATAGGCAAGAGCATTAAAGATTATCTGAATTTAACAAATACTCCATAAATGTTTAGATATTATACTTAAAATAGGAACATAAGTAACACGGTGTGTGGGAATCTGTTTTAACAACTAAACCTCAGATAAGCTACCTAACTTCTCCATGACCACATTCCTTTATCTAGGTTTAACAAAGTCTTTGACAGAGTCTTGGTGTCCTATCAATGATGTTCTTTAAATATATTACCATTTATGAATGGCCTTGCATTACTCTCACTGTAATTACAATCACTCTGCTTGTAATTAACCAACAGTATAAAAGTTTCATGCTTTTTGTCAAAGGATATGAGCTTCTTACTCAAAGAAAAAGAAAAGTTTACTCCTCACAGCAGTAACAGCAGGCAGAATACTTCCATCTCTGCATTAGTTTCCCAAACCTCAATAGCATCAGGAAGAGGAACATCTGATCCACATGAAAATAGCACTTTTATAAACAAATGGGTTAAAAGCAAAACCATTCTTTGTATGAAGGAAGCCACTGACTCTACCTCCCAAGTTATTCACTATACAATCAATACACCCTTAAAAAATAGTAGTCTGGACAAAAAAAAAAAAAAAGCAGCCAGTATCTCTGTCAGAGACATGCAGAAAAGTAAAATCAACTGAGAATTATCCCAAATATAATAATAAAAAATAAGCTAGTGGCTTACAACTTTATTCTTATTAGAAGATAAAGAGACAGTAATAAACAGAAAGTATAACAACTATTTGTATCTTCCTTTTCAATTGTTTATGTCAGATTTTGGAGAAATGGATAAATGGCTTAAAATTGGGTATCGTACAAGATATAAGGCCAATATAAATAATTTAAATATTATATTGCAATAAAGTATTTCAATCAAGCTGGGCGGTGGTGGCGCATGCCTTTAATCCCAGCACTCGGGAGGCAGAGGCAGGCGGATCTCTGTGAGTTCGAGGCCAGCCTGGTCTACAAGAGCTAGTTCCAGGACAGGAACCAAAAAGTTACCGAGAAACCCTGTCTCAAAAATCAAAAAAAAAAAAAAGTATTTCAATCAAACTTCAAAATAAGAGTTGATAGAATTATATCAATTATGCCAACATATTTTCATTGCATGAAATAGCTACTCAATGGTAAAAACGCTTCTACATATAGAAGAGGTATTCTTTTAAATAATTTTCTCTTTTATTGACAGATTAGGTGAGACGAAATAGCAAAAGACAAAACTGCAACTGCTTCTCATTAAAGCACAGACTTCAAGACACACGTTACTTGGAAATGATTCAAATGATAACAGAATCCATCATGCTCTGCAGGAGGGGATATAAAGGATGGCAAAGACATTTCTAGACGTCTCAGAAGAGCAGAATCCTGCTTCTTCAAAAGGAGTGATATATACGTATTCAGATGTATATAATTTCTCCATGAATCCAGTAACAAAAAAATCAAAGTAGATAGTAAAATTATATATGAGAAATTCGTTTCTGAAGTTGAAAAAAAACCTCAAATATTATCAAGTGTAAATTTCTTGAGACATTATACACGAGTAATCCTGTCACTTGCAAATGAACTAAATGATATAAACCTTTCAGACCTGCTACTTTTGCTTAGCAGCCTGGACTACAATACAATGCTGAAATGCTGTACAAACGGGCTTGACTCTGGTAAGGCCTCAAGTCGCATAGCATCACAATGGTAGGAAAACTTATATGATCAGTGATTTGGAATCAGGGTTTAATATCTTTCTCAAGTGCTAAAACAAGGATATCGGAAATAAAAAAAAAACAATCATTATCACATCACTGAACAATCTGGAAATAGAAATTAAAAAATAGCACTTTGCATGTCAAGTAAGTCAATGGGTAAGATATTCTAATGCATTTGATTTTCATTGCCTGGTCAGTTACCTAATATCTCTGCCCAATCCAATAAATACTTATACACTTCATCCTTTCTGTATCATTTAAAGTGTCCACCATCCACCACATCCCTTTGAACTCAGAATACTTGATTTCCTTTTTCCTTTTTCTTTCTTTTCTTCTTTTGGTTTTTTTGTTGAGACAGGGTTTCTCTGTGTAACAGCCCTAACTGTCCTGAAATTCACTCTGTAGACCAGGCTGGCCTTCCGAGTGGTAGTATTAAAGGCATGCACCTCCACCGCCCAGGCAGAACTCTAGCTTTCAACTTCTGTAACATCTCTTCCTCTTTTGGTTTTCTCCTTTCTCCATTATTTATGGTCCAGTTGAGATGTCACTGTTGTGTGTACACACTGTATGTGCACGTATGTGTATTGAAACAAATGGCATGGTAATTTTTAGTTGACTGGACTTTATTCAATAATTGGATTGCTGAATAGTTAAAAACAGAGCAGTAATCTTTGAAATCTGCAATTCCAGTTCTGGTAGTAAGCATCTACTATAAACTATACGTGACTTCATAATTTTAAAAGTATATTATAAATAAAAATTGAGAACTGAACATGGTAGTGCATACCTGTCTATAATCCTAGCTCTTGAGAGACCAAGGCAGGAGGATTGCAAGTTAAAGGCAAGAACATGATATGTAGCAAGATGTTATCTTTTTTTTTCTTTTTTTTAAGATGTTATCTTGAAGAAGAAAAGAATTAAGGAACTGATACTGTAATGATATAATTTCATCAATGTAATGTTAAACTGTGAGTCATGTGTAGGTTGTATAATGCTTTTACTATTAAAATTTTATCTTATAAGAGAAAATAATCACAGCCTTCAAAACATACCTAGCCACTGTTGCTGAGATATTTCACACCAGTATTTCCTCACAGAAAGAATGTCTTTGAGTAGTATGTTGCTACAATCAGATCCATAAGTTACTCCATTAGATGAATCTTTCACTGTATCCATGACATAATTCAAGAGGTCTTGACATTTTAGCCTGGGTGCTCCTATTTAAAAATAAAATGAAAAGGTAAAAACATAAAGATATTAAAAGTAAAAAAAACCTTGGAATGCCAACTTTTTAAAATGATTCCATTCATGAAATTGCTCTCAATTCACTTTCTCCTATAACAGGGATTAGTAAATTCTATAGTCCCTGAGTAAAATTCAACTGGTTGGCTATTTTGTTAAAAAAAATTTACTGGAGGGCTGGAGAGATGGCTCAGAAGTTAAGAGCATTGCCTGCTCTTCCAAAGGTCCTGAGTTCAATTCCCAGCAACCACATGGTGGCTCACAACCATCTGTAATGGGGTCTGGTGCCCTCTTCTGGACTGCAGGCATACACACAGACAGAATGTTGTATACATAATAAATAAATAAATATTTAAAAAAAAAAAAATTTACTGGAACACAAACATATTCATGCATTTACTACTATAAATGACAAGAAATGAGTACAGATATATGGCCCAGAAAGTTAAAACAAAATTTTTTTTCTATATGGCCCCACTGAAGATTAAATTTGACAATTCATAAAGATACAGCAAAAATAAAGATTAATTCTTATACTTAACGATTCACAATTCCTGGCATTAGACTTATAAGTATCTGAGCATATTTATGAATAAATTTATTAAAATAATCTTGGATTATTCTAACTAGAAATAGCCTATTTACTCTAAAAAGCACGATGACTTTCATGGAATCTAACAGCATACAAGTGACACACACATAGAAAAGGCTGAATTCTTAGCAACACATTTTAGATTCTAAAAATTCAGTGCTAATAAGACAAATATTCTTTTAAAACGGGCACTTAAAGCAGACACCTTTTCTAAAATTTTATTATTTATATTTGAACAGGTGTTTTGCCTGCATGTATGTATATATGAACCACATGCGTGCAGTGCCAGAGGCCAGAAGATGACCTGACACCAGATCCCCTAGAATTGGAGCTATAGGTGGTTGGGAGCTCCCATGTGGGTAAATCCAAGTCTTCTGGAAAAGTAGCCAATGCCCTTAACCAGAATCATCTTTCCCACATCTAGATGTATAATCTCAAGAGTCACAAAATTACATTTAAAAACAATTTAAACAAGACACAGTATTATACACCAATAATCTCAGTGGCCCCAGGTAAAGGCATGATTAGGAAGGTCAAGGTGTCATTCTTGACTACACAGTAAGTTTAAGAACACTCTCTCCAACATAAGCTGTCATCAGTGATTTTGATCTTAGCCATTCTGACAGGTGTCAGTTGGTATTTCACAGTTATTTTAATTTGCATTTCCCTGATGACTAAGGATGCTGAACAATTCTTTAAGTGTATTTCAGCCATTTGAGATTTTTCTGTTGGGAATTCTCTGCTTAGAGCTGTACTCCATTTTCTATTCGGTATTTAGATGACCCAGCTAAGACTCCTAGCAATAGTGGAGAGAATGCCTGAACACCATGGCCATCTACTGAAATCAGACTGGTAACTTCACTAATAGTCATCAGAGAGCCTTTATCCAGTAACTGATAGAAGCAGATGCAGAGATCCACAGCCAAGCACAGGGCAAAGCTCTAGGAGTCCTCCTGAAGAAAGGGAAAGAGGAGATCGTATGAGTCAGAGGGGTCAAGGTCATGATGGGGGAACCCACAGAGACAATTAACCTGAGTTCATGAGAGCACATGGACACTGGACCAACAGTTAGGGAGCCTGCATGGGACCGGCCTAGGCCCTCTGCATGTGTGTGACAGTTGTGTAGCCTGATTTGTTCATAAGGCTCCCAGCAGTGAGGACCTGTCCCTGGCGCTTAGCTGGCTTTTGGGAACCTGTTCCCCAAGCTGAATTAACTCACAGCCTTGATGCAGGGGGAGGACCTTGGTCTGACTTCGACTTGATGTGCCAAGCTTTATTCAAGCTGCTGGAGGCCTGCCCCTTTCTGAATGGAGGAGGAGTGGATGAGAAAGGGATAAATGAGAGTTGTGGAGGAAACAGGAAAAGAGGAGGGAGGGAAAACTGGTTGGTATGTAAAATAAATGAAAACAACGTTAATTAAAAAAAAAAAGTTTAAGAACACCCTGAGCCACATAGAGACCCTGTCTGTTTTGTTTTGGAGTCAGGGTTTCTCTGTAGCTCAGAGCCTGTCCTGGAACTAGCTCTTGTAGACCAGGCTGTTCTCAAACTCAGATATCTGCCTGCTTCTGTTTCCTGAGTGCTGGGATTAAAGGCATGCGCCACCACCACCTAACAAGACCCTGTCTTAAAATTAAGAAACAAGAGTAAAAACTTTAAGTCAGGTATGGTGGTGCATATCTGTAACTCATGAACATAGGAGTCTGAAGACAACTTGTGAGAGTCAGTTCTCTCCTTCCAACTTCCTAGAGACTGAACACAGGTTGTCAGGCCTGGCAGCAGGTACCTTTTACTTGCTGAGCCATCATGCTACACCATGGATTCGCCTCATTTTAGCCTAAAGTTGCTATTACAAAGTGTACAAAGTCTGAGATCTCTCAACAAATGATATTTGTTCTAGTTTTCAGTGCTATGTAAAACCTATTTCTTTGCAAAAGCTTATGATGATCCTGCATTTCTGCTTCAAAAAATGTCATTCTTGACGTAGTAAGTCAGTTCCTCTGGTGAGGTGCTTACTGCCAAGCCTGAAGATCTGAGTCCAATCCCCAGGACAATATGGTATAAGGAGAGCACCAACACCTACAAGTTGTCCTCTGACATCCATGAACACATCATGGCAAATGCATATACATGTATACAAAATAAAGAAAATGTAGTGAAGTTTTTAAAAATCAATCCTTCAGAATATCAACTGTATGCACTAGAGATACTGCTCAGCGATGGGGAGCTGATCTAGCACAAACAAGACCTCAGGCTTAGCACCCAGTACCATATATGCATCTACACACACACACTTAACTATACGTAAGTTCAAGATGAAAGATATGAGGTTTATCAGTGACATGCACACAAAAAAAGGACTTGACCTTTATTCTTTAAATGACAGCACAATATACAACTGTATTTTGACTACAAGAATGCTAGCGTTATCTCAGAATGAATAAATTCTGGAGCAATTGCTTAGTTAGTAAAGTGCTTGATTACAGGAATAGAGACCTATGTTTCATTTCCCAGACCACACACCAAAAAGTTGGGCATGGTGGCATGCACATGTAATCTTTGCATGAGGAAGACAGACAGGAAGATCCCTGCAGCTTGTTGGTCAGCAAGTCTAACTTATTGGCAGCCTCCGGGCCAACAAGAAACTCTGTAAGAAAACACAGGTGGATGGCACCAAAGGAGTGACAGCTGAAGTTGTCCTCAGAACACTTGGGTGCACCCATCACTTATAGGCATGAACACAAACACACACAAATAAATAAATGCATCATGGGGGCACATATCTGCAATCACAGACAGCACAAGGAAGATCTGAGACAGCAGAATCACAAATCTAAGCTAAAGTGAAAGACCTTGTTTCACAAAACAAACTTGAAACAAATATGCTGTAGACTATGTCAGTTAGATTATACTACAAAGTCGAGTTCCACCTTTTTTGAGAGAAATAACAAACCAAAGAATATGAAAGAGAGTAAAATAAAAACAAGTTCACATGAGCTGGAAGAATTGGGTACATTTACCTTAGAAAAAAAGAACATGGGAATTCTATGACTATTTTCAAATATATCAAGTGTTATCATCTGAAATAATTACCAGGTTTTCTGTATATCACTTAAGAATTTGTAGGGGTTAAAGTGATAGCTCAATGGAGAACATCTAATGTTCTTGCAGAGGACTTAGATTTGGTTCCCAGCATGTACATGGTAGTTTATAACCATCCAGAACTCCAGTTCCAGAAGATTCTTCTATCTACAAGTACTAGGAACATATCATATGGTACACTTACACATATGCAGACAAAATACCCATATACATAAATAGATAAGTCTGAGAAATTAAGACTTATTAAGAAGCAGTAATAGAGACAGATTTTTTTTAAAAAAATCCTTAAAATTTTTATTTTTATATTTTATTTTTCATTATTTACTTTGTGTGTGTGCACATGGCTCACACATGTACTAAAACACCCCTGTCATATACATGTGTGGTGGTCAGAGGACAGCTTGGTTGTGGGACTCACACTGAGGTGCCCAGCCATCTCACTACCCTACCAGGCTCTTACACCTTTGAAACTGCTCAGCTTCAAAACGCTTACTGAATCTTTAAGACAACACTTCTGCTGACATCTAAATACAGAGGGGAATTAAAGAAATAATTTTGATCTTTCCATTTTGGAGATTAAAGATTTTATGCTAAATTCCCCCCAATTTTGGTACAACAGTACTAAGAATCAGTATGTGCTAGGGATTTCAGTCAGTACTAAATTTTTACAGTACTTTATTAAAATCCGATTTATGCTATGTTAACTCCTGACTGTGTGTAATACATAATGTTGCTTACTCTTATTTGCACATTTGATGAAGTATCTGACTAAACTGCTGATCTCTTGCATCTTTTTCTGTCTGGAAGTCTGTGTGGAGGCTGATACATTTGATTTTGCTGTTCTCAGACATTCTGTTTCTTTTTTAATATAATTCTGTAGGAACCTGGAAGAAAAAATGCATATCTCATTAACACTTATAGTTTTATCATTCAAAAGTCTCCTGTATGCCTTCCCCCAAAACATCATTTATACCACAGTGTTGTACTAGTTACATGAAACTATCTTTTCCAAGGTCTAACAAGGTGCAAAATCAATATAAAGCCTGGCTTGCAAAGCTTTTAAGCCTGTAAGCTGCACGGTTGTCTGTCACCTCACCTACTTGCTCAGAATGCTACTGAGGACTTCAACTTTCCTTACATTACAAGCAGCTAGTAATATTTCTGGTCTTTAAATGAAGACTGGCTAGAAGATATTGAAAGCTGGCCAAGATTATTAGGTACAAATATGGCCTATCTAATCAGCATATAAAAAACAAATAACTATATTTATAAAGTTGCAAATAAATTAAATGCTCAACAAGGAAGCATGCATTTTTCCATATCATATGCATTTAGAATTGAAACAGTTTAGTATCAATCAAGAGAGGAATTATCAACTGGGAACACTCTAGAGGCAGAGGCAGGAAGATCTTTGGGTTTGAGGTCAGCTGGTCTAAAGATCAAGTTCTAGGATAACCAAGGCTACACAGAGAAACCCTGTCCCCCAAATAAATAAATAAATGAATAGATAAATAAGTTTATCTGTTAGAAGTATTCTAAGACAATATAATAGTCTATAAAGAAATGTGAACCTTTCTTTACTGCAATTATTTATTTAATTTGTAATGAACTGAACTCATTATCTTCCTCTATCAACTTCCCAAGAGCCAAGATTACAGGTATTATACCACCATACCAGCTTCAGATATCTACATAAATTTAAAACACATTTAGGGGGCTGCAGAGATGGCTCAGTGGTTAAGAGTGCTTACTGTTCTTCCAAAGGACTAGAATTCAGTTCCCAGCACCCATGCCAAACAGATTACAACCTACTTCAACTCCAGCTCAAGGGTATCCAATGTCCACTTTTGACTCCTAGGAACCTGCATATACTTGATAAAGACACACGTGCGCGTGTGCGTGCATACATACATACACAAAAATGTTCTCAATTTTTTTTTCAAAAACTTTCCCCCAAAAAGTCTCACAATATCTATTTCTAGTTATATATAAATTTGCGGTTGAAAATAAAGTTTTAGGGATGGAGAGATGTCTTAGTGGTTAAGAATACTAGATCTTCCGGAGGTCCTGGGTTCAATTCCCAGCAACCACATGGTGGCTCACAACCGTCTGTAATGAGATCTGATAACCTCTTCTGTCATGCAGGCATACACGCAGACAGAGCACTAGTACATAAAAACAAATAAATAAATATGTTTTTAAGGAAAAAAAATGAAGTTTCAATATAAAAATGTATAAACTATGCCACAAACAAGTATTTTTAAACTCCGCTAATGTGAAAGTATTCCAATATTTACTTCATTTGCTTTAGTATAATTTAGCACATGCCAAATACTTATAATCAGCAACAATCAAAATGATAAACAAATATTATAAGTTACTTTTTTGTTTTCTTTCTGTTTTTTTGTTTTGTTTTTGTGATATAGTCCTGGCTGTCCTAGAACTCATTCTGTTGACCAGTCTGGCCTCGAACTCAGAGATATGCCTGCCTCTGCCTCCAGAGTGCTGGGACTAAAGGCGGGCGTGTACCACTACTGCCCAGTTATTACTACTTATAAATCTAATTTGGAACAAATCCGTATAAACTAGTCAAAGTGAAAAGAATTCTTAATCAGTTCTTTGTTTTCTTTGAGACAGGGTCTTGCTAAGCAGACCAGTTAAGACTGGAACTCATACACCTCCTTCCTCAAAAATACAGTATTACAGAAATTCCATGATGGCCAGCTTCTTTCTTGATCTTAAATGACATATATCTAAATCATTTTGTTGAAAAAATGACTTGAAACTTTCAATATTCTGTATGAGTTTTCAAAATTATCTTAGATAACTAAGTGCCAACTTCCTATATAACACACAATGAAGAAAATCAAAAGGGATCACAAAACAGAAAAAGAAAGTAAAACAAAATCAAAGAGGATACCTGAAAACAGCATCCCAATTCAAATATTTTTGTTGTTTGGAATCTGAATGCTTATCTAAATTTAGAACTGTTTCAGGATCCTGAATCAGACGCTTAAATTTCTCCACTTCTTTCTGAAAATTAAAAAAAAAGAATATAATAATAATTACATGTTACCTATCAAACATTTATTTTAGGAAAAACAAATTCAAATAATTTATTACCCTTCTTTCTGTAGCTCTATCATGTTCTAATTGTCGGCAGCAAATGAGCAGATCGTTAAGTGCTAGACTCATGGTTTAAGATTTCAGACCATACATCCTCATCTGTAAATAAAAATAAATATACGCAATTAATTTCATTTATTTTGGTTATTTGGTGCTGAGAACTGGCTATGCTATAAATCTGCAATTATTTTACACTACAATACCTCTATACATATAAACCTAACTGTACATCCAGAGGCAGACTATGATCAAAACTGCAATAATTTTTTGTAACATTTCTATAGGACATTTTCTTAGAATATATTAAAATTATGCTCTTCTCAAATGTGTGCTCTGTATAGCAGAATTAAGTACATTTTGAAGAAAATGAAACAGTTCAGTATTATCTCTATAAAGAGAAAACATTTATTGATAGTGCAAACTATTTGTTTCACATATACAGTGTTTGTTAGGCATGTGTATGCGACAGCAAGAAAATAAATGAACTACACTGACACAAAGCCTCCCCTCTGGGAGACATCTGGGGAAAATGATGACAACAAAAATATTAATGCATAGCTCCAAATTGTAACATATGCCTCAAAGAAGCAAAAAATACAGTAGAAAACAACAGAATGAACAGAGTGTGATATGCATGTAGTACCACCCGGTGAGGAGGCAGAGGCAGGAAGATCAGTTTAAGGTCACCCTCAGTGTGAGTTCAATACCAGGTTGCGCTATAAAAGCTCCTATTGCAGCCGGGCGATGGTGGCACACGCCTTTAATCCCAGCACTCCGGAGGCAGAGGTAGGCGGATCTCTGTGAGTTCGAGACCAGCCTGGTCTACAGAGCTAGTTCCAGGACAGGCTCCAAAGCCACAGAGAAACCCTGTCTCGAAAAACCAAAAAAAAAAAAAAAAAAAAAAAGCTCCTATTTCAAAAATAAAAAAAAAACAGTTTATATTTTAGATAAATTGATAGCAACATGTATCAAAGGAGGTTTAATAATGTCAAGATCTGAATTGGTGCCAATTACAAGAACTAAAGAGTGAACATTCTAGGGAAGAAAACTGGAGAAGCCAAAACTCCCTAAGACGGAAAAAAAGAGTACCTGTGAAAGGAACTGAAAGATGCCAGATTGTGCTAGCTTCAGAACCAAAGCTAGTCAAGGAGATAGGAGAGCTATCAAGTAAACAAACTCTATTTACTAAAACAGATAACATAGTTTCAACTCCCAACAGTCAACTGAAATAGTCTCCTAAGCAAAAGCCCTGGAACTGACAAATTCACGCTTGCTTTCAATCCAGTGGATGTAGTCACAAACTTGACAGTGACAATTACATGTCATCTTCCCAGAAGTAACCCCACCTCTGGCATGCCGTTCTCGGCTAGTGCAAAGAGCACAGGGCTCAGCCAAGTATGGCAGCACACCTCGAAATTCCCAGGCCTGGGGAGGACAGGCAGCAAGACTGTGAGTTCACAGCTAGCATGGGCTGCAAGAGACTGGGCTCTACGGTTTGTACTGTGCGCTGCAAGTCCACTCAGTTAACAGGTATCCACCCTGGAGCATGATGGTTAACCTCTCAAAGCTGCTTTCTCCATGCTAAACGAGAAAATGATGCCAGTATATCTCTCTCTCTCTCTTTCTCTCTCTCTCTCTTGCACACACACAGGGAGAGGGGGGGGGGGGGGCGATAGCCCAAATATTCAGTGTAACGGCCATCCTATTACCGTTTTCCCTTAGGATAACTTCTTAAAAGTCTATTTGAATGGTTCTCTCTCTCTTTTTCCCCTCCTCTTTTTGTTCTTATCCCTCCTGTGGCTGAAAACCTGCAAAATCTGTAACACTCAGTAACAGAGCTCGCTCTGGACCTTCAGAAGCCTACGCTCTACGCGTTTCCTCCGGTCGGAAAGCTCCGCAAGCACCGTGCAGAACAATTAACATCCGGCGAAGTCCCGCAGTAATCAGGCTCAATTTCCAGAGCCGTCCCTCCGCGGCTAACGCGGCGCTCTCCTCTCACGTTGTCGCCCTGAGAGGTAGCTGGCTAATCATCCGTGCCAGGTGGTGGGGACCGAGGGGCCCGGCGGTTAACTCTTTGGGGGCTGCCACGCACCGTCCCACAGAAGACAGCGCAGGTCACACAGCTGACAATAAAAATTGAACTCAGACTGATTCCCGAGCCCACGCTCTGAACCACAAACCTCTGTTTTTTACGAACCTGTAGCTTAAATGGAAATATCAGAACCCTTCCGGCGACAGACGGGGAGAGGGGACACGCACAAGGGAAGGTTCAGGCTCACTCCAAGCCGGGTGCGCAGCCAGGGGGAGCAGACCACAGACGGCCGGGCAAGCTGAGGTGAGAGGCGTCCAAGGCCATTCCGGAGCCGAGTAAAGATGGGGGGTCTGAGGAGACTTTTCCCGCACCGAAGCCCCGGAGTTCGCTCCGCGCTCCTACCGTTGCATTTTGTCTCCCAGTGCAAACCGAGGTTGCTTCGTCTTTTCCCGCGGCCACGCACCCCGCAGCTGGTTCTCCAAGCACGCCTTCGCGCTTCCGGTTCAAAAGCAGCAAGTTCGTGAAGCGAGGGTCCCCAAAGGAAGGCGTCTGAGGCGCTGCACGGTGCGCGCGTGCGCACAGCGATCACGCCCTCTCCGACTCAAAACATTCGTCCCCCTCAAAACATTCACCCGGCCTGAGGAAAGGCGCCTGCGCGCGGCGCACCAATGACGAACGACCTCGCGCCGGGAGCTCCGCCCAGGGGCCGACGCTCCCACACCCGGCCACCGGGTCCTCGCTAGCCCCGCCCCTCCGGGGGACGGAAATGACGACAATTCGGCAGAGCACGGAGGCGGGTTTCATTTCGGCGCCTTTCTGTCTCCCGCGGAAGTGATTGGTTGGTGTGTCACGAAAGAGGCGGGACGAATTGCCGCGGGTTCAGTGCCGCCACTGGAACCGGGAGATGCGGCGACGCCGGGGCTGTCGCTGTGTTTGCTTTGAGTTGACTCTCGCCCCGTCAGGCGGCTCCCTGTGCAGCGCGGATCATGCTGTTACCCTCGGATGTAGCCAGGCTGGTGTTGGGTAAGTGCCGGTCCCGGAGGGCGGGTGATCGGACCGGGGTGGAGGGGACGGAAAGACCGGAGGCGGGAGGGACAGTTGCTTAGGGTGGGGAAGCTTTGGGCGGTCGCCCCCTCGGGTCCGAGTTCAGCCCTGCGGAGGTGCCCGGTCCCTCGGAAGCCCGGGGTGAGTGGATGCCCCTCCTCGAGCTGCGCGGCGAGGGGGCAGCCGGAGAGAGAAGCTCAGCGTGGAACACCTGGGGCCTGGATTCCGAGGCAGAGCCAGGCCCGCTGGGACCCCTGGAAGAGGGTCGCCTACGTGATGGACGGGGCTGGCTGGCCCTCATCCTTTCCCCTTGTCACAGCTGGGGCCGAAAAAGGAAAAGGGAAGAAACAAAAAAAAAAAAAAAAGCGCTTCCCCGGCCTCCCAGCTTTTTGGAAAGACTTTCCCAACGCCCTTATCCAGAACCCGACGTTAGCGCTAGGAATTCGGGGCACAAGCTCTCCCTCCATACCCCTTGCCGGAGAGGCTTGAAATGCCAGTTGCATATTTTAGAACGGCCGTTTTTCATGTTCTTGGGCAAATATTTCGGGGGATCGGACGACTGCCTTCTGATTGCACACGTTCTCTAGCCCGAGTTTTTCCTCCATTTTTGAAAAAGGCTCGTTCGTATACACCACTGGGTGCTCGGGGTAGATTGTCTATGTGAAATACAGTTTTCGTTGTTTGCCCTCTGAAAGAATAAAAGGAATTGTACTGCTGGGAACAAGTGCCTCTTTGGCTCAAAACTGGGCAGTGACTTTTTGAGACATCATTTGCGACATCTCTAGGAGAAATTGGTACAAGTTTGGTGAATCCTTCCCTAGTTTTCACAACCGTTACTAACATTTGCATTGGCCTAGTCCTGTTCAAAAAAATAAAATAAAAATTGCCTGGGGTTCTTGATAAGCACGTTTAGCAGGAAATATTAAGTGACTTTAAATGGTTCCACTGCCCATTTTTGGAGAACCTTAAACACTAAAACTTAACGTTCTGAATGTCCATTTTTTTCCCCACTTCATCAGAATTGAGTAGTTAGATTTATACCTGTAACTTTGAAAGTTAGCTATCTTGTAATTTTTAAAATTTATTGGGGATATATGAAAAGTATGTACTAATATATCCTTTTTTACTCCCTCTGTTTATTGTTTGGGTAAGAATTGTTGTGTCTTTTAGAAGTCTGGCGATCCAAATGAAATCCGTGATCATAGTCTTAAAAAAGATTTTTCAGCCTTCCCATCATGGTGGCCCATGCCTTTAATCCCAGCACTTGGAAGGCAGAGGTAGGCAGATCTTTGTGAATTGGAGTTCCAGGAGAGTGAGGGGCTACACAGAGAAACCCTGTCTCAAAAAAAAAAAAAAAAGTTACTCGAGTTTGGCGTTATAAGCATTGTGAATTGGATAATTATTTGTAGTGGTTTTCCTGTGTTCCTGTTTTATGAGCTGTTTAGCAGCAATCCTGATTTCTCTCCAACCAGATACCCTTTAGGGCCTCCCTCCACAATCAGCTGTAAGGAGGAAATGCCTCTGCATACTGTCAGTGTACCCCCAGAGAAAGTCCTGCCTGTTGAGAAAACCTTAAGGAAATGACAAGGTTTTTCTAATTGGGGTAATTGTGCTTCTGCCCCCCTATCAAGCTATTTAGGGACAATTTTCCCTTGGTGTCTAGAAACTCAAGTCTTGGCTTTAAAACCTTAAAACCATCTTCATTATTCAGATTTTCTTTTCAGTGTCATCAATTCCAGGGTACCTTCCTTCCCTTCTGTTTTGAAATCGTGATTTCTTTCTGTGTACTCCACTTGCAATGCATGTTTACTCCTGTTTCAAGTCTTCCTGAAGCATTCAGGTCCTAACCACATGTTCTAAGAATGAGACACTCTTGGTATATAAAACATCTTCTCACTACTCTCAGTTCTGTGATTTAGTTATCTTTTACATATGTAAACTTATGTCAACGGTTTACTGCTTGATTGTGATTCTTCTGTTGTGCCCCCTTACCATCTTTATTTAGCCCCTCTCTTTTGGTCCTTTGTGATTTTTTTGTCGTCGTCGTTGTTGTTTTTTGACATGTTCCAAATGCTGCCAGTTTCTGGGCATAAGGGAAAAGGTAATTTTTCTTCCCTTAGCATTCACTCCTCTGTTTTTTAACCCTTTAACGCCAAAACATTTTTTTTCTGAACCCCATCTCACGTTTTCCTATGCCCTTTGTCACTTAGAAGATAGATTACCTTGTAAAATGACTTGTTGCTTAGCTGCTTTACTAGTTCATTTTCCTCTAATTCTTCAGCTTACAATACTCATCTCCCTGCTCTCTGCTTAACCATAGCCTGCTATTTATTGCCTTCATGGAAATTTTCAAAATACTGGAGAGGCCAAGATACTCCAGTAAACTGTCGCTTACTGCCTCTAAGCTCATCAGTTTGGCTTTTACTAATATGCCATAAGAAGTGCTCTGTGGAGCTAATTCTACTTGTCTTTCAACCCAGGCCCATCTTCTTAATATTGTTGCTAGGCTACAGCAGAAAAAAACTTGCTTCAAATATTATATATTCCTCTTTCCCTTTTTCCTAATACACTTGTATTAAAGGTTCGAGTCAAATGTAATATCAGAAAGTTCTTCCAATAGCTACAGTTAGTAATTTCTCCAGTGTCCTGTGAAAGTAGATGTGTTGGTAGAAAACAGTGTTTTTGGTAAGGAACACATAACAAAATTGGTCATTCTAGTAATTTATAAGCTTATAGTGTTAGTTACATGGCTTTGTTCTGCAACCATCCCTACCATCCACCTCTAAAATTTTACTTCCTAAATTGAAACCTTCTCAGTAGTTTTTATCTTAGATTCAAGAGTTCTTAGGAACCAAAATGATGTTGTTGTTTTTTTTTTTTTTTAAAATCCATGTATGAAAGAAGTACTTTCATGGTTGAAGGGTTCGGATTTTCTTCAATTTCATAAGTAGGTAACTTTTTGCGTGAGTTGGCATCCATTCAGAAAAGAAATCAGAAACTAAGTTGTATGTTTAATGTGTTAGGATTTAATGAGGGAGTTGGTTATACCAGTGAAACAAAAGCTAAGAAGCCAAACAGCTTATGTGAGACAGCATGTAGCCATGCTCAGCCAGGAGACAAGGCAATATAAAGCAATCAGACAACTGTGTGGGAAGATGGAATTGAAAACCTGTCTGATAGGAGAGCAGTAGTCAGAGAAGAGATTCTTGAGGCAATCGGGGAATGTGGCTTCTTCCTCCTGAATTCCAACCTGAACAAGCACTTGCCATTTTAGCAAACTTAGCCAGACGTCAGCTGACAGACAGGTGAGCCAGGTAACTTTGCCTGTTTTAAATCTGGCTTCTGTTTTTAGAGTCCTGGAAAATGAACAGTTGGTTTGAAAACAAACGGGACCAGGACTTATCGATATATTCTTAAGAGATTAAGAACCATTGGTTTTATTTACTTTTATATTAGAGACATAGATAATTTAATAAACACCAGAATGCAATTTTGATTATTCTATATCTTGAGTACTACCTGTATTCACTCCCTTCAGGTGTATGGCCAGAGATACCTTGGAGCTGGATTTGCAGGAAGTTGTAAGCCACCTGACGTGGTTGCTAGGCATCAAACTTTGGGTCCTTTGAAGAATAATACACACTTTTGACTGATAAACAAAACTAGTTATTCATGGTTCTTAACTATTTGTCTTTTCTGTTGAATCTCGTTAACTATTTTTATCTTTTATTCAGCATCTATACTAGGCAAATTCCTACATACGTGCGTGCGTGCGTGCGTGTATGGTGTTTGTGTTTTGATTTCCCAACCATATCAGGACATATCAACACCTTCTTAAAGCTTTGAATGATTTTCTCATGCCGGGTAGTAAATTCTTGAGTCTGTATCTTCTCATGAACTGAGCCATTCCTATTTTCTCATTACTTTTAGCTTTTCATAAATCATTTCTATCTTCTAACTCCTCGTAATTCATAATTTATGGATTTATCTTAAATTTGTAGATCTACTACATTAAGAACACTGTTATCTTTCTAAGAATTTATATTTTTTCCAAGGACATTGAACCAACAATATTGCTAGGGAATCAATACATGAAGGGGTATTTACACAAAGGGGGCATTAGTTCTTGCTTTCTTCAGGTTTCCTTTTGTCTTTCCCTCAAAACGCCAAGCTCTTGGAATTATGCTTTCCAAACTTTAAGTAACCTTGCTGTAGTTAAGGTTTTATCTGTCGTTTGATTGATAATTGGTTATGGTCAGTGGTTAATGATGGTGAGTAGGTGTTTTCGTAGCCTGCTCATAAACAATATAAACTATGGCATTGTTTAATATTTTCAAGTATTTCCTACGTTGTTTTTGAACTCTTTGGTTTTTTTGAGACAGGGTTTCTCTGTATCTTTGGAGCCTGTCCTGGAACTAGCTCTTGTAGACCAGGCTGGCCTCGAACTCAAAGAGATCCACCTGCCTCTGCCTCCTGAGTGCTGGGATTAAAGGCATGCGCCACCACCGCCGCCTGGCTGTTTTTGAACTCTTAAGTAAGACAAAGTAGAACTTAACCAAATTTAACCAAAAATGGAAGCTCATATTTTACTAAAGCATATTTTTAAGAGTAGAACATAATGTGCCCCAGGTATTTATAGGTGTCTCTAACTTGAGCATTGTTTTAACAAATAGAAGTAATACAGCATTTTCACAGAGCCTTTTCTCAAATATGCTCTGTAAGCATGTACTGACTTAGAATGTATCATGAACTGTCGTGTCTGATATTCTTTCCCCAAGGTATTCTAGCACCGTTGATCATATTTTCTTCTTAAGGGTGGAAGAATTAACTACATTACTCTCTAGGGCATTGCTATTCAGCCTTCATTTTGCTGTCATGCCCTTTAAGGAGTCTTTGTAGACTTTTTCTAACCGCCCCCTCATATATTTTTAATGTCACAAGTAAACTGTACATCTTTTTATATTAGACGTATATCTCTTGTATGTGCATAAAAATGAAATATTCCTATTCCCTCATAAGCAGTTTCTACCCTGTTTTAGGATGATATCACTTTTTAGGAATATATATTCTCCAGGAAGGAAAATCTTGATCGAGTCCTGTTTCACAGTGACCACCTGTCAAAATTCTCAAGTGACTGAATACATCTAGGTGATTCATGCTTTCAGAACTCCCCACCATGAGAAAAAATTATTTGGTGGATCTAATGCAAAATCTAAAGAAAAGTTCTCACTGTCCGAATTCTAAGGTGATTCCAGTAGTTTGTATGTGTTCTCAATTGGTATTCATAAATCCTGGTGCCACTTCACTTCTTCCATAGTCTTCGGGAATACCAACTGAGGCATTTTTTCAATGGTTATATTTCACAAACAGGGAAAAATGCTTTTTTGTAGTTGAATTTTATTATATTGTGTGAGAGATGAAGGTGGAAACATTGGACAGAGTGAATGTGCACACATGTGAAGGCCAAAAGATAACTTTCAGGAGTCAGCTGCCTCCTTCCACTGTGGGTCCCAGGGTTCAAACCAGATCCTCCGGCTTATGAAACAAATGCCTTTACAACTGAGCTATTTTGCTCGGCCAGACCTGTCGTTTTAATTCATGTAATAATACATCTGAAATGTGATCTTCAATAGTAGCAATTTTTAAGTAGGGATATCTGAAATAAAGGGGGTTGTTGTTGTTTGGCTTCGGTTTGTTTGGTTTTTTTTGGTTTTTTTTGTTTTGTTTTGTTTTTTGGTTTGAGTTTTTGTTTGTTTGTTTGTTTCTAAATGTTTCTTGTGCTCCAAAAAAATACCCTATGTTTGTATGTTTGTTTTTCTTCATCTAAGGCATAAGTTAGAAATAAGAAAACCTATTTATTAACTACAAGACGAAAGTGGTGAGTTGATTCCCAGATCAGAGCTGGACCTAAAATGAAATGACCTTTTCTTTCCTTGCTCTTTCCTCGTTGGAAGTCATATAATGGCTTTATAGGCCATCTCATCAGGATTGGGTTTTTTATTGTTTTTGTTTGGTTTTTTTTTTTTTTACTGTTTTGCCTACTGTATGTAGGGGGTCAGAATAGGGTGTTTGTTGGGGCCCCTGGAACTGGAGTTACAGATGGTTAAAAACCACAATGTGAGTGCTAAGAACTGAAGCCAGGGCTGGAGAATTGGCTCAGCAATTAAGAACATTAGCTATTCTTCCTGGGGTCCTGGGTTCAATTCCCAGCACCCACATGGCAGCTCACAGCTGTCTGTAACTCCATTTCTTGAGGATTCAACACTCAGACAGACATACATACGGGCAAAACACCAAGAACCAAACCCAGTCTTTTCGAAGGGCAGCAGGTGCTCTGAACCAGCCCTTGTTTGTTTTGTTTTTAATTAAAACTGTGTTAAAAAATACATTTACAGGGCTGGAGAGATGGCTCAGAGGTTAAGAGCACTGACTGCTCTTCCGGAGGTCCTGAGTTCAATTCCCAGCAACCACATGGTGGCTCACAACCATTTGTAATGAGATCTGGTGCCCTCTTCTGGCCTGCAGGCATACATGGAGGCTGAACACTGTATACATAATAAATAAATAAATCTTTTAAAAAAAAATACATTTACAACTGGACAGTGGTGATGTACTCCTTTAATCCCAAAACTCAGGGAAGGCAGAGACAGGTAGATATCTTTTAGTTTGAGGTCAGCCTGGTCTACAAGAGCTAGTTCCAGGACAGCACAGATACACAGAGAAACCCTGTCTCGAGGGAAAAAAATATACATTTCCAAGTGAAGAAACTCTTAAAATTTAAAATAAGAAGAAACTTTAGATGTCATTTATTAAGGCAAACAAAAATGTTTTTTGCTTGCTGTATTTTACCAACACAGATAAATACACTTAGGATAAGCAATGTAAGGGATTACTTAGAGTTATTACAAAAGACTTACAAGTATAAGCAAAGGGAATACGGTATATATAGAAAAATTAGTTTTCTGAAGAATTGAAAATTATATTAAACACCAAAGAATGAGTTGAAACTACCTAGGCTAAGGCAAGATGAGCTGCCCAAACAAACAATACAGTATACATTTGGCTTTAAAATAAGAGCATTGTTATTTGTGGAACTTTTGTAAGATTAATTTGTTTGAAGAGATGGAATTGTAAGACAATTAAAATGAAATTAGGATGCAACAAGTAAAGTTCCATACAGTATGTGCTGAATTTACAATTAGGTTTTTTTCATGGCAGTAAATAACGCAAAGTAAAATATTGGAGAGAATATAATATTTTTAATAAGCAATACTACCATTAATTCCAAAACATTTGCATATCTCTGACAGGAAATATATGCGATAATAATCATTCTCAACTTTCCCAGCCTCCAGCAGTTACCTTCTTTATATGTATGGATTTGCTTTTTCTGGACATCACCTATAATTGAAATATTTGTGGGTTTTTTTGTGTTTTTGTTTTGGTTTGGTTTTTTTGCCTGCATTCCTTTAGCATGGTTTCAAGAGTGATTCAGATCATAAAGGGTTTAAGGCTTCTGTCCCAGTTCGTATGAACTGAATAATGGTTTTCCTTTTACATTTTCCTAATGACTAGTAAAGTTGAATGCCTTTCCAGGAGTTTGTAGTATTACCCTCTTTGCAGAGCTTTTGCTTATTTCTTAATTATATTACCTTTTTATTATTGACCCTTTCAAGTTCATTATATAGTTTGCTTTCTAGCATTTACCAGATATATGATATGCAAATTTTTTCTTCCATTTTAAAACTTATTTTACTGGATTGATGGCATCCTCAGTTTGTATCATAAAAATCTGAAATGTTGAAAATCAGCTTATCTTTTTCTTTGATTTCTTGTTTCAGATATTATACCTAGGATATCATTGTTCTATTCAAGACCAAAAGTTTATCTTTTTGTTATTTGTTTTTGTTTTTCTAAACATTTTATAACCTTTGCCGTTACAGTTTTCTTTTTTGTTTGGATTTGGGGGGCCAGCTTCTTTTTTTTCTTTCTTTTTTTTTTTTATAGAGCTAAGTGGTTAACTACCTCTTAGCCTTTACTTGTTAAAGTTGAAGTTCTTGTTGATATTAATATAATTTAATGATTATAAATTGAAAATTAGAATTTTCTTCTGACCTTTAACACAATGTACAAAGATCTCTGTTCACTTTGTTCAATCTTGAAGTAGATAGTCAAACACACAAGTAATTGATACTGAGAGAATATGGCGTTTCAATAATCCAATAAATGGATATCTATCATCCCCTTTCCTAGTTACTGTCTAAGCCATGGAGTAGTGGAGTGTACTTGCTTACTATTTCCTTGTTTTTGTTGTTGTTTTTCTAAATGTATTATGCAACGATTGTCGTTTGTCAAATATCTTTTTACAAGCGCAGCTAGAATTGGATTCTATGGAGGAGCCAATGACTGTAGCTGTCCTGCTTCATACTGCAACCCAACCTAGTGAAGGGTTGTAAAACACCAGTGTGTTTGCCTGAGGCTATGCTAATAGTTTTCCTACATGCTCTAGCATTTTGAAAGTCACTTATCAAAAGTACAGAATTACTGAAGTATTTGAACTTCTCTTCGTCATTTAGGTTACTTACAACAAGAAAACCTCACATCTACGTGCCAGACGTTTATTTTGGAAAGCTCAAATTTAAAAGAATATGCAGAACACTGTACTGATGAAGGTTTTATTCCAGCCTGCTTACTGGTGAGTTACTCATTCCTTATAGGACATTTCATTGCTAACCAACACAGAAGACTGGAAAGCAAAGCCTTAAAATTAACTTATTAATGATGTGAGGCACTGTGTCTGTTGTCCCATCTGCTTGGGAACTTAATAATCACAGGATCACTTGAACCCAGGGGTTAGGGACAACCTAGACAACATAGCAAGACCCTTGTCATTCATCAGCCAAGTGAGCTATGGCACATAGCAACATGACTTATCACTGCCTAATTCACATAGGTGGAAGACAGAGATTTAGTCAGGTGGTAGATATCTATAATGCAGACTTTGGAAGACTGATGCAGGACTATTGTCGTTACTTTTAGACCAACCTGAGCTATATAACAAGACCTTGTCCAGAAATTAAAAGAAAATATCGTCACTTCCTTTTGTAGCTATCTCTATATAAAAGGAATATTCTAGAGTTACGTGATTTCACATGGTACTTGAAGTTGTATGTTAAGGATGACTTTTTAGTGAATTATTTGGATTGTTCTAATTTTTACATAAAAAGATGATTAGAATACCCCAAACAGTTTTGAACATTTTGAAAGAGTTGCAGCACTAGGAGAGACGGCTCAAGCACCTGTGGCTCCTCCAAAGCACTCACATTTCATACCCAGTGCCCGTGTCTGATGGCTCTTTAATTTTTTTTGATTATGTGTATTTGTCTGTTTTTGTGAGAATATGTACACATGTATGCAGGGGCTCTCAGAGGCCAGAAGAAAAATCGGATCCCTGGAGCTGGAGTCACAGGTAGTTGTAAGTTGTCCTGTGTGGGTGCTGAGAACTAAACTTGGTCCTCTGAAAGGGTAGTAGTACTCTCTGACCCTCTGGTCACTTCAGATAAGTGAACTGAGGTCTTGAAAAGAAAATTGCATGCCCAAAATTCAATTCATTTTTACAAAGAATGAAGAAAATGGGGAGTGAGTTCTTAGGCAAATCTGCCTTCTCAAGCTTAGTGCTGGTTAAGCACTCTCTGAGCTATATCCCAGCTTCATTTTTACTTCTTACGTTGAGTTTGGTTTTCCCTAACTTACCTGAATTGGTCTTGAACTTTCTCTGTAGCTCAGACAGAACTTGAATTTACAGTCCTTCTACTTTACCTTCCCAAGCAAGTACTTAGGAATATAGAACTGTACCATATTCCTTTAATCCCAGCACTCAGGAAACCAAGACCAGCCTGGGTTTTGTGGTAAGACCCTGTTACTCCCTGTGCCCCCCCTCAAAAAAAGAAATCTAGTATTGAAAGTTGGGAGGGAAAAGAGACCTAATTGCCTGTGTCAGACCTCTTCCTCAGTATATTACATACGTCCTCAATATTATCTAAAATAATTGTACAATATGTTTGCAGTAAATTTTAAAGGATTTGACACATGCTATTAAGTTTTTTGAAATCAGATCTCTTGGTTCCAAAATCCTTGCTATTTTAATAACCTCAAGAGTATGTGATCATACTGTTGTAACAGACTATTGCATTGTAGTGAGCATAGGGAAGGCATGTAGGAAGGTTAACAGAAATGTAGAGCTCCTCAGGAAGAGTATTTCATATACACTTATTTTTTTTTATTTTTTTAAATATTTATTTATTTATTATGTATGCAATATTCTGTCTGTGTGTATGCCTGCAGGCCAGAAGAGGGCACCAGACATCGTTACAGATGGTTGTGAGCCACCATGTGGTTGCTAGGAATTGAACTCAGGACCTCTGGAAGAGCAGGCAATGCTCTTAACCACTGAGCCATCTCTCCAGCCCCATACACTTATTTTTAAAAGTTCAGTTTTACATGGTTTACGTGGCTTTCAGGTTAGACCTGGGACCTTATTTCTTTAAAACAGTAAAACAGAATATCTCCCTCCTGACTGGAAACTGCTTTTCATGACCGTGCTTTTGTTTTACATAAGGACTCCTGTAGGCACAGTTCAGACAGATAGCGTGCTTTCTGTCAGATGTGTCACAAATACCTTAGTGAATGTTGATGGCCTGCTTCTCTACCCTTTCCTTACTGGATTTCTGCAGTCTACATCTTTCGCTGGCTTTTATGATGGGAAAGTGATAGTTGTATGGTTTGGTAATATTTGATCTTTTGTTTTTCAGTCCTTATTTGGAAAAAACTTGACAACAATTTTGAACGAATATGTAGCCATGAAAACAAAAGGTAAGAAGTTGGATGTCATTGTTTTAAGATATAGTCTCATCAAAAGCTTTGAAAAAATTAATATTATTCTGATAAGATATATTTTACTGGGAAACAATTTATTTTTGCTTATATTGAGTAAAGCAAATTCTAAAACTCCAAATATTAACTAACAAGCATAAGCCAAAACTCATTTTAAAATGAAATAAAGCTGAATGAACTCTAGGTTATTTATCATAATGATTAACAACCATTGATATTTGCTAAAATATTTTGAACTGACAATTTAATTTTAATCTTCTGTGTAATATGAAACTGGGCACAGGACTTAGTCGGAAAATTGGCTCAGAGTTAACAGAACATAAAATAATTGTTTAAATTTCTCATAATCCAGAGGGAATTAGAGATTATTTTCTTGACATTGTTCTCATAGTTCATATCATCAAAACTATTATTGTTAGATTAATTATCATGAAGTAATAGCCAAAGGAAAAGTAACTTGCTTTACTAATTCCTGGGTATGTAAGCTTCATGTTAGGTGCTTCATATTGTATCTCATTTAATTTTTAACCCAGTAAGAAGTAATTTTTACAACTGTTTTTAATAAAGATATATAATTAAGTTTGTACATATAGGAGTTTCTATAATGTTTCTGACAATTATAGTTTGCCTTTTCTGATACAAAGAAGTTAGAAAATTATTAGTCTTCTAAGTTTTTTAGACACACTTTTTTACTAGTATTGGATTTGATTCTCTGTTTTAAGAAAATAAAGCCACCTCGTTGGCCCTTTTCACAGTTACAAATAGGCTTACTTTTCAATCGCCAGTGGAACTTTTACAATTTAGAAAAGTTTTTGTTTATTTTCCTGCTATAATCTATGTTTTTGTTCAAATTGAAAAATGAATTTTCTTCAACTGAGCTTATTTCCTCTTACAATTTAGAAACATCAAATGAGGTCCCAACAATAATGTCATCTCTGTGGAAGAAGCTAGACCACACCCTTTCTCAGATCAGGTACTATGTTCATTACAATGTGCTGAGGAATGTACATGCACTTCTGCTGCAGAACTACTTGAGATCTTTATAATATGCACATCTAGCATCTTGAGAATTTCGAAGGTTTCATAGAAGGTGGTAGAAGTTCTTTGTCTTTAATAGAAATAATTTGAAACAAATTGCATGCTTTTATTTTGGTTTTTCGAGACAGGGTTTCTCTGTGTGGCCTTGGAACCTCTCCTGGAACAAGCTCTATAGACCAGGCTGGCCTTGAACTCACAGAGATCTGCTTGCCTCTGCCTCCCAAGTGCTGGGATTAAAGGCGTGGGCCACCACTGCCCTGCTTTTTTTGTTGTTGTTGCATACTTAACAGATTGTTTACAAATGAGGAAATTGCAATATATAGAAATTTAATGACATTTTCAGTTTTGCATAGCAACTTAGAAACAGTTCAGACCAATATATAGAATTCTTTAGACAACCATTTCTTAATGACGTAATGTGAGAACTGTTGACTTCATGCTTAGTTGATTCTTTTCTTCTGTAATTTTCTACTTTCAGTATTTTTAGTATTTTCTACTTTTAGTATTCTCTCATGGTAGAATACTTATTACCTTCTACCTAGTTCATAGCCTTAGAATGTCAGCTCAGCATCCTTAGAAGTATACCAGCTCTGCTGAGATATGTGTTGGCATCTCTTATGTAGTGATAGAGTCTCATGAAAACCCCTTCCTTTAAAAGCTACAAGTGAATATTCCATCTAAATAGCAGAGGCCTCATTTTTATCTTCTAGTTAGGCTAATGACTCTAAATGCTTTCATCCTGGCAGTGAACCACGTCTTATTTGGTAGTTTTGTCTCTATATTTCTGTCCTTGGAAACAATTCAAAAGATTTTTTGCAGTGTCTGGAGCTCAGTCAGTCATTAAGAATGTCTACAACACAAGCATGAGTACCTGAGTTTGGCTCCCAGAACCCATGTCAAAAACTGTACACAGTGGAGCTTGCCTATAATGTCAGCCTGGTTGGTAGGGGAAAGAAACACCTGGAAACCTGAAGGTCATTGGACCACTGGCCAGCCTAGCTAAGATGGTGAACTTCAGGTTCAGTGAAAGATCCTGTCAAAAAAAAAAAAAAAAAAAAAAAGCAAGGTAGCGAGGAATTATGGAAAGACAGCCTAACATTACCTCTGTCCTTCATACACTGAACGTACCACAAGTGTGCACACACACCTATACCACCAAATTCACATACTGCACTTGAGTACCAAAAAATAGGCCTTTATAACTCAGTCTCTTAAAGTGATTTAATTTTGAGGGTTTTTGGGTGGGGGGGGGGAGCAGTTGTTTTTGTAAGCTATTACATAAGATTCCTTTTACACAGGTTCAGGTTTTCTCTAAGATTTTATGTATTAAAAATCTTTATTCAGGGGGCTGGAGAGATGGCTCAGAGGTTAAGAGCATTGCCTGCTCTTCCAAAGGTCCTGAGTTCAATTCCCGGCAACCACATGATGGCTCACAACCATCTATAATGAGGTCTGGTGCCCTCTTCTGGCCTGCAGGCATACATGTAGAAAGAATATTGTATACATAATAAATAAATAAATATTTTAAAAAAATCTTTATTCAGTTTAAGTTTTGTGGGTCTTGTTGATAAAAATTGACAAATTTCATGGGATAAGAACATGGTGCTTATGAGTGTTTACCCAATGTTAGTGAATAATTAAAATTCACAGTATAAGAATTACTTTTGGTGCCTGGTGAGATGACTCAGCAATTACGAGCACTGATTGCTCTTCCAGAGGTCTTGAGTTCAGTTCCACATGGTGGTGGTTCACAACCATAACGTAATGGGATATGATGCCCTCTTCTGGCATGCAAGTGTACATGCAGATACAGCACTCATACATAAAATGAATACAGCTAAAAAATATAAAAATAATTACTGTCTACTATGAACTTTTATGTTTACTTTTCTACGTATATGGAGGATCAATATAATTTCATAGTCATAAATATGACAGCAAGAGGTCTTGAACCGAGATTATAAAGTATTGATGTATATGAATCAGGATTTCTTTATAGGAAAGTCTCATGTCACAAAATTGAATTGAGAATGACTATATGTGGCTTACTTAAATATATCAAGTTCCTAAAGTCAGATCAAACTATACCTTGATATCATAGCATTCCAGTGCATAATTATCAATTTGAATAGAAGTTTAATCACCAAAATTATGTTGTATGGGTGTTTATATGTTTTCGGTTTTCTTCTAAAACAAATCACATGTAGACTCTTTATCTTAGGGCAATCACCCTTTAACTCGTAATTTACATTATCTCTGGCCATAACTAAGCCAGGATATATATCATCTAAAACACAATACTTAAAGAATAACTACTTTGTTTTATTTGTTAGGAACATGCAAAGTTCTCCAGGGTTTGCCGCCCATCAGAGAGGTTGGTATTTAACTTTAAGCAATCACACTCTTTCTCATGACCGTTTTAACTAACAGCACATTTGTGCTAAATCTATATTTTTTAATTGCTTTTTTTTTAAGTACAATCATTAGACATTTTCATATATCACAGTTGAGGGGACTTGAGGTATAGGTAACTGGTAGTGCATACACAAGGTCCTGAGGTTGATCCCTAGCAATTTAAAACAGAATTAAAACCATATATGTATGCACATATGTAAATATACATTTTCGTGTGTGTATATTCATATAAAATATATTCTAGTTTTACTAGCTGACTGTTAAGTACTAGCATTCTTAATCCATAATTTTTAATATCTTAAATTTGGGGAAACATCAATGTGAATTATTGAAGAACAGGTGTATTTTGGGATTTGTGAAGTACAATGTATTTATTTTAGTTTGTTTTACATGAAGTTGTTGCATAAAGCTATATTATGTTTTCAAGGCTGTCTTTTAGTCTATATAGTGTATAGGCCATACAACATATAGAATCTTGGTCAGATTCTGAAATGACTCTTGATAATGAGTTAATTTTGTAATGCCCATGTGTTTCAGCCCGAACAAGAAACGGAATTGCAGAAATCAAGCGACAGAGGTGGCTTGCATCTCAGGCAGCTCCCGTCAATTCAGAGTTACTCGTTTTACCTTATGGTTCAGGACAATTTACCACTTCTTCTTTGGTAGCCACACAAGCTGTTAAACCAACTGGTCAAATTTCAACTCCAGTGAGATCAAATATTGTAGTAGTCAACCAGTCACAGTCACAAAATACTGTAACTAGTAAGTTTGTTTTATTCTTTAAGTTCTGTACAATGCCTTCCATTTATAATACATAATCATGACCCAAGAGAGAGATGAGAGAACTTATAAAAGGAGCAGACTTGAAGTAGTTCAGCAGCAAGAATGTAACTATGAAACAGCATAAAAATTGGCTCACCTGTAATCTCAGCGCTAAGGGTGATCAGAAATTCAAGATTATCCTCTGCTATGTGCCTTCAAATAAAAAAATCTTGACTTAAAATCTGGGAGTCATCTTGGCTACAGTTCTTCCCTATTCTAATCAAACTGAAGTCCATCCTTGAATTCATCTAATTCTTAATTTGGGGGTAATAATAAGAAAGACCTGATTGTGTTTTTAAACAGAATATACATTATATTTTACCAGTCTGTCCTCCTGGAACGTCTTCCCAATATATGACCGTCTTTATGTGTTGACTGTTTTGTATATTTCCAACTGAGTATTGAAGCTAGATATAAAGTTAGAAATGAAGTTCTAATATAATTCTTGTTATATACATACTTATACAGAATAGTAAGAAGTGTGAAGCTAGTTAATATGTGCTTCGAGATTTGACTTCAGAACTCATGTCTCTGTTCTAAGGAGGAGTTTTATTACTGCCCTTTGAGATTACACTGGAGAGTCAGAGGCAGGCGTATCTCTAAATTCAAGACAGTCGGGCAACACACGGAAACCCTGTCTCAAAAAAAAAACAAACAAAAAGACTGTTCATTTGTCTTTCTTCAAATCCTGTTCTACACTAGGAGCATTCAGCTGATACTTCTTTTATACTTATTTTCTTTTTTGTATTTCTTTTGTATTTTTAAGTTTAAAACCTTAAAGGTATAGGTACTGTATTGCATAGCTCTTATTTTATTATCTTGTACAGTGCCTTGCTCATAGTATTACTCGGTGAATGTTTACTGGACTTTAGTGTAGAATAATAATTAGTCTCTAATGTTTCTGATGTCATTACAAGTTTATGTGTGTTTCTTTGACTTATTGTGTTTTCTTAAAATACAGCTGCAGAGTCTTTAAATATCATACCTGGTCCTCAGGAAAGGAAAACTAATACCAGCTTAATGTCTCCTGGTAGGCGTAAAAGGTAATTACTTCTTATACTTGCTTGACATGTTGCCCCAAGCCATTTAAGATGGACAAAATAGAGTTTAGTGAATATTTACATTGTGAGTAAAGTAAAAAGACTAGATTAAGTTCTTGGGACTATTATTCATTCCATAAACGACTTTTCCAGCATTCTGACTTCACTGAATTCGAGTTGTGTTTTAATCAACAGTGTATCTTACTGTTCACTCACTTTCTGTAGTGATGTGCAGAGTAATGTGTGTCTTTCAGATGATCTTTCTCGTTTATAGTGTTCTCTTAAATGAATGTAAGTAGTGTTAGTTTTATGGTCCACAAGAACACATGAAGTTGAATCATACCAGCATGTTTTAAGGTGTCTTTTCCAGAAAAAAAAATTTTTGTTCTACTTCAGCTTGTATTTCTTAAAAACAAAATATGAGAGATCAGAGTGGTGTTTTTGTGTGATTGCTTTTTTTTTTCCCTTGGAGTTTTGTTTGGTTGGCTTTGGTTTTTTGTTTTGTTTTGTTTTCAGACAGGGTTTCTCTGTGTAGCCCTGGCTGTTCTAGAACTCACTCTGTAGACCAGGCTGGCCTTGAACTCACAGATATCCACCTAATTCTGAAACTCAAGTGGTGGGATTAAAGGCGTGTACTGCCGCTGGCCAGGGCAAGAGATCAGAGCTCTAATTTTTTTTAATGACTTTATTTATTTTTAATTTATGTGCTCTAGTGTTTTGCCTGCATGTACATCTATGAAGGTTTCAGATCCCCTGGAACTGGAATTACAGACAGTTGTACGCAAACCATGTGGATATTTTTTAATAGCTAGTGTGTTTCTAACCACTGATCCATTTCTCCAGCCCCTATAAGTGATTTTTATCTATTTGATCATCTGTCAACCAGTAGGTTTGGGGTTTTTGACTTTTTGAGGTTTTTTTTTTTTTTTTTATTTTAGTTTTGGTTTTTGGTTTTAATTAAGAGTTTTCACTGTGAGCACTCTCTAATTTAAGACTTGACTATTACAAGCTTCCTTTAATTAAAAGTCTCCTTTATTACAAGCCTTCTGATTTAACCACATAAAACAGTAAAATATTTTCAGAAACTTTGACCATTTTATTATAAAAGTTCATGAATAATTAACTATCTTTCTATAAACCCACTAATACAGCTGATCTCATTCTATCATAAGGTAGGTAATGGAGCTGAGTGTGTAGCTCAGTGGTAGAACACGTGATTAGCATGTGTGAGCCCTAGGTTAAATCTCCAGCAGTACCAAAGGAAGAGGAGGATAAAAGTAACAAGAGTTCATAGACTTGAGACCACATAGCTAATTTTGTTTAAGTTTTGTTTTTGTTTGTTTGTTTGTTTTTTCATCTTTGTAGTTTGTCGTTGTTTATTAGAGCTCGAGTCCACTACATTTGAATCTATGTCTGGTAATGCTTTCTCTGTTCTTCTAACTTTGTCCGTTACATTTGAATCTATGTCTGGTAATGCTTTCTCTGTTCTTCTAACTTTGTTTTTATGGGAAGAAAAAAATATGAACTCAAGGTGTATATATGTGGTCTGTTAAATATAATAGTAAAAGATAAGCTCTTAAAATGTATTTCAGTGAATCACAAAGGAAGAGTTTCACATCGTCTGGACCTCATTCTTCAATAAGGAATTTACAAGATCCAAATGCATTTGCAGTAGAAAAAGTAAGTGACCTTCCCAAAGTTTGCAGCTTGAAATAGTCTGAAATTTAAAAATACTGATGTATATCTAAATAGTTATGTGTGCTTATGAACTTTGGTATGAATCTGAGAACAGAATTGCATATTGAATAGAGAATTGTAACTGTAAAATTATACTTAGAGAACACACACATGCCAAATGCACCAAGTAAAAATTCTTTGTGATTGCCGGATTCTTTGATTTAATTGAGCATTTTACCAGGATCCGATAATGAAAGGCATTGTGTGACAAAATAATGTGTAGAACTGTGTTTTAGATGTACTGAAGACCAAGGTGGGGAAAGATCTGTGACAACACTTCTGAATTGCAAAACATTGTTCAGGACTAAATCCACGTGGAGGGAGGCATCAGAACTTGGGTTTCTACTTGCATTTATCATAACTGTCTACTGCTGTTTTTTGTGACATTTTTGTTTTTTCATTATTTATTTAGAGATGAGGTCTTGTTATGCTGTTCAGATTGAACGCAAACTCCCGACTCTAATTTTAATCCTACCTCAGTCTCCCAAGTTGCTGGGATGAAAAAGCATTGGCTTTGGTTTGATTTGGTTTTCAATGATATAATATTTTTTCCTAGCCTTTTACTAGTCTTGATTTTCTTTTTCAGCAAATGGTTATTGAAAATGCAAGAGAGAAGATATTAAGCAACAAATCTCTTCAAGAAAAGCTAGCAGAAAACATAAATAAGTTTTTAACTAGGTGAGCTATGATTCAAAGCTCTGGTTATTTTTGCTCAATCACCCAACTGCACTAATCTTTTCATTTCTGTGTTGCAGTGATAATAGTATTGCTCAAATACCTAAGCAAACAGACAACAACCCTACTGAGCCAGAAACTTCAATTGATGAACTCTTAGTGCTTCCGGTATGTGTAGGTGTGTGTGTGTGTATGTGTATAGGGATATGAGTGGGTGAGAGAGTTTTGGAGGATTGTACAGTTAGAACTAAATGTTATCTTGGTTTTATTTTAAAATCATTGCTAAATATTGTATGTATAAAATCTAATTTATAATAATTAAAATAAAATTTTTATTGCATATGTAATCTGTTTCTGAATATATTTGAGCAGTGAACACATTTCAAAGACTCACTTATTTAAATAGCAAAAATGGTAAGAATTTTTTCTAACGCTTCTAATAGCTAATCTGCTTTATAGATACCAGTGCAGCTTTATTATACCTGTAAAAAATTATTCATGGATTTTTTAGTATTTAGTACTTGCAAATTCACTACATTGGTATCTTTGTATTTGATGAACAGCAGCACTCTGTCTTGTCTTTCCTATACATTGCTAGGAACTGAGAAGTAATTTAAAGATTACTGAAATAGTATATTAAATATGACTTGCATTCATCATGTACTTTCTAACAAACTGATCCTAAATGTAGCATTTCTCAATCCTAATTCCAGTTTTCTTCACCTAATATTTTTGTCATGTTTGCGTCTTGTGTTGGTGATGTAGAAGTCTCACTGTTGTTTAATGAACTTTCACTTCCAACACCTGAGGGATTTTCCCCTCTTGCTGAACTGTTTGTGGTATGTTGGGGTAATATTCATAATTTCGTAGCTGCTTCTTTCTGAGTTGAAGATCTCATTTATTTTCTCTATAAAGTCACTGATTAGCTTAATTTGTGTCATATAATTTATCTAGTTTGTAGCATCTTTGTATATTCAGTAATTGAGAAGTTGGTTATCTCTTGCTGGTAGCGTCTTCGTTGGTTTTATGTGTCTGTTCATACTTTTAAGGCTTCCATCCCTAGTACTTCTCAAAGGAAGCAACCAAACTATGACAGCAACAACACCAAATCAAACACAATACCCAAAAAAAAAAAATCCACCTTCAACTAAATCCAGCTCATACATCATAAAGACCATAGAACAGAAATGGACAAAACTAATGTGGTGTGTTACAAAGTTAAAAATTAGTGAAGGTAAATGTGACAATAATAAGCTAGTGGAATGAAGACTAGAGCAAAGGAGAGAAGGAAAGGTTAAATAAAAGAATGGGAAAGAAAGTTATTAAAAAGGAGAAGAAAGAACTAGTGATTAAAAAAAAAAATCAAGCCAGCCCTGGTGGCACATTGCCTTTATTCCTAGCACCCAGGAAGCAGAGGTAGGAGGATCTCTGTGTTCAAGGTCAGGCTGGTTTAAACATTGAGTTCCAGGACAAGATAGTCAAAATACTACTGAAAGTATTATTTATTTAAAAAGGAAGCAGAAGAGTGTGGAGCTGAATTATTGTAGCAACGTCTTTAAGGGTAGTATACAATTTAATCTGTGGGATAGAAGTACAGAGTGGGAGTCTCTTCGGAGACTTCTGTTTTCTGTGATTTAGGTTAGTCCTAATCCACACTGGATAAATGTCTTAAACTAATAGAGCTGTCTTTACTTCAGTAGCTTCCCTCAGTCTGTAGGCCAAATTTTCCCACTTTATCAGTTCATATACCCTACGGTGGAGTCTTTGGAGTCAGGGAAGCAAACCGCACTAAGATCATACTTTGAAAACAATAGACATTAAATATCCTGCCAATGTGACCATGAACATGAAGTAATTTGCTGAAGCTTCAGGCTTCTTAGTTCTTACCCAGTGAACCACATAGCAGAATGGTTGTTTCCAGACAACCCACTGTCTTCAGGCAACAGTCTCTGAGCTATCAGGTGATGATCGGCTTGCCTAGCCACAGAGAAGGGGACTATTGCCAGTTATATCTTTTGATGCTCAGACCGAACTCTTCCTTTCCCTCATTTCCATATCTATCTTCTTTATCACTACATCTCCTTCCCTCAGCTGTTTGACCCTCGGTATGTGGGAAGTTGATTCTAGGTTCCCTGACTTCTGAACATCCCTTGTTTTCAGATCTCAGGTTGTCTCATCTTATTAGAATCCCTCTCAAGATTGTGTCCACTTACAGCCCTCCAAGACAGGGCAGGCAACAAAATGGGCCCCTTCTCCACTGCTAGCCTGGCACAGTGAGGATTCACTATCTCAGCAACACTCCCAATAGCATTTGAGGATGTTGAGAACTGGGGTTTTGTCTTGTGGATATATAAGATTGCCAATCTCTCTTTCACCCTACCACATGGCTTTCTCTTTGAGTGAGGCTGTGTTTTTCCCTTTCCCAGTCACCACTGGAGCATGTGCTTCATAATTCCTTTATACTGTATCACCATCTGTCCATTCACACCTTGCAGCTATCCTGTTACCCTGTTGTCCTTCCTCCTATTCTTTTCAAAATATAGTCTGATCCTTCTGGTCCTCACTCTTCTCATCGACTACAGTTTCTATTCCACGAGCCCAGAAGAAGTCTTATTTTCTTTTAGATAGGCCTGTTGTTCAAATCAAAAGGATTTTCTTGTAGGGAAATTCTCATATATAAAGATAACAATAACATGAGTAATATCTCTGGTATTAAAGCTATGTTAATTCTACTTGTTCATGACTTTATTTTTACTTTGCAGAGTGAAATCCACATGTCTGAAGAAGCAATACAAGATATATTGGAACAGACAGAATCAGACCCAGCATTTCAGGCTCTCTTTGATCTATTTGACTATGGTAAATACATCATTTACTATAGCAAGTAGACAAAATTTTCTCCACTATCTTGAATAACCTAGCACAGAATAAAGTAACATCACCTAGGGCTTTTGAAAACTTCCTGTTTCTTTACAGCAAGTAATGTATGGAGATGCAAGGGTATACCTTTATGTTTACTTAGGAAAGTTCAATTATAAAAACAGAGAATTGCGTTTTTGGTTTTATTTGGTTTTGTATTTTTACCAGTCAACATGAGGTATGCTGACTCTATTCTAATACAGGTAAATATAATTGAGAGGTCCTAAAAGAATGTGAAGTATTCAGCATTAAAGTCAGAACAGCCATCGTATCAGCATTCTCTATGAACTTGTTACGTGTGCAGATTCTTGAACCTTCCAGAGCTCTTAATAAATGTTTATCATTCAGAGCCACCGTTTGGGATGGAAAGATGGCTCGTGATCTGCTTTTCTAGAGGTCCTAAATTAAACTCCCAGCAACCACATTGTGGTTCTCAGCCATCTTTAGTGGGATCTGATGCCCTCTTCTGGCATAAAGTCATATGTACAGATAGAGCACTCATGTTAAACAAACAAACAAAAATCTTTAAAAAACAAAAAAAGAGCCACTAGTTGAGCTGGACAGTGGTGGTGTTTGCCTTTAATCCCAGCACTCCAAAGGCAAGGCAGGTAGATCTCTGAGTGTGAGGCCAGCCTGGTCTACAGAGTGAGTTCTAGGACAACCAGGGCTGTTACACAGAGAAAATTTGTCTCAAAACAAACAAACCCAGCAGTTGTAGTCAGGTGTCATGACATGTGCCCATTGTCTCAGTATTCAAAAGGCTGAGAGGCAAGAGGATTGCTTGAACCAAAGACTTCAAAAGCAGCCTAAGGCAGCATAGAAAAAAAATAATGAAAATTTGGTGAGAAAAGCTTTGAATTCATATTTGTAAGTGGCGTATAAAGCAGCATGTTAACAATCTTAAGGGTGTGGCTATAATAATCTTTAGGGATTCAGAGGTAGGGATAGGAAAATCAGGAGTTCAGAGTCAGCTTTGGCTAAATAATAAGTTCAAGGTCAGCCTGAGCTACCTGAGACCCTGTCTCAAAAAAGAAAAAAGTATGACTGAAATAAAACTTTGAATAATTTATTTAAGAATGGCAGTATTCGTGCTTTTTGTAGTATGGTCACTTAATTATTTCTCTATTCTCTTTTTAACAGGTAAAACAAAGAATAATAAAAATATATCACAAAGTGTTTGTAGTCAACATATGGAAACTAATCCTAATATAGTCTTAACTGAAGAAACTAATCTAGCAATTAAAAGTTCTTTTGAAACAGAAGAATCTGGTAAGATTTTTTTTGTTTGTTATTGATCAACTAAAATGTTAAAATTGTTTCAAAATTCAAAAGCAGTACTATTTAAATTAGAAGTTATTCAAATTACTACATAGTTCATTTTTATGCTTATAATTTCCTGTCTAATCTAATCCTTTGATTAGAAGATTAATTTTTCATACTCATTTTTTTCATAGAGCAGTAGACACACAATCTAATAATAAATAGATTAGCCAATGGACAAGTCTGTAATGAAACAGTTTTATTAAGGCTCAAATTCTAATGTCTGATTTATTAGAGTTTTTCAGTCTTCTGAGTTAAGCTGACAGTCATAATTATTTCAAGGAAATTATACAGTATATGCTGATAGTCTTGAATTTGGTTATTTGTAAGTTTTAGGTTATCCCGCATCCCTGCTGTCTTTATTCGGAGCCTTTCAGTTATATCTGTCTTGGAGTACCAACATAGCATAGTTAGTCCATACATAGGAAGCACTTTGTGAATTAAAGAAAAACTGAGTAAATCAGTATTAAAATTTTAATATATAGAATATTTTTAAAGAAATTTTGTCAAGTATAGCACAAATTTATAGAAGTACATAATAAAATTGTATTAGCTTTCTGTTATGAAATCAAATCAAGAACTTGCCTCTCAAGTGAGAAAAGGGTCTTTGCCAGCACAACAAAGAGTCCTTTCAGTCCCTGGGTCTCTGTTCTTCAGATAGTCATCATCTTCACTTTTCATAATTTGGTAAACTTTATGCCTTTTTCAGCATCAGCCACCTCCATATTATTTAGTGTCTCTACAAGCTATGCTTGATCATCATTTTTCTTTACCTGTTTTGATTGATTGGTGATTTTTTGTAACAGGGTTTCTCTGTGTCACCCTGGCTACCCTGGAACTTTCTCTATAGAACCGGACTGGCCTTGAACACAGAGATCCACCTGTCTCTGTCACATGAGTGCTGGAATTAATGGTGTGTGCCGCCGCCACCTGACTCCTTGCCTGTTTTTAAGTGAAATGAGTAATGGCTTCCAGTTTTTTCACATCCTGTCCTCAAAAACTTGTTTTAGAATGTCTTTCATTGAGTTCATTGTTAATAACAAAGCTCAACTTTGCATTTCTTAGGCTGAACTATATTTGTGCATTTGTTTGTGTGTTTGTTCACAACTAAAAGATTGTTTCACTGAAGCTTTAGCATAAGCAAAATAAAATTTGTAATCCTGTCCTCAGAAAGTCTTACAAATTCATTAAGAAACCTCTTTCAGGTTGAAAATGGAGCTTGTGCAAGAGTGTTTATGTAACCTAGTGCTCAATTTAATCTTTAGCACTGTTTTTTTTTAATGTCATTTATCCTGTATTTGTGTGGCCTAATATAATTTCCCCTAATCTCTCCCTCAATATAGAATTAAGTGGGCTCTATACACTATATGATTTTACCAGTTATGATAGTTACAGCCATTTTTCTGGATTTTTCCCTATTTCTTTCCATATTTGTTCAAATTGTCTCAATTATTCTGTAAAATTCACTGTATTGATGCTACATTGTTTCCTCTTAAAAAGATTTTTTTTTAAATTTCTTTTTGGCCTTTTTCCTATATTATATTACAATTTTCTATTCTGTGTTTTTTCCTAGATATTTTAATCTCTATAAGATCATTGAGTCAATTGTTCATATTTGCATGCTAGAAAAATGTGTATGGTTGTCCTCAGTAAATATGTTAAATGTTAAAGTGTACACAGAAATCGTGTTAATTGAGCAAAATGATCTTGGTCTCATTTTACCATTAAAAATAAATCAGGCAAATAGAGTAAGTAGACATGGCAAAATTTGAAAATCCCATCATTCAGGAGGCTTGAAGTGAGAGAATCACTGCAAGTTCAGGGCCAGTGTGGGCTACTTACGTAGTGGGACCTCTCTAAAAAACACTGAGAAGAAGAAAAAAGTCTAGATAGGGAAGCAACTATTTCCACTATTGTTTAGAGCCAGATTAGGGCATTTTGTCTTCTGGTAAGTACTGGATGTTCTTAAGCCTGTGTACATTTTCCTTCTTTGGCGTCTGTTTTCCTAGAAACTTGGAAACAATCTGACATTTGTTAATTGTGCATCAGTCTTAAACTTAACTGTTATGCCAAAGATTAGTGTTTTCTTGGCAAAGTAGGTTGTACAGGAAAAATGGCTGCTTTCAGAAGCTAAACATACTCAACGTAACTTTCCATCACACTGGTGTTTTACAGATGGGCAATCTGGTCAGCCTCCCTTTTGTACATCCTTTCAAAATGAAGATGTATTATTAAGTGATTTGAAGAATGGCAATAGCCACGATGTTCTTCAACAAGAATCCCAGGAAAATTTCTCCCAAATAAACACTAACATTCAAAAAAAGGTCTTTAAAACAGCTGTACCTGCTGAACAGAAGTGTGCCCTTGATATTGCCTTTGAGTCTGTATCTAATTTGAGTGACTTTAACCAAAGAGGAGGCTCCACTGAATGTAATGACCATTGTTCTGAGTTATACACCAGTCAGATGCCCACTGACACTGAAAGGGTTGTGGAGGTTGAAAAGGATTCTTTGTCTACAAGTATGCTGAATGAACCTCAGATACAGCCTGATCAGCCTGATATACCAGTGACTTCATTTGTGTCCCTTGGTAGTGAAGCCAATGGTGAAAACTTAATTCTCTCTGGGAAAAATACCCAGCTTTTGTCCCAGGATACTCCATTGACTGGAAAGCCATCTAAAAGTCAATTTTGTGAAAATTCTAACAATATAATAAAAGCTAAAACTAATTCCCATGGTTCCGAGTCACTAGATTCTTGTCAAACTCAAAGCAGTAAAATTGAAACTAATAGTGTATCATCAGTTGCAGCACAGCCACTACCAGATTGCCAAGATAATTCTCCATTGCAAAGTAAAACATCACCTGGGACTGTTGAAAGTTCAGGTTTAAATGTATCTGAACAAATAGAAATTCATCTTGAAGAATCAGTCCCTTCAGATAAACAGCTATCTAATGGTTCAACATCTGTTGACTTGAATCATATGGAAAACAAGCCTGAGACACTTAAGTCTAAGAACTCCCAAGAGCCTTCCTCTTCTGTGAAAGATGGAGATACAATTTTTCTCTCTTTGGGTGAACACAACAGCTGTGAAGAAGTTGCACTGGTTCCCCGAGAGGATAATCCTGTGAAAAATAATCATTCGCTTCCTTCAGAATCTGGTGGTTCAGTGGGAGGGTCTCCTGAGACCCAAAGTACTGATGGTAAGCCTAGCAAAGACTCAGTGGAGGTGGATGCGTCAAGTATTGTGTCTCTCAAAATTATCATTAGTGATGATCCATTTGTTTCCTCAGATGCAGAGCTTAACAGCGCTGTATCTAGTATCAGTGGAGAAAACTTGCCAACAATAATTCTGTCTTCTAAATCTCCTGCCAAAAATGCAGAATTTGTTACATGCCTGTCTTCAGAAGAAACTACAAGTGCTGTTGTATCTGTGGAAGTAGGGGATTCTGGCTCAGTGGAGCAGAACCTTGTGGTGCTGAAACCTGAGGAACCTGTGGTAAGCAATCCTCAGAGTGAAGATGGCATTACTTTTTCAACCAGTGTTGCACCATGTGTTCCTAAGGACGGAGGATACATACAGTTGATGCCTGCCACAAGCACAGCCTTTGGCAATTCAAGTAACATTTTGATAGCTACCTGTATGACTGATCCAACAGCCTTGGGACCAACTGTCAGTCAATCTAATGTAGTGGTATTGCCTGGGAATTCTGCACCTATGACTGCACAGCCTCCTCCGCAGCAGTTACAGACACCACCAAAGTCTAACAGTGTATTTGCTGTCAACCAAGCTGTGTCACCAAACTTTTCACAAGGTAACTCTAAGAGCATATTGGAGGTGAGCTGGGGATATAGTGGTGGAAAAGCACTTGTATAGCATGTGCAAGACTGTGGACTGTATCTCCAACACTGAATGAAAAGTGATACGTGTATGTGTGTGTAATTTATATATGTGTGCACGCATTTTGGAGCTTCTCTGGATTGCAATCTTAATTTTCTTGTGTGAAGTCACTGACTAGGAGATAAAATAGATAATTCACATGACAAAATACCATACAAATAATTGCTTATGCCTTTCTTCCTACCTAATTCAGCCAGGTTTTGTTTAAATCTGGTAGGCTATAGCTTTAATTTTTTTCTGTCATAGTTTTTCGTCTATAGCACTAAGCTGTGAAAAAGAAAAGAACATAATTCATTTCATAGCTGTAAAAATATTTTAACTCAATGTAGCAGGATATTTCTTTATTCTTATTATAGTCATAGTTTTGTTTTTGTTTTTTTTTTTTTTTCTGGGGGGTAGGGGAGTTTTGAGACAGGGTTTCTTGGTATAGCCCTGGCTGTTTTGCAACTCATTCTATAGACCCACTTGACTCTGCCTCCCAAGTGCTGGGATTACAGGCATGTGCTGCCACCACCTGACCCTATAGTAAGTTTTTAAGGAATTTGTCTTTTAGAGAGACTTTCAAGAAAACCTGAATTCTACTAAAACTCTTTGTCATTTCTCACATTCTGTTGCTATTTAGAAATGATTCTTTAGAGGCTCCACGGGGGCTCTTGTCTTCATTGTATGCTGGTTTACATACAGTTAGTAATTGACAAGCTTATCATATCTATTGGTTTATGTTTTTTAGAGATAAGAATTTACACGTGTTCTCTTATATCCCCATGTGTACTGATTTATAGATTATTTAATTATTATTAACTATTAAATTTGGTAAATCTATTTTAAGAACTATTTCAAATGAGGTAAAGAAGAGGCCAGAACTGTTGCATAATATGAAGCTTGAGTTAAAGCTTAGAGAAATGAGGTAAGATTTGAAGCCAAGGGGAGTAGAATAAGTATTCATGGATGTTTGGGAAACTGGCAGGTTTGTGTGAAAATAAGATGAATCTGACAGGGATAGTTGGTGTATTAGGAAAAGGTACATTCACACCATGACTAAATAACTAAGCTTTTCTTGTGGCTGACTCCTAAGGACCATGTATGCACTATAATTTTCCCTTGGTAGTTTAATCTGGTCACAAAAGTATATTGTTTTTGGTCAATACCATTAAGATAAAAAATAGTTAAAGGCTGTAAATTCTCACTTGGAATCCCAAGTTTTCTGATACAAAGTTCAAACATGAGACATTGACCACTCAGTGTCTAATTGGTTTCAGTCTTCTTCATTAGAAGAATCAGTATGTAATGGATCTTCTAGCCATAGTCTAGTCTCGAGCTTAGGATAATATCGCTAAGTTGCTTTTTCTTCATTTCTCAACTTTATTACTGTACTTAATCAAAAATTTATGAACAAGATTGTCTTAATTAGGGTTACTATTGTTGTGATGTAAACACCATTATCATTAACAGTTATGGTAGGGGAAGGGTTATTTCACTCATTATGCCATAGGAAAAGTTAATCATTGAAAGAGGTGAGGGCAGGAACTCAAGAAGTGGAGTCAGGAATAGATGCAGAGCAGTCCTGAGGACATAGAGGGCTGCTGCTTACTGGTTCCTCCCACTCTTGCTTATGACTTGCTTAGTCCGCTTTTTTTTTTTTTTCATATATATAAAACCTGGATCGATAGCTTGGGAATGGCACCACCCACGATAGGTTGGGCCCTCCTGTGTCAATTACTAAGAAAATGCCCTACAGGCTTGCCTACAACCCAGTCTTAGAGAGGCAGTTTCTCAGTTGAGGTTCCCTCCTTTCAGATAACTCTGGCTTGTATCAAGTTGGCATAAAACTAGCCAGCACAGTTGATGCCTTGTCATCTTGACACACAAACACATTACTGTTAAGCCACAACTTTTATTTTTCTTCTCAAAGATCACACATCAGTATCAACATTGCAGTATAAACATTCCAAATTTTAAATTATAAAGTCCCATGATCTTTAAAAATTCATTCTCTTGTGGTTGGAAAAATGTCTCAGTGGTAAGAGCACTGGCTGCTCTTCCAGAGGACCCAGGTGTAATTCCCGGCACCCACATGGCAGCTCACAACCGTCTGTAACTCCAGGGGTTTGGCACCCTTACACAAGCATATGTGCAGGCAAAGGATAACATTTTTTTTTAAAAATCTTTTTTAAAAATCTGTCTTCAAAAGAGGCAATCTCTTTTAAAATTCAGAGTCTTTCAACTGTGGTCTTATCAAACCAAAAATAGTTACTTAAGGAGGGAAGAACAAGGGCACAGTCACAATCTGGACAAAGCAAAACCAAACTCAACAATATAAATCATTCACTGTCTGATGTGTGAGATTCACTCATCTTCTGGGCTCCTCCAGAGTAACACAAAGAACTTGGGTCACTTCTCAGACTCTGCCCTCTGCAGCACACACAGCTCGTTGTCTAGGCTATGGATGGCTCCACCCCACCACCTGCTACTATTCTTGGTGGTCATCCCATAGTGCTGGGGTCCCTGCCTACAACTGAGTTGCACTTTCAACAACAGCCTCTCCTGGGCTCTTTTCGGGGACTTTAGCCCCGCCACACAGTGCCAAGCCTCAGCTGCTCTCCATGACCCCTTGATGCCTTCAAAATCAGTACTGCCAGGGTGACTCTTACTTACACTACCAAGATTGGCTACCAGTATGAAGTACAACCTTGGCTGCTTCTGGAACACAGCTTCTGTGTGCTTACCCCAAGGAAGTACTTCCCAGAAGACTTCACCTCAGTGATGCTAGTCTCTTAGTCACAACTGGTTCTTCAGCACCAACTATCCCAGCAGAGCAAAGGTTTTACTTGAGTACTTCTGGGCTCTTGCTAATCACAGCCAATTCTTCAGCTCCAGGTGACCAGACACTACAGATTCTTCACACACAAGGCCCAATACAGTGTTTGCTTCCCTCTGAAACTTAACAATTCAGGCCTTCATCATCTGCACTCTTCTTAACATTCTTATCTTCCAAGCTCCTAAAGAACCGCTCACTGAACTATTAATATCTAGCCCAAAGTTCCAAAGTCCTTCCGCGGTCCTCCCCAGAACATGATTAGGTCTGACAGTAATACTCCACTCGTAGTACCAACTTCTGTTTTAGTTAGTGTTAGTGATGTGATGAAACACCATGACCAAAAGAAACTTGGGGAGGAAAGGGTTTATTTCACAGTTCTGTATAGCAGTTCATCAGTGAGGGCAGGAACCTGGAGGCTGGAGCTGGTGCAGAGATTGTTAGGAAAGAAGATTTAGTGATAGACTTTGCTTCAAAATACTAATTTCTTTGGCATTTATTGTCAGAAGACTTATGGAAGTAAAACTGATTTTAATGAAAATTGCTTTTTAGGCTCTGCTATCATAATTGCTTCTCCAGTACAGCCTGTGCTTCAAGGAATGATGGGAATGATACCTGTGTCTGTAGTTGGACAGAATGGAAATACATTCTCTACTCCTCCTCAGCAGGTATGTTTATGAACTAAGAATAGTGTGGGGAAGCATTCCAACAACTGCTTAGTTAATTTTCTCTGTGTGTTTCCTTCTAGGTCCTTCATATGCCTTTAGCAGCACCTGTTTGTAACAGAAGTATTACTCAGTTCCCCATTCCTCAAAAATCTCAGAAGGCTCAGGGACTCAGAAACAAGCCTATTACAGGTACTTGTTCAAAGAGTTTGAACGTTGTGTTTGTGAAGCAGCAACTGAATGTTTTCTTTCTTTTTTGTTTTTTCAAGATTGCGTTTCTCTGTGTAGCTCTGGCTGAGCTCAGACATCTGCCTGCCTCTGCCTCCCAAGTGCTGAAATTAGATACCCAGAGAATGTTTTCTTGAATACCTTGTACATCCCTAACAAGCAATTCTCTTTCCCTTCAAGCAAGCAGTTTTTGATTGGACAGCTTTGATTCTGATAAATCCCTTTGTTTTGCTGAAGGCTTTAGGTTTTATCCATTGTTTCTCAGTATGTTCTTTGGAGCTGCCTAAAATCATAATTCCCATTTTTTTCAAACAATTTTGAAGTGTTTAACAAAATAAATGTAACACCTTCTCTTGTTCCCTGCTTTTGCAAGTGGTCCTACCATCTCTTTACATGTGTCAAAAAACTGAGTTACTCTTGACACACATTTCTCTTAGTTCAAGTAGTCATAACTTTCTGTCACATCAGTAGTGTTCTACCCTGTTTTGTTTTGTTTTTAAGAGCCTCAATTTTCTTGTTCATCCTATATTTCTTAGTTGAGTGACACCCCTGCCCCATACATATTAGAATATGTGACTTCCTACCTAAACAATTTTAGTAACTCCCAGTTGGTCACAGGATAAAACTGAAGCTCCTGGCCTAGGGTGGTGGCAAACTATAACCCGCACATGGGAGACTGAAACAAGAGGCTAGACCAGGTGGAACAAGTTAGTGAGATCCTTCTTGAGAAGGGAAAGGAAGTGAAGGAATTGCTCCCTGAGCATTCCCTAAGAATATTCTGGATTTCATTGGAGTGTGTTGTAATGTCTGTCTTTTTACTGCCAGTGTTATTAACTTGGAACTCCCTGTCCCCTCCCTCCCACCTCAGTTGTTTGTTTTTGATTAGTTTGGCCTAGGAACTTTTCAGTCTTGTTAATCTTTACAGAGAATCAGCTCTTTGTGAGATTCATTCTGTATTTATTTTAGTACCTGTTTCTTCCCTGATCTTTATCATTCCTTACCATCTGCTTTCCGCATTTGAGTTTGTTTGTTTGCTGGAACCTTCTGATGCATCATTGTTCCGTGACACTGTTCTTGGAGAGATGTGAACAAACATCTCCTCGCCCCAGATGAAGAACCAGGGAACAGACCATAGATCAGAATCTAACTTGGTGAACCAATGAGCTCTTTTAAATTTACTTACAGGAACTTGAGTGAGGGGTTACTTACAGCAAAAATGACTCAGACTCAAACTGTATCACCAAAGCCCACAAAAGCCTGGGTGACAGCTTACAAAATCTAGGAACCTGGCCACTCTGCACCCCCTAATAGATGTAGAAACCTGGAGTGTACTGTACAATCTATAGGCAACACAGCTGGCTGGAATCATTTCCAGGTAACTCTGGGGATCTGAATTTCTTCCAGGCAGGTAGGCAAATATAAAACTTTAAGTTTCACCTGACCTCCTAAAAGTACAGAAGTATAAATACTAAAAATTAATAATAACAAAAAAGAAATGAAAACATTTAGGGCAAAGCTTAAAATACAAACTAAAATTGATAAGGGATTTTTTTTTAATATTTATTTATTATGTATACAGTATTCTATCTGTGTGTATGCCTGCAGGCCAGAAGAGGGCACCAGACCTCATTACAGATGGTTGTGAGCCACCATGTGGTTGCTGGGAATTGAACTCAGGACCTTTGGAAGAGCAGGCAATGCTCTTAACCACTGAGCCATCTCTCCAGCCCCCCCCCCTTTTTTTTTTTTTTTTTTTTTTTTTTGGTTTTTCGAGACAGGGTTTCTCTGTGGCTTTGGAGCCTGTCCTGGAACTTGCTCTGTAGACCAGGCTGGTCTCGAACTCACCGAGATCCGCCTGCCTCTGCCTGCCGAGTGCTGGGATTAAAGGCGTGTGCCACCGCCAGGCTATAGAAGGATGTTTTCAGTTTGTATTTCTTCCTGGTTGGGGAGAGCCTTCTGGTTACTTTAGTTTAGTCTATAAGGAAGCAGGTTTGCCAAACTATCCATACATCTTCTTCCTGTTCTTGCCAGGGTGGGGGCTGTTGAGAATTAGATTAAGACCCCTTACTGCACCTCTGTTTTGATCCCCATTCTGCTGTTTCAAGTCTGTTAGTCCCATCAGGATGTTGTGACATGTTCACCATTCTGCTGCTTTTCCTGCAGTCTGAGGATCTGCTCATCTGGGTAGTGGCAGGCATGAGGAAATGGTAAGGGCCTTGTGCCCTTTTCTGGTACCTTATATATGGCCTGTTGCTCCACTCTCTTCTCCAGCTCCATTAAATTCAGCCTCCAGTTGGTACTGTCTCTGCCTGGCTCCTATAGCATCTGGTTTTCAGAGTTGTTTGATATCACTTTCCTGGACCCAACTCAGCATAACAGTGTGGTGTGGCTGGGTATACCAGCTGGCTTCTTTATGGAGAAAAGTCTGTCTAGTCTTATTTCATGTAGCTCTTCCTTTTTTTTCCTCCTCCACTGGTGATTTTATTACTTTGGCTTCCTGCTTTCTTCCATCCAAATTCCAAGTCTCACAAACACTACTTCTAGTTTATCATAGCTCCTTCTCTCAAGATGCTTTCTTACACTTAAGCTCTCTTGATCTAAGTACAGTTGACTTCTTTTCTCAGTTTCTTTGACATTTGCAGGTTCAGCCAACCACAGGCAGAATTTTGGAGAGTTGTAACTGCATTTGTGCTGAAGAGACTTTTCTCATTGTTTTTCCCTGAACAATACAGTATTAGCTACTAACATGATATTTCATATGAGTAACCTAGAGAATGATTAAAGGATATGCTTAAGTTCTGTGCAAGTACAGCTCCATTTTTCTGTAAGGAACCAAGCTATGTGCAGGTGTTGTTATCAATGGGATCAATTCACTCAGACGAACTGGTGTAGTAAGTGCCATTAAAAGCTGTAGTTCTTGAAGGCTGGATTTGTGTTGGCCTGAAATTAAGTCATTTAGTTTATATCTAGATTTTATTTATGAAATGAATGAATATGCTATAGAAAATTTAAGTATTTAAAAAAAAATAGTATAGCCAGTGGTGGTGGTGCATATCTTTAATCCCAGCACTCCGGAAGCAGAGGCAGGCAGCAGAGGCAGGCGGCAAGCGGACATCAATGAGTTCAAGGTCAGCCTGGTGTACAGAGAGTTCCTGGACAGTCGGGACTGTTATACAGAGAGCACCTGTCTCAAAAAACCAAACAATCAAATAAATCAATGAATAAATGAATAAAATTAAAAATAAAGAGAATAATATATCTATGAAAATGTTTTATTTGCAAATTAGCAGTCATTTAAATTTTTTCTCATGTAACATTATCATCTGGTTCATTTTTTTTTCAGTGGAGTATATATTTTCTTTCACAAATATTTTTCTTTTCTAATGAATTAACTTATGATTCCAGGAAAACAAGTAAATAATTTGACAGATTTGTCCAGTCTTTCAGGAGCATGTCATATGCAAAGGTAAGGATAAAATAATTTATACTGTAGATTATTAAAATGCTCAAATGACAAATTTCATGTTACTAAAAATGAGATGTTATACTTTCATTTCAGTAGAACTGAAGCTTCTGATAAGAATATAGCCCCTGAACTTGGGAAAAAATTAGAAGAGGTCACAATTCCCCTCTCAGCAGAGAGGACAGCTCCTGCCAGCAAGCCATTTGAAAGTCATAGGCGTGTGCTCTGTTTCGATAGCACTGTTTCTTCTGTGACAAATACGCAGGGGCCACAGAATAAGATGACCTCCCAAAACAAAGAAAAGAAGGACACGTCCTTTCCTGCTACTGACTTAGCCATTGTCCCCTCCACCTTAAATCCACTTTCTAATAGTACCGTTAAAAGAGAGAGAGAAAAAACTGTGCCCAAGATTTTATCTAAATCAGAAGCTGCCTTTAGCCGACACACCACTGTGAAAGAAATTCAGTCTGAAAAGAAAGTTTTCCCCACAGAAGTGGCCCTTGAGTCTTTCCATAAAGCAACAGCTAACAAGGAGAATGAGTTGTGCAGTGATGGGGAAAGACAGAAGAGTCCAGACTCTTCAAAACTGCCTGTTGGGCAACAGAATGGGAGCTTGCGGAATGAAAAAGCTATAGCTTCCCTGCAGGAGTTGACCAAAAAACAAGCCACGTCCTCAAACAATAAAAATGCTACTTCTATAGGTGGAACTGTGAAGGACCTAAAACAAGAGCAAAGTAAATCTACTAATTCTTTAATTGGTGCAGAAATATTGCAGGATGTTCCACTGCACAGCCCAGCAAATAGGATTGCTGATACTGATTTGCCAGTACCCCGGACACCTGGCTCAGGAGCAGGGGAAAAGCATAAAGAAGAACCTGCCGACAGTATGAAGGCACCCTCTAGTAGGCGCTTTGGTGAAGATGGCAGCATGCCCAGAATAATGGTCCCTCCTGTTACTGCAGACTTGCCTGCCTGCAGCCCAGCCAGTGAAACAGGCAGTGAAAATAGTGTGAGCATGGCTGCTCATACGCTTATGATTCTCTCTAGAGCAGCAATCGCTAGGACAACAGCAACTCCTCTGAAAGATAACACACAGCAATTTAGAACATCTTCAAGGAGCACTACAAAAAAGCGGAAAATTGAAGAATTAGATGAGCGGGAGCGAAACTCCCGTACTTCTACTAAAAATCTTGCAAATTCATCAGTACCAATGAAAAAGAAGAAAATCAAGGCAAGTTTAAAAGTTTTTCATTCCAGTTCCACTTCTGTCCCTTCCTTCAGTGTTCACATTAGATAGAGAGAGAACTTGGTACTGTTTTGCTACAGCTACCTGACCAAATGTATCCTCAGGACCATACACTTAGTAGTGTTTCCCAGTCGTGATGATATCATTCTTAGGAAAAGTGAATGTTTCTATCCTGATATCTATCACCCAGGATTTTTCATGGGAACACATAAAATGTGAAAGACTGGGAAACTACCATAACATGAATTACCCAGTAAAACACTACCTTACTTTCTTTGACTTGGAGTTTTCTACTTGTTTCCCCTCTCTTCCATGGTCTTTAAGAAAAATTCATGTCCCCGTGTTTTTTCTTACCATGATTGTCTTTAGTAAGGCAGTGCAAGGGTAGTAGCAATGATAAATGCATATATCTAAAATTTGTTTGTTTTACTGAGTAGACTGAATCGAAAATATGTGAGTACCATAGAGAAAATAGAATAGGTGGGGAAAAGGATATCTAGGTTTTGTGCCCTGCAACTCTGAGTTTGACCTGTTTCAACTGCTTGTCATCCCTGTGACTGTCCATGATTCTGTGCCTCATCATTTACCATAAAATCATACATCTTACTCTGTGGTTTTATAGTCTGCTATATAGTCTACTACTTCAAAAAGTATCTCTAGTTAATGGTAGGAACTTGGTGAGTGAGTGGTAATCTTTGTGTGTTAGCAAAGGGGTCAGATGGTAAAGGTACTTGTTCTCAAGACTGATGATTATGGAGTTTGATCCCTAGAAACCACATGGTAGAAGCAGAAAAGCTCCCCCAAAACAGTCCTCTGACTTGTGTACTCATCTGTGTATATGTGTGTGTACAAATGTGTTGCACACATACAAAATTAGTATAATAAAACAATATTTGTTAGTAATACTTTCTAAGGCCTATGGTTTTACAAACATGACCACCTTAAAGGAAGCATGTTCTCGTCTGACATTCACATAACATACTCGAGATTTGTTTCCTGCCTTTTGCCTAAACTAATATTTAATTACAATTAAAGTGTATTTTAACATTGGGTTGATAAAACCTGTCTGTCTTTCCCTGTAGAAATAAAATTTTGACAGAATCAAAAATGATGCAGTTTAATAGTAAAGAACTCTATATAATGTTTTAGGTGATCTGCTAAGAAAATTATCTAGCCTAGAGTTTATTGTTTTTCCTTCTCTCTTGTTTTTGTCTTCACAGAAAAAGAAGCTACCTAGTTCATTTCCAGCAGGAATGGATGTGGACAAATTCTTGCTGTCGTTGCATTATGATGAGTAAACCCCCTGATGTAGAGAACAGTAGCCGTTTAAAACTAATGTCCTTCAAACTGTGCGTGTAGGAAATGGGATCGCGACAGACTCTGCAAACATGACCTGCACTTTCATTGTACTGAGATTTCACTTTATATCTTAAGTCATGCTGTTTCTGAAGCAGCTTCCTGGTTTGTAAATAGACTTCCTTGCTATATTTTTATTTTAGAACAAAAGAAAATGTGCAAAAATGTAAGTAAAGCCAATCTGAAACTGTACAGCTTTGACACTGTATATTGTACATGTGTATATCGTGTAGAAATACAGCTTAAGTCAGCCTAGTTCCCACACTCTTGACTTCTATGATGCCTAAGGCTTCTGGAGTAGTTTCTCATCTCCTTTGTAGGAAGATGATGGTTATTCATATAAATTACCTTCAGCCAACATTAATAAGACACTTAAATATACAGCCACTAAGTAAAAAATAATGATGATAACCACCTCAACTTGTTAATAGAATACCTAATCAGAAAGCAGCAGCTTGATGATTACCCTCGGAATCAATACTTTATCACTCCTTTCTCATAAATTGCAGTAAAAACTATATTTCTGAAATTCTGTACTTTCTTCCAATCATCTGTTCTCTTTGTTTTAAAGAGATTTTTATAAACCATTTATTAAGTGTTCTGGTACTTCAATTATAAAATTTTACAGAACATTAAGTGGTTAGACTATTGAGCCATAAAAAATTTGACTTACGTAGTAGTTGAGATTTCTTTATTGTATATAAACTTTCCCTGAGTACTAGGGATACAAAGAATTGCACTAATTCATAGAATTTTTCACATACTAGTGACCAATGCACATTTAATTTAAATTTGTATGTAAAAGCTTATGTGGAGGATTGTCTTCTGGTGTCTTTGAAAGTCATGTCCATCATAAGATGTAAAAATACAAATCATAGTTCTATTGTAATTTAGTTTGCCCTAAAGTGGGGTGTGTAAATAACTGTGTCTGTACTTACCTATAGAGCATTGTGTTCCTAGAATGTTGTAAATACTTGTTCTCGAGGGCCTTAGGGAAGAGAGAGGTGCCTTCTCTGTGCTGACGGAGTGTGTTATAGAAGTAACAGTCAAGTTGAAAAGCTGGCTTAAACTTTAAAGTAATGACAGAAATTATCATTAATACTTGACCAATTGTGCCTAGATATTGAAGTGTTTTCGTAAGTCCTTTCTGTTTAACTAAATATCAGTATATTAGGATTTTTTTCCTACGAGTGTATATTTTATTAAAAAGTCACTTTCTTCAACCATTTTTTGTACTGGGCCTTTAACAAATAAATCCATCCCGCTGTAATAACAAAAAAGTTTTCAATATAAAAATTACGTCTTTAATTGCTAGACTTTACTGTATAAATTTATACTGAGAAATTTTTATATGACTGATCTAGTCCTAAGGAACTGAATAATCATACAGTTAATATTTACATAACTCAGTTTGGATCTCTCCTACAGTTAAGTTTGAATAAATGTATTTTCATTAACTTTACAAGTTTGAATTTATATTGGACAGTCCTATTTAGAAACTGTTGGTTCAATTTCTTTGCAGGTTAGTTAATTCTCACTGTTTTTTTAGGAATTCACATAATGCAGAAAATTGCAGATTTTCTTGTGTAATTGAAATCTATGTGCTACATTGTGAAAATTCGTACATAAGTTAACTCGTGATTTATGTAATAGTTGTGTGTGGTTTTTAGTCAGTGTCTCTCATGTAGCTCAGCTCACTTTGGATTCATTATATAGTCAAGTGACTTTTAATTCCTGATACTCCTCTCTACCTCCTAAATGCCTAGTATTGTAGGCATGTACCACACACAACTTCTTCAGAATTCTCTTCCTTGTTCTTTGGTGGGTTTGTTGTTGTTTGCTTGTTTTATTTTTTGAGACAAGGTCTCTATGTAGTCCTGGCTGACATCAAACTCAGAGATCTTCTGCCTCTGCCTCCCAAGTTCTGGGATTAAAGGTGTGTGTTACCATGCCTGGCCTTCAGGATTTTTAGTGAACTATCCTGAAGCACTAGATAGTAAGTCCAAAGACAGTCTGCACATACACACAACCAGAGAACAGTGTCAGGATGTTTTAATTCTCTATGCCATTCTCCCTTAGGACAAGGTCTCTCTAGGCCTGGAGCTTGATGATTTTAACCTGTGCTGACTGGTCAGCAAGTCCCAGAAATTCTCCTGTCTTCCTCTTTGTGGGACCCTCACCCCCCTTATTCTCAAAGGGGCGAGAAGAAATTTCCTAGCAGAATGTTTTCTCAGGAAGAATGTGGCCTTCCCCTCTCCCACCTGGGAGCATAAGGTCACTTAGCTCAGCCCAGCCAGCCAACCACCTGGTGATAAAGACGCAGAATGGGAGAGAGTAAAAGTCCTTGCCCCCGAGCCAAAGGAGCTTCAAAAGCGTCTTTGTAGTTACACCTTTAAACGCTTACCCCACAGAGGAGATACAATTCCTCTCTACCTCACTGCAGCGGGGGCAGAGATGGGTTCCAAACATGTTTGTATTATGCTAATTAAACCTTGCTTATTACAGTCTGGGCCTCTCTAGTGGTCTCTCTCTGGGGGTCGCAATCTGGGTACAACACTCCTGTCTTTGTTTCCCACATCCAGCAGCAAGGGTACAGGTATACAAGCCATTTTCATATGTGCTGTTCATATATAGGTGCTGAAGATCTGAATTTCCATGCTCAGCAAACACTTAGCCACTAAGTCACCTGCTCTGCCTTCATTTCATTGTTTTTAGGTGTTACAAATGGAAACATCACTGAGCCAATTTGTAAAGAAACATCTGTTTACATATTCATTTATTTCCTTAGACATTTTACTAGTTACTTTTCTGCCAACAAGTAGTTGTTTCTTCTAAACCACATATTTATACCTTGCAAGATGTATATTCAGCTAAATCATCACTTATTTCTCTAGGCTTTTATTTAACGTGTTTAAAATAGCAGTAGTTAACTTCTAAATCCATATGTAATTTGTTTGGGTAACTGGCGTGAAAAAATGGCGGAAAATGCTTTCTCCTGACTCATTTCGCAGTTTGTTAAAATCAGCTGTCCTTTCCCATGTTCATTTGTATTTCATCCTACCGCAGTTCACACTCTCAGCAGTTCTAAAGTCCGAAAGCTTCTGACAGCTAACTCCTTGTTCTCAAATTTAACTTAGAACCCACTTCATGGTAAAACATTGTCAAAGGGCCTGAGTCCTCTTACACTCTTCTATTTCATTCTATCTGAACAAACCCCAAATATTCTGAATTATTAAACAGGGCTTACTTCAAAAGTTGATAGTCAAGGATTTCAGGCTTGTATGACATTTACCTACATGTGTATGAACTAATACACTATGTGTATAGATTATGTTCATTGGTTGCATCATAACTCTAGCTGTTACTAAATATTAATTTTTTTCTCAAGTATGCCATTTCTACTTCCTGATTCAGAATCATGTTATTTCAAACTAAAGTTCCATTGAAATCAATTTTCAAAGTACATTAAAGTCATAGCTTAATTGATGCTAAATAGCAAGTGGAGGTAAAATTGGTGATTGGTGGCACAAACTTGTAATCCTAGCACTCAGATGGGGTAGGAGCATTGCCAGGATCAAATGGTAAGCATCATGAAGTAAATATCAATAAAGTTTATATATATATATATATATATATATATATATATATATACACACACACACACACACACACACACACACACACACAACATTCCTTCCATGTATGCTTGCATGCCAGAAGAGGGCACCAGATCATTCTAGATGTCTGTGAGCCACCATGTGATTGCTGGGAATTAAACTTGGGACCTCTGGAAGAGCAGTCAGTGCTCTCAACCTCTGAGCCATCTCTCCAGCCCCTCAATAAAGTTGTTTTTTTTTTTGTTTTGTTTTGTTTGTTTTTTTTGTCTTGGTTTGGTTTCATTTTGGGGTTTTGAAGCAGGATCTCTCTATGTAGATCTGGCTGACCTGTAGCTAACTGTAGACCTGACTGGCCTGAACTCCAAGAGATGAGCCACCATGTCTGGCACGCAGTAAATATATCCTTTCTTCTGTAACTCCACCTCTATTTATGTAGTGCTGGAATGGAATCAGGGCTTTGGGAATGCCAGGCAAACACAACCAAGGCCCTGTTCTCTCTTCTTGATGGACTGTTCCATTAATATATAGTGGCATTCTTTGGTGTCTTATATGAGCAGCTGCATCTGCTTGCTCTTAGCTTCTATTGAAGAGCATATTGTTTACCATTCTGCCAGTGTTAGTCTATGAGTCTGTCAGTATTTCTCTTGTAGACAACACTTTGATCATGTTTTTAATTGAGATACTTTTATTTTTAAGTTGAAGCCACTGAAAGTTTGGGCTGAGAATTTTCCCCATTATAATAGTTCTATTGATTTCATTCTTTCTTATTCTAGCTGCTGGTTTACTGAGCTGGGCATGGTCTATTCCATTCTCTCTGGTTCTCGGTTCCTCTCATAGAACTTACTCTTTGCCGTGCTCTCATATTTGTGACTGTTTCCTCCTGCTCTGTAGGATTCCTGTAAGGATTGTCAGTGCTGACTTAGTTGACATGAATTGCTATTGTTTATGCTCACTTGGAAGATTTAACCATCTACTTTTCATTGGTACTCATATAACTTTATTTGAAACCAATTTTGACTGCCCAAAGATTAAAGTTCAAAAACAGAAAATATAAAAAGCCACAGTCTTACTCTGTTCATTCTAATGGCAGAATGGGAAGTTTGCTGGGTGTTAAACAGATGATTTGGAGACTTGGGAAAGTCTAGGAGCCTTGTTACTGCAATTGCAATGGTGATCAGCAGCCTTCCTGAAGAAACCCATCTGTGACCTAATCCTATTTCCTTGGTATATTTAGATGTAAAAATGCTGGATCTCTAGTCTCATCAGGAGAGAGCCCCCATTACAAAGTATCTCAGGATGGCTTCTCTCTCCTTATACCAGCAGCTAGTGAGGTCAGGAAGCATAGTATCTCATATATCTCTGGCATCGGCAACATAGTGTGCAAGTCCTCCCTGGTTGTGTGACACCAAATATGGGTCCTGGAACCAAACATCATGTGCAAGAACAACAGATGCTCTTTGTTTTGTTTTTTCGAGACAGGGTGTCTTGTGTAGCCCAGGCTGACTGTCATGAGACTAGCTCTGTAGACCAGGCTGGCCTTGAATTCAGAGATCTGATCTGCCTGCCTCTGCCTCCTGAGTGCTAGGATTAAAGGCTGTGCCACTGGCACCTGGCTAGCAACAGATCTCTTAACCACTGAACCAGGTCTCTAGCACCAACACTGGTATTTCAAATAGTGGTGTCAGACTGTTCAAGTTTACTAAAAATATTAAAGAAGAAATTTTTATTTGTACTTTCAATAGGTTTTGGATATAATGATTATTTTTTTTTAAAAAATTTAATAGAAAATAATAAAAAATGAAAAACTTATGTTGAATATAAGCTGGCCCAAGAGAGTCAAGTTCACTTGAGCAGGGTTTCTGATCACATCGAACTGTCTCCTAAAACAGGCTGTCTGTCTACAGCTTCTCAATCAGCACAGCAGAAGCACCTCCTCCTCCATTGCAAATACTGGCCAGACCAAATTCTCCTTTCTTCAAGGCATGAGCCAAGTGAACAACAATCCGGGCTCCAGACATCCTAGGATCAAGAAAGCATTTGGTTCTTTAATGAAGGACAGAATTTAGAGCTAACCAGAAGAGTTTCCACTCCAAATTAACTTCTTGAAAACCTTATTAGCCAGAACTTGTAGCTGCATTAACTACGTTTCGGTTGAGGAAATGAGTTTCAGGAAGAGGTTACAGCTCTTACAAAAGCCTAGGTTTTGTTTTCTTTACTGTTCATCACTTTTAGTGTGCTGAATTGTTTGTGTTATCTTAACATAAGCTAGATAAAGAAAACACCAACAGAAGATCAGGCTGTGGATAAGACTCTAGGGTATTTTCTTTAAATAAATAAATAAATAAATAAATAAATAAATAAATAAATCTTTATTATGTATCCAGTGTTCTGCCTGCATGTATGCTTGAATGCCAGAAGAGGGCACCAGATCTCATCAGATGGTTCTGAGCCACCATATGATTGCTGGGAATTGAACTCAGGACCACAGTTGGTGCTCTTATTAACCTCTGAGCTATCTCTCCAGCCCTCTAGGGTATTTTCTTAGTGACTGATGGGGGAGGCACCATACCGGAAATGATGATCCTGGATTCTATAACAAGCCATGAGGAGCAAGCAAGTAAGCAGCACCCCTCCTTGGCCTCTGCATCAGGTTCCTGCCCTGTTTTGAGTTCCTATACTGAGTTCCTTCAACCCTCTCCTGGCCTCTGCATCAGGTTCCTGCCCTGTTTTGAGTTCCTATACTGAGTTCCTTCAACCCTCTCCTCCCCAACTTGCTTTAGGAGTGGTGTTTTGTCACAGCAGTAGAAACTCCGACTCAGACACAGATTTCAGAACACAGATGTGCTAAGTCTGTTCGCTGTGGGATGTGATCACCCAGAAATCATGTTTGAGGGACACAGTGAAACAGCTGATAGATAGATAGTAGAGGCTACTATTAACTTGGGTGGGTTATTTGTTACAGTACTAACCCGATTGGATGGCCCAGAGAAACAGCTCCTCCATGGATATTCACTTTTTGAGGATCAATCTCCAGCATTTTAATGTTGGCCAGTACAACCACACTGAATGCTTCATTTACTTCCCACATGGCAATGTCTTCCTTTTTCAATCCTGCATATTTAAGAACCTAAAAATAAATTTTAGATGGTTATCCAGATATTTAGCAATCAACTTGTTTTTGTTATTTTCTGGAATTTTACAGTTTTGGTTTATATTTCCCCCTTGATGTAATTAGTTACTTAAATAGGAAAGGCTTTCCTTTTCTTTTCTTTTTGAAAGAGTTTGTTTTCAAATTTTGCTTTTCTCCTTGTATTATAATCAGAATTTTGTTTTCCATGCATTATGATGTCTACTTTTAAGAGATACAGAAATTTTTATGTAACTGGACATTCCACATGTACTCTACATGACAGTACATCATGCTGTATGTCCCTAACATGTATCTTGCTGGCTGTATGTTACTTAGTTCTATGTTCTTGCAGAGTTTTGTCTGTTCCCACACGTCCCCTCAGTTCCCTAGAAAAGCTGTGGGATTACCTCAGACACAAATACCTTCTGTGAAGTCTTGATCGTGTTTTGTTTCACTAGTTCCTCATCTTGAGGGGAAGGGATTTTTGGGCTGATTATCCTTATGATAATAATAACTTTCTAAAAAAATATTTATTTAAACAGCTAGGATTTACTTTTGGAATGCAAAGATTGTTCAACACATGAAAACATAGAAACAGGGTGAAGAAAAACTGAAATTATTATTTATTGTAATTGATACAGAATAAACCGTTAATAAAACACAAAAAAATATTTATTTATTATGTATACAATATTCTGTCTGTGTGTATGCCTTCAGGCCAGAAGAGGGCACCAGACCCCATTACAGATGGCTGTGAGCCACCATGTGGTTGCCGGGAATTGAACTCAGGACCTTTGGAAGAGCAGGCAATGCTCTTAACCACTGAGCCATCTCTCCAGCCCCCGATAATAATAACTTTTAAAAAATATTTCTAGTTTGTCATAGCCAGAACATGGAAACAACCTAAATGCCCCTTAACCGAAGAATGGATAAGGAAACTGGTACATTTACACAATGGAGTACTACACAGCAGAAAAAATAACGACATTTTGAATTTTGCAGGAAAATGGATGGAGCTAGAAAACATTATCTTGAGTGAGGTTACCCTGACACAGACAATTATGACATGTACTCACTCATAGGTGGTTTTTAAACATAAAGCAAAGAAAACCAGCCTACAAACCACAATCCCAGAGAACTTAGACAACAATGCAGACACTTAAGAGAGACTTACATAGATCTAATCTACATGGGAAGTAGAAAGTAGAAAAAGACAAGATCTCCTGAGTAAATTGGGAGCATGGGGACCTTGGGGGAGGGTTGAAGTGGGGAAGGGAGAGGCAGGGAGGGCAGCAGAGAAAAATGTAGAGCTTGATAAAAATAAAAATTTCTAAAGTCCTCTTTCCTTAGAAATTTTGCCACTGGCTGCAAATCTAGAGCATTAACTTTCAGTGAGATCTGCAGCTACTTGTGTTGTGTCTGGACCTTCTCTAGTCTATGTCTACATCTCCTTTTTTTTTACCTGTAAACTATTCCCAGATGTCAGCTCTAGCCGGATGGGCAGTATACACCTGCAGTCCTAACTCTCTGGAGGCTGAGGTAGGAGGATCTCAAGTTCAAGACCTTTTCACACAAACAAGAGGTCAAGGTGAGGACATCCCTTGTAAGCATATATTTGCTGAACACATCTGAGATCTCCGAACCCTGAGCCCCTGAGGTTCAGGGTTCCACGTCCTGAGCATCTTTGTTTGCCTATGACCTCTTAATGTGTTCACACAGGCTTGGTATGTCTGCCTTTAAAAGCACAGAAAACAATGTGGATTTATTGTATCTAGTGTTAACTCTTCCCTGCAAGACATACAGTCCATGGTTCCTGTCAGCATGGAGAAACCTCTGCAAGCAGCTACTTACTTTCTATTCTAGACTGGGTACCTTTCCTTTACCACACCAGGTGTATGCATTCAGCATCATATTTACAGGTGATGCAGCTAGCCACTTATAATCTGTTCTAATGAAGGTAATTTTGAGGTTTCCTCTCATAACTATTTTCTGAAGTGAACAGACTCAATACCAAATTATCACTGTTCTGCAAATGAACATGTAAAATGTAAAAACTGCAATCTTTTTTTGGGGGGGAGGGGTGGGATTTTCGAGACAGGGTTTCTCTGTAGTTTTTGGTGCCTGTGCTCTTGTAGACCAGGCTGGCCTCGAACTCAAGAGATCCGCCTGCCTCTGCCCCCGAGTGCTGGGATTAAAGGCGTGTGCCACCATCGCCTGGCAAAAAAACTGCAATCTTAATACAATAAGCAAAGCACAAGTTAGCAAAATCACCTTTTCTTACCTTAGGTACAGCATATGCAGGCGCAACTGGAAAATCAATAGGATCTACAGCAGCATCAGCAAATGCTGAAAAAGAAACACTGTTAAACTCTTCTACATATGCCCAAAGATTCATCCATGTATATAAGACTCAAAAGCAAAGCTAACAAGTAAATGTGCATTGCCTAATCTCTGTGCCGTGTGACTGTATTTGCTCTTTTTTATTTTTTATTTATTTATTTTAGTTTTTCTGAGACAGGGTTTCTCTGTAGCTTTGGAGCCTGTCCTGGCACTAGCTCTTGTAGACCAGGCTGGCCTCGAACTCACAGAGATCCACCTGCCTCTGCCTCCCGAGTGCTGGGATTAAAGGCGTGCACCACCACCGCCCGGCCTGCTCTTTTTTATTTTTTAAGGCAGGGTCTCACTATGTAGCCGTGCCTATGCTGTAACTTACTCTATAGACCAGGATAGACTCACATTCAGGACATCCCTGCCCCAACCTTCTAAGTGTTTGGATTAAAGGTGTATACTACCACACCCAGCTACACATTTGCTCCTTTCGTAAGATTCTGTTCTTAATAAAATTTAGTCTCTAAGACACTGATTTGTCTGGAAAGAGGTTAAAACTGTGGCACTAGGACAGTGGCTCTCAACTTTCCTAATGCTCTGACACTATAAATACAGCCTCATGTGTGGTAACCCTCAACCATAAAATTATTTTCATTGCTACTTCATAATGAATTTTGCTACTGTTCTGAATCGTAATGTGTCTGCTATGTGACCCCTGTGAGGGGTGTGTTTGGATCACAGGATGAGAACTGCTGGTCTGGGAGCAGTTGCAAGCATATGCTGTTCTACTAGAGGACCAGAGTTCAGTTCTCAGCACCCACACCAGTCATCTCACAACTGTCTCTAACCCCTAGGGGGCAGCAATGCTGGCACATGAGAAGTGAAAGCGAAGCATGCCCCCCCCCCCTGAAGCACGCATGGGCAGGCCATTTATATTGGGTTTCATGGTCTAAGTTGATGAGGACGACTGACCAGGTCTCTTCCTCAAGGAACAGGTTCCACCAAGAAACAAACTTGGATCGCTAGATTAGGAGTCCAGAGCATTAACCATTACACCACAAGAGCTGGTGCATCAGGGGTAGAGCTCATAAGGCTGTTAGTTCAACCCCAAGTACCACAAATATAAGTTAGTCATGACAAGCTAAGAATAAAATAGTAAATGTATTATAAATTCTATTTACAGAGAAGACACTGTAAACAAACTGCACTTTCACTTCATGGCTGCCTAGACCCCAAATAATCACAAAGATAACAGAAGCTATTGATTACAACACTGTCTGGCTGATGGCTCAGGCGTATTTCTAGCTAGCTCTTACATCTTAGATTAACCCATTTCTATTAGTCCATGCATTGCCATGTGGCCCTGGCATTACCTCATTTTCTGCATACATACCTTTTTCCCTCACTGCCTGGCTGCCTGACTCCACCTACTTTTTTTTCTTTAACCAATAAAAGCAACACATACAGAAGGACATCCCACATCTAGACACAACAGATTTTAAAGGTAAAAATAAGGGCTGACATGATGTCTCCCTCAGTAAAACACTCACTGTACAAAGTATACAGACCTGAGTTCAATCTCTACACCCCAAGCAAAGGTAGAAGGAGAAAACCAGCTCCACAGAGTTGTCTTCTGACCTCTACACCTCATACATGCAGACACTGAGTAAGGTTTCTCTTTGTAACAGCCTTAACTGTCCTGTTCTACAAAAGAACTCACACTCAGAGAAATCCATCTGCCTCCGCTTCCTGAGTGCTGGGATGTGCCACCATGCCTGGCATGGGTTTTTGTTTGTTTGTTTGTTTTTAAATAATACTCTTTTTTAAAAAAATTGGGGCGGGGTATTTGTGTGAGAGTGGGCATATGCATGGCATGGCATCTGTGGAGGTCAGAGGTGGGAATGAGTTCTCTTCCTTCTACCATATGAGTTTCAGGGCTTCAACTCAGGTTATGAGACTTGGCAAGAAGCACCTTTTACCCACCAAAGTACTGCCAACACCTTAAATCATTAAATTATTATATATTAACAAAAATATTAAAGGAACTTCTACATCAATCAAAATAGAAAGCCAACTCCACTATTCTGTGTTACCAAGGTGATATCCTGTTCTCAGAACTAAAGATAGGAAGCAATTGAGAGGAGTGCCCAGGCCTCCAGAGGCAAGAAAATACATGCACACAGAATTTTTTTTTTAACTAAATAAGGAAGGAAGGGAGGGAGGGAGGGAGGGAGGGAGGAAGAGAGAGAGAGAGAAATAAAGAAAAATGGTCAAACCAGGCCTCGTGGCACAAGCCTATAAGGAATGCTGTGCCAGGCAGATAAGATCAAAACCAGCCTGGACTAGACAGAATGAGTTCAAGCCAGCCTGTATGACTAAAGTGAGACCCTCTGAAAAAGAAAGCCTCAAGAAGCAAGCCAGATGCAGTTTTCCTCCATGGCCTCTGCATCATCTCCCACCTCCAGGTTCCGGCTTGAGTTTCTGTCCTGACCTCCTTTGATGATGAACTGTGATGTGGAAGCATAAGCTGAACACATCTTTCCTCCCCAAGTTGCTTTGATCGTGGTGTTTCATCCCAGCAGTACTAGCCCTGACAGACAATGTGTTTACAGTTTACTGCCCTGGATTCCCAATACCAGAAAAAGAGAAAAGAAAAAACAAGGTGAGAGCATCTACCCGCGATTCGTGCTAGTGGCTTCACATTGAGCCTCTTGGCGGCCTCTGCAGTCATGAGAACCACAGCAGCTGCTCCGTCGTTCAGTGTGCTGGCATTGGCAGCTGTTACTGTGCCTGAAATCAACAAAACGTAAAGTCACACATTCTTCTGAGTCCATCCTCTTCTCTCCCACAAATACCCACAGAGCACTGTCTGCCTTGTCAAATATATAGACAAGTTATAGACAGGCCTGGAGGTAATTTCTGCCCTGGGGAAACACGCGCAGAGCTGGCTCTACAGTGAATGTCTGCTGTTCACTGTGCATGTCTGCAGTAGTGGAGGCGCGGGTACGGGACTAACTCTCATGCTTCCTCTCAGCACCCCAAAGCCCTGTCAGAATCAGGTGTTCTCTACAGTCACTTGAAGTTGAATACTAAAATCACTCAGCTATATACTTGAAATCATTTTGTGTACCATGAAGCTATTTAATATTGACAATGGAAACCCTGCATTAGTCTATTTATTTATTTATTTCTGATTTTTCAAGACAGGGTTTTTCTGTGTAACAGCCCTAGTTGTCCAGGAACTCACAGAAATCCTCGGGCCTACACCTCCCAAGCACTGGAATTAAAGGTATGTGCCACCATGCCTGGCTTATTTTGTTTTCTTTTAATTTTGGTTTTTCAAGACAGAATTCTTCTGTGAGTAGCCCTGCCTGACTGTTCTGGAACTTGCTCTGTAGACCAGGTTGGCCTCGATCTCATCTCTCTCTGCCCTTTTTTCTTTCTTTCTTTCTTTTTTTTTTTAAACAATCTTGCTATGGAACCTTGATTGCTTTGGAACTCACAGAAATCCACCTGCCTCTTCCTCCCAAGAAATCAATGACCATGTCCAGTTTAACATGTATTTTGTTTTTTAAAGGTTTTTTTGTTTGTATTGATTTTTTTTCTTGGTTTTACAAGACAGGGATTTTCTGTATATCCCTAGCTGTCCTGGAACTCTCTCTGTAAACCACACTGGCCTTAAACTCAAAAGCCCCACCTGCCTCTCTATCCTGAGTGCTGGGATTAAAGGTGTGTGCCACCACTGTTTACAATATGTTTTTATTATGCTGACAAAAAGGCGACTGGTGATTTCTATACTTAGAACTGAGCAACTCTTTCAAGAAAGAGGAAAAACTAACCGCAGATTATCACAGCTGCACACAGCCAACATGGAAAAGCTTATATTTTCTCAAAGTTGAGGGCTCCAAACCACTCAGAAATTTAGGGCTAGGCATATCACTCAATAGAAGAGTACTTGCCTAACATGGACAGCCTCCCCAAAGGATATTCAGAACATAGACTCCATTTGTCCCAACATTCTGGGGTAACATACACTAAGCGAGGCTTATTTATATATTATATATATTTTGGTTTTTCGAGACAGGGTTTCTCTGTAGTTTTGGAGCCTGTCCTGGAACTAGTTCTTATAGACAAGGCTGGTCTCGAACTCACAGAGATCCGCCTGCCTCTGCCTCCCAAATGCTGGGATTAAAGGCATGCGCCACCACCGCCCAGCTAGTATATTTATATATTTAGTATACCAGTGAACACAGCCATCAGCAGAAGCCTCAAGGAATGTATTATGTAAATTTGTATTTTTCAGTTCACAAACTATGGAGATACCTGCCTCTGAAAATTCAATTCTCCAGCCATGTTATATAATCCCCTCTCCCATGCTAGGACTTAATATATTAAAGATATGAACTGTTAAACAAATTTAAACATACCTTGAATTTTTATTATTTGGCTAATTTTATTTGAATACAGTATCTATACATGTTAAGTAACATCTAGATGTTTTCTACAGTTACTTTGTTTAAACTGTTAGGCAAGGGCTAATTAAATTGTTTGGCAGTTAGCACTAGCTTCTCTTCCAGAGGAACCCAGATGGCAGCTCACAGCTGTAACCAGTCCCAGGGATTTATAGGTCATCTTCTAACTCCAAGGACACCAGGTACAAAGTGGTGCATAGACACACATGCAGGTCAAACACACAGAAAAAAAAATCTTTAAAAAACGTTAGGCAAATTCAATACTAAACATTGCATATTAACTCATGTCTGATTTCTTAGTACTCACCATTTTCTTTCTGGAACACAGTCTTCAGCTTGGGCACTTTACTGAAGTCAACACGCTTGTACTCTTCATCTTCTTTCACCACCACATCTGGTTTACCTAAAATTGAGATGCTAAGTAATCACGCAGTCCGGACAACAAATGGCCCCTCGGGGAGAAACTGCTAAACATGGTACCTCGGATGCACTTTAAGCCATTCCAAACAAGTGTCCATCTAGAAGTGAAGCCTACACCCACAACCCATTATTCCACTCGCCCTCATTTTTGAGATGATCTCTCTATGTAGTCCTAGTGGTCTTGAAGCTCAGTTTGTGGACCAAGCTGGCCTCAAATGCACATACATCCTCCTGCCTGTGCCTGCACTCCCCGTCTCCCAGCCCTGTCTATGATCACAGACCTCACTGTACTTCAAGGGTAGAGCCCAGCCAGTGCTGCGTGATAAAGCATTCCTATCACCCACGCACACTGATCATTGGGAAGTGATCCAACCAAGTAATAAGTCTGTACCATGGATTTGTTGGACTGCTTTCTTTGACTCAGAGCTCTAGAGGTGGATGCCATTCATCCTTCATTTCTGGATGTTGACTTCTAATATAAATCCATTTTAAAAAGTACTTTTTAGGGTCAGTGAGGTGGCTCAGCAGACAGAGTGCTCACCATGCAAGCCTGACAATCTGAGTTCAATGCCCAGAAACCATGTACATGTAGCAAAAACCAAAACTGATTATACAAATTGTCCTCTGACTTCCACATGCAGGCCATGGAGCACACGTGCACACATACATATGCACACTAATAATAAGTGTAAGTGGGGCTGGATAGACAGCTCAGCGGTGAAGAGCATACAATATTGTTCCAGAGGACTCAAGCTTGATTCTCAGCACCCACGTGAGGCAACTCACAACCTCCTGTTTCTCCAGTTTGAGTGGCATCTTCAGGATCCTGTACTTATGTGTATATAAATCACACACAATATAGTAAGAATAAAATCTTTTTAAGAATAAATGCAAGGCCAGACAGTGGGGGCACACCCCTTTAATCCCAGCACTTGGGAAGAAGGGACAGGCAGATCTCTCTGAGTTCAAGGCCAGCCTGGTCTACAGAGGGACTTCCAGGACAGGCTCCAGAAACAGGTTTCTCTGTGTCGAGAAACTGAAAGAAAAGAAAAAAGGAGAATAAATTTAAAATGTATCTGCTATATGTCACTTACATGAGAAAGAATTCTTTTTGTTTTGTTTGTTTGTTTGTTTGTTTGTTTGAGACAGGGTTTTTCTGTGTAGCTTTTGGAGCCTGTCCTGGACCTAGCACTTATAGACCAGGCTGGCCTCAAACTCACAGAGATCCGCCTGCCTCTGCCTCCCGAGTACTGGGATTAAAGGCGTGCGCCACCACCGCCCGGCTGAGAAAGAATTCTAATAAATACATTTTCTCAAAAACAGTAAGTACACCAGCTTTCTTTGTTTTTTAATATATATTTATTTATTTATTATGTATACAATATTCTTTCTGCATGTATGCCTGAAGGCCAGAAGAAGGCACCAGACCTCATTACAGATGGTTGTGAGCCACCATGTGGTTGCTGAGAATTGAACTCAGGACCTTTGGAAAAGCAGGCAATGCTCTTAACCGCTGAGCCATCTCTCCAGCCCCCCCTTTTTTTAATATTTATTTATTTATTATGTATACAATATTCACCAGCTTTCTACTAAGCCTGATGCCCTCCCCTGAACCCCTGGAACATACATGGGGGAGAAGAGAACCAACGCCTGCAGCTACACCACAGCATGCACATGCCACATAAGCACAAGACCAAAGAAATAAATTTAAAAATACTTTATAAAATAGTAAGCTTAGTGCACTGTATACTTGGATGACCTGTAACCCTCCCCTGTCTTAACTTAAGCAGAACTGTTAACATGTTCAGCTCGAATGAACAAAGATAACACTCATTTAAAATGGAAACATCAGTTCTACAACACGGAAAATTTATTAAAAGTAAAAGCTAGCTGGATGGTGGTGGCTCATGCCTTTAATCCCAGCACTGAAAAGGCTGAGGCAGGCAGATCTCTGTGAGTTCCAGGACAGTCAGGACTACACAGAGAAACCCTTTCTTGAAAAACAAAACAAATAAATAATTTGTAATAGCCAGAACCTGGAAACAACCTAGATGCCCTTCAATGGAAGAATGGATGAAGAAAGTATGGAATATATACATATTAGAGTACTACTCAGCAGTAAAAAACAAGGACTTCTTGAATTTTGAATGCAAATGGATGCAAATAGAAAACACTATCCTGAGTGAGGTAAGCCAGACCCAAAAAGAGGAACATGGGATGTACTCACTCATATTTGGTTTCTAGCCATAAATAAAGGACATTGAGCCTATAATTAGTGATCCTAGAGAAGCTAAATAAGAAGGAGAACCCAAAGAAAAACATATAGTCATCCTCCTGAATATTAACCCTCATCAGGCTAGGAAAGGAGATATAGACAGAGACCCACATTGGAGCACCGGACTGAAATCCCAAGGTCCAAATCAGGAGCAGAAGGAGAGAGAACACGAGCAAGGAACTCAGGACTGCGAGGGGTGCACCCACACACTGAGACAATGGGGATGTTCTATCGGGAACTCACCAAGGCCAGCTGGCCTGGGTCTGAAAAAGCCTGGGATAAAACCGGATTCGCTGAACATAGCGGACAATGAGGAATACTGAGAACTCAAGAACAATGGCAATGGGTTTTTGATCCTACTGCACGTACTGGCTTTGGGGGAGCCTAGGCAGTTTGGATGCTCACCTTACTAGACCTGGATGGAGGTGGGGGTTCCTTGGACTTCCCACAGGGCAGGGAACCCTGATTGCTCTTTGGGCTGACAAGGGAGGGGGACTTGACTGGGGGAGGGGGAGGGAAATGGGAGGCGGTAGCGGGGAAGAGACAGAAATCTTTAATAAATAAATAAATAAAATTAAAATAAAATTAAAAACAACAACAACAAAAAACAAATAAACAAATAAAAACCCAAACAAAAAAAGTAAAATGTAACAAAGAAAAGACAAATGTCTATAAACTTGAAATTTACTTTGGAAATGCCTCCTCTACCTTTTATTGAGACCGTGACAGGAGTGATTTCATTTCCAAACTTCCCTGCATCCCAGGCTTCTTTACTCCTGGTGTAAGAGCTGATGGCGTAAGTATCCTGTTCGCCTCGTGCAATGTTCAGCTTCTTCGCAGTGTTCTCAGCACAGTTACCCTGGGAAAGGAGGAAAAATTACCTTTGCGTAACTCAGTGGTTAAGGCTTCAATTCCATTTCTCTAATTCCCTTCCTCTACTCTAGGTGATGTTCCCTCGTGGCTTGTCTTCTAATAGTTGCAGGAAAGAAACAATTGCCATTTTAGGAGGAAATACCTCAATCAAGTATGGGGCAGCTTTTTAATAGGTGATCGACGCTAAAGAAGTGGACATAGCAAAATACTTTTATAAAGTGAATGACTAAAACATTTATAGAACCCACCATAAAAGTATTAAAAATACATGTGTTATGAAAAGTCAAGGATTATGTATTAAACGGCACTCCCTATTAAAACAGCATTTGGTGGGCGGTGGTGGCGCACGCCTTTAATCCCAGCACTCGGGAAGCAGAGGCAGGCGGATCTCTGTGAGTTCGAGACCAGCCTGGTCTACAAGAGCTAGTTCCAGGACAGGCTCCAAAACCACAGAGAAACCCTGTCTCGAAAAACAAACAAACAAAAAAAAAAACAGCATTTGGGGGCTGGAAAGACCTCAGCAACTGGGAGCACAGACTTCTTGCAGAGAACTCCAGTTAGATTCTTCTCGATTCCAGCTCCCAGGGATTGACACCTTTTGGCTTCCATGAGTACCAACACATGCACATTTCTTAAAAGTAGCACTTACCATATGAATTTTATTGTAGACATCAGTTAGCCCATCTTTCACAATCAGGTCTTCCAGTTTTACCCCGCCATATGGTGTTGCTCCTCTGCTCATCACATATGGGACATTTGACATGCTCTCCATCCCACCTGCCACCATCACATCCTGCTCAGAGCACAGCAAAGCCTAGGTCAGTTCAGAGCTGCAGGCTGCTGCACTCCACACACAGCTGTCAGCTGTATAGCTTTACTAACCACGGTTACATGGTGAATGCCCTCTTCACGACTCGCTCCCATTAGAAAACAGTGGTTTAAAATAGTCAGTGACAATTACATTAAAGTTAGATTACATCTATAATCCTAGCACTTGGAAAGCTCAGGCAGGAGGAGCAGGCGTTCAAGTTCATTTTCAGGTACTTAGTGAGGCTGAGGCCAGCCTGGGCTAAATGAGACACTGTCTCAGAAAACACAAAGCAAACAAAGAAAAAGATAAGAATCAGTCAAAGATTTGACTACACTTAACTTTTGGAAGATGGACCTGGTAAGTTTTGAAAAGCATTTGGCAACTTCCAAAAATTTAAATCCTTTCACTCAGTAATTCTTTAGGACTTGTTTTTAATATTTTTAAGATTTATTTGTTTATTATATATACAGTGTTCTGACTACATGTGTCCTTGCAGTCTAGAAGAGGGCATCAGATCTCATTATAAATGCTTGTGAAGGGCTGGAGAGATGGCTCAGTGGTTAAGAGCACTAACTGCCCTTCCAGAGGTCGTGAGTTCAATTCCCAGCAACCACATGGTGGCTTACAACCATCTATAATGAGATCTGGTGTCCTCTTCTGGGGTGCAGGTATGCATGCAGGCAGAACACTGTATACATAATAAATAAATTTAAAAAAAATAAAAAATAAATAGCTTTAAAATAAATAAATAAATAAATAAATAAATAAATGCTTGTGAGCCACCATACGGGTGCTGAGAACTGAATTTAGGACCCCTGGAACAACAGCCAATGCTCTTAACCTCTGACCCATCTCTCCATCCCTATTTTCAGTATTTTTCAAAGTTGTCTTGTTCACTGTTCTAGTTTCATAAATCCTAAGTACTCAGTAGAAAATAGTCAGATTTAGTAACAAGTCTTCCACATATCTACCTACCCAAAGTTTCTCCACTTTTAAGTAGCAGAGTATCCAAAGTGGTAGGACAGGATGGGGGCAGGGGGCAGGGCCTTCTATAACTGTGAAGTTTCTAGGGTGTGCACAAGCTGTTTGTGTGACATGGTCCCTGTCACAACACCTCAGACCTCAGTGCACCCTTTTCTTCTTTGAAAGAGAGCACAGAGGTATGGTTTGGTTTTTTCGTTTCCATTATCTCTGTTATGTATATGAGTGTTGTGGTTAAGATGTGTTACATTTGTTTATGCTGTGGAACATTTGTTTAATGATGCAAAGATGTGTTACATTCTTTTATGTTGTATTTGTTTAACTCTGTAAAGCGGTGTTACTTTGCCTGTCTAACACCTGATTGATCTAATAAAGAGCTGAATGGCCAGTAGCTAAGCAGGAAAGAAACAGGCAGGGCTGCCAGGCAGAGAGAATAAATAGGAGGAGAAATCTACGCTGGGGGAGAGGAAGAAGAGGGAGGAACAAGAAAAGAAGGAGGAGAGGAGGATGCCAGGGCCAGCCACACAGCCAGCCACAGAGTAAGAAGGGAAGACAGAAAATATAGAAAGGTAAAAAGTCCAGAGGCAAAACATAGTTAAAGAGAAATGGGATAATTTAAGTTAGAAAAGCTGGCAAGAAACAAGACAAGCCAATGCTGGGCATTCATAAATAAGAATAAGTCTCCATGTATTCATTTGGGAGCTGGGTAGAATAAAAAAGAAAGCCCAATTACATATGAGTTTTTGGCCTGCATGTGTGTCTGTGCATCATGCCTGATACCCTAGAACTGGAGTAGAAATGACTGTGAGCCACTGTCTGGGTGCTGGCAACTGAACACAGGTCCTCTGAAGGGTTCTCACCATTGAGCCATTTCTCCAGCCCCATAAGTATGTTTTTTACATATGTGAGAAATAATATGAAAACATGTCATGCTGACCTTTAGCCTGGTTGTGACATACAATGGCAAGCTAGAACGTCTAGAAATAAATTCTAATAAAGACGTGTGTTTCCCTGTGACTCTGCATCTGTGGCTACTTCAGTATCCGTCCATCTGAGAACTGATGAAGGGTTAGTTCTTAAGCCCAGACACAGCTTCTGAATGCCACAGCTCGCACTGAGCAGCCTCTCTTCTCAGTCTTAGACAAAGATAAGATTTCAAGCAACAGGCCTCAAACTTAAATTCTCCTTCTTCTGCCTCACAAATGCTAGAACGGGGCATGTGTTTAACAGAAGAGAATCTCAGGGCTGGAGTTCAGTTTCTAACACTCACATCAGGCAGCTTACACCCACCTCTAACTCCAGAGGATCCAGCATTGTATTCAGACCCCTACAGGTCTGTCCATGTGGCATTCACTCACACACACACTCACACACACACACACACACACACACACACACACACACACACACAAGTAAAAAATAAATCTTTTTAAAACAAAGGGGGCTGGAGAGAAGGCCAATGGCCTTCCAAAGACCCAGGTTCAATTCCCAGCACCCACATAGTAGTCCAGCACCATTCAACAGGATATCCAATACTCTCTTCTGACCTCCATGGGCCCCAGACATGTATGAGGCACACAAACATACATGCAAGCAGAACACTAACACACATAAAGGAAATAAATCTTTTAAAAGGGAGTGGAAAGTAGGCTAGAAATGTGGCCCAGCAGTAAAGAGCGTATGTTGTTCTCCACAGGACCTGAGTTTTATACTGTATACCCAGAGTGGCTCATAACTGTCTCTAACTCCCGTTCCAGGGGTCCAGTGCCCTCTTCTGGCCTCTGAACGCCAGGCACACATGTGGTTCACAGACATACAGGTAAAACACTCATATGCATGCAGTAGAAATAATGAATCTCACCAACACAGCATAAATGTGCTTAGATATTTGGTGTTTTCTAGGATTTGAAATTATTTTAAGTGACAGATAAAACAAGTGCTTCTTTTTTAAATTTTTTTTATGGTTTTTATTAAACTATACATTTCTCTCTGCTCCCCTCCCCTTCTACTCTCTCCCGTGCCCCCCACGATCCCAATCTATTAAAACAGATGTCTCTTACCTGATGTCCGCACATAAGATTTTGGGAGGCCATCATGATGGCTTTCATTCCTGACGCGCAGACCTTGTTTACCGTGGTGCATGGAGTGGAAATGGGTAAACCTAACGCCAACATAAATCATACTTTTGAAAAAAATGAAAGTCATTTTTCAAATATAATTGTATAATTAAAATAGAGCATGTGACCATAATCTACAAATGTTCTTTTCTATAAGAATCATTCATTTACTCGTTTAGCTGAAATGGCCTTGACATTTTCAAGAACATTAAGTATAACAGCAAACGTGTTCGTCATACCTGCACCCAATGCCGCTTGCCTTGTGGGGGCCTGCCCTTCACCCCCTTGGATGACATTGCCCATGTAGACTTCCTTCACTTCTTCTTTGGGAATTCCTTTTAAAAACAGCAGAAAGGAATGTCCTGGATTTACTCAATTTCTTTTTTAGGATTTTACTTATGTTATTTTATGTATACGGGTGTTTCCCCTGTATGGATGTCTGTGCGCCATGTGCATGCAGGACCCAGAGAGGCCAGAAAAGGGCACAGGATCATCCAGAACTGGAGTTGCCGACAGCTGTGAGCTGCCATGTGGGTGCTGGAAACTGAACCCAAGTCCTCAGGAAGAGTAGCCAGTGCTCTTAGTCACTGAACCTTCTCTTCTAATATTCAATTTAATAATTAAGATTACCAAGCAAATTACATGACATGGAGCAGGAAGGATTTCTCCTTCCTGTTAGTTTTGAGTTTCATTCCTATTAAGCTCAAGGGAATTTAGATATGCAGGAACCACATAATTTCTAAGTTATATATACAGTAAATGCAAAACAGTTATGTATCCCCCAATCATTTGGCCCCCTCAACTCCAAACAATGCAACCACTGACCTGCCTTTTCAATAGCTCCCTGAATTGCAATAGAACCAAGCTTAGTGGCTGGCTGAGAGGCAAGGCTGCCCAGGAAGGATCCAATAGGAGTTCTTATAGCACTTACTATAACCACTTCCTGGCAAGGCAGAAAAAGGTAAAAATTAGCATAGGCATATTCAAATCATGTTTCATTTATTAAACATTCATACTCAGACCACTTATGAATAGTTAGCAAGGATTAAAATAATATTTGAGCAGCTGGAAAGCACCACGGCACACCACAAAGACAAGACTTGGGTAGAGCTCAGGGGTAGAATGCTTGTCTAGCAGGCACATGGCCCTGGGCTCAATCCACAGTAGGCTGGGGAGCAGGATACGGGGGGGGGGGGGGGGGGGGGGGGGGAGACACAGTGAGAGAATGAGCAACGTGGAGGAAGAAATTAAGGCAAATTCTAAAGCAGACATAAAAATCCCTCCCACTTCTCTCTGGAAGGTTTAAGGCCAGAAGCTTAAGTTCCAGTTTTGCTTTAGTCAAAGCTTTAAAACCTGGGGCAGTGAGGGTGGCTCAGCAGGTAAAGGACTTTCAATGCTCACCTTATAACCTGCAAGGCTGTCCTCTCACTTCCACATGTATGTACACACGAGAGTGCATGTGTGCATACATACAACACACATGTGTGCATACATACCAACACACATGCACCATGCATGCATAAACCCCAGATAATACAGTTTGTTTTTGTTTTTGATTTTCTTTTCTTTCTTTCTTTGTTTTGTTTCTCTGACACATAACTGGCCAGCATGGAACTTGATAGGTAGTGCTGACTGGCCATGAAATCAGAGTTGCCCCCTCTGCCTCCTCACCATATCTAGCAACAGTAGTTTTAAAACTACTAACTTGAATACTGGGAACTAAATTCAGGTCTTCTGGAAGACCAACAAATGCTCTTTTTTATTTTAATATTTTTTTGGTTTTTCGAGACAGGGTTTCTGTGTTTAACAGCCCTGGCTGTCCTGGAACTCACTCTGTAGGCCTCGAACTCACACAGATCCGCCTGTTTCTGCCTTCCAAATGCTGAGATTAAAGGCATGCGCCACCACCGCCCAGTCAGAAAATGCTCTTGGCTACTCAGTCATTTTTCCAGTGCTATTAATTTTTTTCTTTTCTTTTTTTTTTTTTTTGGCTTCCCGTCAGGGAATCGAACCCCGGTCTCCCGCGTGACAGGCGGGGATACTCACCACTATACTAACGAGGACAGTGCTATTAATTTTTAAATAAAAAATAAACAACGCTAACTAAATGCTCCTTTACTGACAAACACTCTGGGTTAACAATCCAGATGTGTATGCTACCTGGGACAGTACCAATTAGGACACAGCCAGAACCATAATATCCTAAACTATAAAATAAGAAAAGGTAGATGAAAGTCCTCATCAATACTATGAAACACATTTCCCTCACATTTGGATTCTACAATCTCCTACTAAACGTGACATTTTGAAAAGGATGGAAAGAATTGGTGTCACTTTGGGAACCTATAGACAAAGGCAGAAAGCAGTAACTAGGGAATGAAGTAGAGACCTTTCTACCCCAAGCAGTCAGCCAGCCCCTCTCATGTCAAATCCCCCACGTCCACTGCATTGCACCACCCACAATGCAATGGGGCTCATCACAATAAAGAAAGACTACTCCACAGGGTTTCTGTTTGTTTGATTGGTTGGTTTTGGTTTTTTTGAGACAGGGTTTCTCTGTAGCTTTGGAGCCTCTCTGGAACTAGCTCTTGTAGACCAGGCTGGTCTTGAACTCACAGAGATCCTCCTGCCTCTGCCTCCAAAGTGCTGGGATTAAAGGGGTGTGCCACCACCGCCCAGCTACTCCACAGTTTTAGAGGAAACTGTTTTATAGTGGATTATAGAGAATTACTCACAGACTGAATGAACGTGATAATGCAGGAACTTAGTATGTGCACTGTTAGCTTTCCCTAACTGCATAACCTTGTTAATTGTCAAATACATTCAAGACCTAAATATATGCAAATGTGCTTTGGTTGATTTGCTGGAGATAGGGCCTCTGGCCTCACCTTCCTGAGAGCTCACGCTGCAAGCATGCATCACCATGCCTAGCAACATGTGTGTTTCTACTGGCAACATTGCTTTAAGTTCTTGAAACTATATGGTGCTTTTTAAATGTATACTTACATTCAAAGTGGGTTTGGATGCATAACTTCGCTCCAGGCATCTTCCTTCCTGTAAGATAAATATTTATGTTACAATATTTTTAAATTCATCCATTAATTTTGTAATTAGCAATAATAGAATTAAGGTGATTTTATTCATTCTTACACTTTTATTTCCAAGTTTTACACAATCTATATACACCATTTTTATAAATCATAAAGAAAATGGTTACAATAAATATTACTTTTTGATAAGCTGTTCATTAGAAATATGAATTTTAACTTCTGATGAACTGCCATTTAAAAAATATTCTTAATATTATTTATTTTCACGTGTATGGTTTTTGTCTACATGTATGTTTGTGTACCACCTTCATGCAGTGCCAGTGAAGGACAGAAGGTATCAGAGCCCCTGGGACTGGAGACATAGATAGTTGTGAACTGCCGTAGGGATATTAGGAACTGAACTCAGTTCTTCTGCAAGAACAGCCAAGGCCCTTAACCACTAGGCTATCTTTCCAGCCCTTAAAACTGTTTAAGTAAACATAACAACAACAAAGATTCCTAATAATAAGGTAAATACTTACTACACTTTAACGGCTTTGTTTGGTGGGTTTGTTTTGAGGGTGTTGGTTTTGAGACAATCATGGGAACTAGGCTGGCTTTAAACTCACTGTACAGTGAGAGATGACTCTGACTTCTGATTCTCCTGCCTCTCTGCTTCCAAAATGCTGAGATAACAGGCTGAGCTACCACACCTGGGCTTCAGAGATGGGGTCAGACCTAGGGCTTTGTGCACACCACACTATCATACTCTCTCAGACACTCTAGCAGCTGAACTACATCTCTAGTCGTGGGCTACATTTTTGGAAAAGCACCTTCCTATATAGCCCAGGCTGACCTCAAATTCACTGAGACCCAGAGTAGCCTTGAACACACTCCTCCCTCCTCCTGCTTCAGCCTCTTGAGTAAAATATAATTTAAGTTCCATCTAAGTTCTCAATTGTGTAATATTAGAGGTCCGCAGTTCTCACAGTTTGCATTTTTAGGGGGCAGGAGATTGCGGTTCAGAGGCTACTCTTTCAGAGGACCCAGGCTGGGGTCTAGCAAGCACACTGGGTGCTTCAGAGCTACCTGACTCCAGTTCCAGGAGACCCAAAATCCTCTTAGGAAGGACTTCCACGGGTACCAGCACATACTCGCTGCCCACATAATAATAATAATAATAATAATAATAATAATAATAATAATAATTTTTCTAAAAAAGACTACTGTATGAAATATCCATTTTAAAAAAATTAAGTAAAACTTGCTATTACTCCCCAAGACCTTCCAGCAAGTGTCTCTTGATTTACACAAGGCAAAAAAATGTCATACAATATGGCCTATATTGCCAGATAATTCTTAAGAAGTAAAAGAGGGGGCTAGAGTATGAGTCAGTGGCAGAGTGAATGCCTGGCATGTGAGAAGTTCTGGTTGATCCTCAGCACCACACTCAAAGGAACAGAAAGAAAGACATCTAAATTCTTTCCATGCTATTTGTAGAAACAAATGTCAACAAAGGTATTTCTGAAAATGTAGGGCAGAGTTCAAAGCCCTAACTGATCTGAAGCTGGACATGAAGTCAACAAGCCTAATATTCAAAAGCAGCAGCATATAGTCACACATCAACTGATAGCTACAGTTATAGCTCATGGAAAGAGCAATAAATAGCCCACAAAAGTCTGGACTTATAGGTGATCCAAGAATTTAGCCTTTCACAGATTAAACAAACACTCTGTCCTAACTGAACACAGATAACTAAAACTTTCAACTGAAAACTTAGAATAAATAAAACGTAAGTTTGACAATGGAGTTATAAACAGGAACAGCCATGGAACCAAACTGATTTTCACGGTGTTTGAATGACAGAAGTATGTACAAAGGTAGCCTGACACGGGCATACTCTTTTAGGACAGAAGTGGCTCCACAGCAATGGTTTTCTCAATGAAAGCGTGAGAAAAATATGATGGGGAAATGCTTCACAATCAACTCTGCGATACAAACAACTTAGTCTAGATTTGATTTTAAAATGTTAACACCACAAAATTCCTTTTTTTTTCCTTTTTTTTTTTTGTTTTTTTTTTTTTTTTTGTTTTTCGAGACAGGGTTTCTTTGTGGTTTTGGAGCCTGTCCTGGAACTAGCTCTTGTAGACCAGGCTGGTCTCGAACTCACAGAGATCCACCTGCCTCTGCCTCCCGAGTGCTGGGATTAAAGGCGTGCGCCACCACCGCCCGGCAACACCACAAAATTTCAATGTGTCTTCTGCTTTGAAGAGGTTTTCACAGTCTTTGTGTCGTGGGGAGATGACCAACACGCACAAGACGATTTGATCCTTCCTTGTCAACAAAGCACTTGCGCTCATTCCCCCTGAAGAAGGCATTTTGAGAGTGGTCACCATGGACCTTTGGCCGCAAGGCAAGCTTGTAAAGAAGAAATGTTGAAATTGCCTGGACATATTCCTTAGAGTTTGATAAGAACTACGAGAACAGTACCATAAGTAAGCTACTCCTGGGGTTCAAAGGAGAAAGATTCCTTAGTTTGAGCGATGGTCTTCAAACCCTAGGGCTCCATTGAAAAGCATGTTTCATCCTACTGTTTAAATCTGATAGGAACACAATACATAGATAGCATTAGTTGCTATCAAATTGATCTGTGTTTATTCCAACTCTGAAATAAAACAGCTACTATCTCTATCCTTTTTTTAAAAAAATTGTTTTAGATAAGGTCTTACTATCTATATAGACCAGGTAAGAACTAAAATTAAGATCCCCCTACTTCAGACCCTCAAGTTCTAGGATTACAGGTGTGATATCAAACCTGGCCATGTATCTGTACTTCTTAAAGACTGTCATTATGTTAGGAAATGTTTTACTCTCCTGAGCTTTACACGACCCTTAAGTGACAGTACACTCAGCCATGACCAATAAAAAATCTGTGCTCAAGTAGTCAAGGCCCAAGTGCATCTGCTTCATGGCTGTCCTCCACAAACACACCCTCTACATATGGGAAATCAGTTATTTCTATGTAATCACACTGTCTGCAATACAACTCTGAATGAAAATTCTGGTATGGTAAAGATGCTAGTCATTGCTACCATCCACACTCTTCCTCTCTAAGGGGCAACCTTAAGTCCCTCTAAGACAACTCCATCCCCAGCTCTGAGCAGAGCTGATGGCACCAAGAATGGACCAGAATTACCTGGCTGGCACCCTGAGAGCCTGGCCAGTTGGCAATGGGTATTAATTCAGCTGAGGGGCTGAAGGCAGTCAGACCTCAGCCAGCTAACACCACATAAAAGAAGAGGCTGGATCCCAGAGAGAAAAGCCACAGGAAGTAGAGAATGAAAGGAAAGGTACAAGCATACTTGAAAAATGGGGGCTTGGCGCTCTGCAAGAGGCAGGGGATTCCATGGTCAGCGAGTTTCTACTTAGGGTCTAACAAAGCCAACTGCACCCGTTTCCTGTCCTTGAATGTCCAAGAATTTGTGTATTCTATCTCTTCAAACGGTTGTGACGAACTTAGTGGCAGAGTGTGTGCTTGGTATATGGAAGCCCTGGTTCTAATTCGAGTACCACCCCCCTTAGCTACTGTAAAGCGGGGTTGTGCCCATTTTTCTCGGTCTTTTCTTGCAAGTGTCTAGTCCATTTTCACTGATGGTCCCTGTGTGTTCACTGTGGCTCTTGTGCCACATGCATGCTTTCCTATTGTGCATCCTTTCTTCCTCCTCCTTCTGGATCATTCCATACGCATGTAATTACACTCTTGTCCGACTCCTGTAGCCTAAAAATTTAAATAAACATATCCCTAGCCCACATTACAGTGAACTCTGACATTACCCATACTGCCTGCAATGTCTCCTTACCCTTGGTTCCTGTTATCTTTGCCAGTTTACCAATGTTGGCCCTGAGCAAAGTCAACACTGTCTGTGGAGCAAAATCAAATAACACTTCAGAGACTTTGCACAGCAGCCTTGTGAGACCCAGACACGGCTGGCTATAGCTATCAATCCTGATATGCCTCCACATGACAGCTGTCCTGTTTAGTAAGTGGCTGTCCATATGCACATGCAAATTTGTTTTATGAAACACTTGCGTACAGTAATAAGTGTGAACATTTATCCATGTTTATGTATGTGGCTCCAGTCACCATTCTTGGTATGCAGCAGAAAACAATGGTATACCTTATGCACTATCACTATCTATACTTTTATCTATACTAAATAGATAATTGTATCTATTTAGAAAAAATAAATGTTTAACTACAATCTTTTCAACCTCAGCAACACTGGACTCTCCTTCCTTCTTTGGGAAATACCAGCCTGTTTTTATTGAGTACTTCACAGTAAATCATGTGGGCTAACTTTATTTGGGGTTTTTCTTTTGTTTGTGGCAGGGCCTCACTTTGTAGCCTTGGCTGGATTGAAACTCACTATGTGGCCCAGGTTGAATTCGAACTTAAAGTGACTCTGCCTCCTGAATGTTGGGATTAAAGGTGTATGTCACCATGTGCAGCTTCTTTTTTTTAAGTTAGACATTGTGTGTCTGTGCGCACACACGCGCGCACATACACACACATGTGCACGCAGTTATCATGGCACACATGTGAAAGTCATCGGGAGTTACCTGACTGAGGTTGGGTCTCTGGTTTCTGCAGCTGTGGTTGACCCAAGAACTGGTGATTCTCCTATCTGCATCTCCCATCCCACTGAGGGAGGGCTGGGATTACAGATGTGCACCACCACATCCAGCATTTGATATTTATTTATTTATTTATTTATTTATTTATTATGTATAGAATATTCCATCAATGTGTATGCCTGCAGGCCAGAAGAGGGCACCAGACCTCATTACAGATGGTTGTGAGCCACCACGTGGTTGCCGGGAATTGAACTCAGGACCTTCGGAAGAGCAGGCAATGCTCTTATCCGCTGAGCCATCTCTCCAGCCCCCCCCCCCCCCCGACCCAATCCAGCATTTGAGTCCAGGGATCTGAACTAAGGTTGCCACTTTCACCCACTGAGCCATCTCTCTGACCCTGCTGGTTTATTTTTATTCTTCATATCTAAGCACAAATGACAAACCCTACATGATCTTCTTTAATTACTTTTAAAAGTTGGGCCACCAAGGATAATAGCACACATGTTATTCCAGCACTAGGAAAGTAGAGGTGGGAGGATCCTGAGTCCAAAGCTAGCTGGGCTCTATAGTAAGTTCTAGCATAGCTTAAGTTACAGTCAGAACCTGTGTCTAGATAATTGATATAACAAAGTTGACCTCTATTTATTAACTCTTTCTTATGTTGACATCATCATGTATTGAACATTGTTATCATCCCTTGGATCTCCCCCAAACAAAATGCAATCACCCTGAGACCAGGACTGTGGCTCCTCTTCAACAATACATCCCAGCATCAAAATTCTGAAGAATGAATGACCGAATTCAGTGTGCTGGAACATGCCTGAGATCCCAGGACTTGAGAAGCCGGGGCAGAGAAAGTACAAGACGGAGGTCAGCGTGGGCTACATAGTGAGACTGTCTCAAAATTAATTACAATTGAAGAAGCATGAACACTATGTAATAAACATGTACTAAATTAATAAAACCAGTTCAGGCAGGCACAGCTCAGTCTCACAGCCAACCCAGGAACCCTACTCAACCAGACCCCCCAGAGGAGGGACTTCCATCTTGCTTCCACAGTAACCTACACACATTCTTCTTCTCTTTGTGTGGTGTATATGGGTGGGTGGCTGTGCATGTGTGTGCGTGTATTTTGACTGTGTTTTATGTGCACAGCATGCATGCCTGGTGCCCAGGAAATCGGAAGGTGTCAGATACCCTGGAACAGAAGTTACAGATGGTTGTTAGCTACCATATCGGTGCTGGAAACCAAACCCTGATCCTCCACAAAAGCTGTCATTGCTCTTAACCACTGAGCCATCTCTCTAGACCCTTTAAAACCTTTTTTAGATTTATTTTATTTGATCTGTGCACATTCTTACTGCTCCTCCATGATACCATGATATAACTTGAATTTGAGATGGTCCTACTGTCTTCCCACTATATGGTGAGTTACAAGACATGATTTTGTTTACTTCTTATCTCCATGAGGGCTGCGGTGCTAAACGAGACCACAACAAAGATTGATGTTTACTAACAAGGCTGAAAAACAAAATCCCAGTAATGCCTTAAGAAAGAAGCAAAACCAAGAGCCAGGAGTGATTGCAGCCTACTGCCTTACAAGCTGGAAATGGAACTCAGGAAGAACAGAGGGCAAGGCTGGGAGTAGAGCTCAGTGGGAGAAGCTTGCTGAGGCCCTAATGTCAGTTCTCGGGTTAAGGGAAAAAAGGAGCATGCAGAAGTAGCACGGTCTGTGAGCCGACACTGCAGAGGTAGACAGAGACACAGGAAAGGTCGGATTCTGCCCATGCCACCTCAGACACTCACAGATGGCTTTGCTACCAACACCATAGCCAGTGCAGAAAGACCTGAACGTAGGGGACTGGAGAGATGGCTCAGTGGCTGCTCTTTCAGAGGTCCTGAGTTCAATTCCCAGCAACCACATGGTGGCTCACAACCATTTGTAATGAGATCTGGTGGCCTCTCTTGGCCTGCAGGCACACATGCAGGCAGAACACTGTATAAATAACAAATAAAAGTTAAAAACAAAACCAAAACAAAAGAGCTGAATGTGGCTGTGTATAAAGAGGGCAGGCAACAGCTTGTGTGGCTGCTGTCAGGGTACGGAAGAGATGGATCTTCCACAGGATCTGGAATACCTTTAACATCAGGAGTAGCCACGGGAACTGCAGGTCTCCTTTCGCGGACAGCAATTTGAACCCTGGCCGACCCAGTCAGCCAAGGGCAAGTCCTGTCAAGTCCTCTAGAGCCTCTACTCTTGGCATCTGACTACTAAATCTTCTACCTTACTAACGTAATAACAGGTCCCAGGAACCTCTTCCCAAAGCACTGCTTCGCTTGTTGACCAGTGGTTATCTGCTTCTCTGGTCAAGCCTGTCAACAGTGACACTAATTTTTTTATTGTCCCTTTGTAGGTATAGGTATAACCGGAGACACAAACAAAATTTACAGGTAAATCCTGTATATTAAAGTAAGTGTAAAACCCTGCCCAGTATGTTAGGCATGGAGGCACATTCCTGTAATCTCAGTGCTTAAGAAATGGAGGAAAAAGGACCAGAAGTTCAAGGCCAGCATGGGTTACAGGAGACTGGTGTTAAAAAAAGACAGACAGACAAAGTCCCATAAAAGTTTGTTGATTCGTGTGTATTTGAAAGCAAAGGTTATAAAGAGCCCATGTAATGGGTAAAAGGTCAGATTCCATTCTACAACACAGCACACACAGCCTATTGAAAATTCTTTTCAGACAAGGATTTCTGTGGTTAAATAAATGGTTGCTCAATTTAATTGAAGTGGCATCCACTAGGTCATTTCTAGAGTTTAACAAAGTGAACTGGACTGGAGAACTTGGATGGGATCCCAAACACGTGGCAGCACCTGACTGCTAATCCCAGTACTCAGGACGTGAGGCAGGAAGAGCGTGTATTGTAGAGACCATGGGAAGCCCATGGCATGCGCTACATAATCTACAGGTAGTAAAAGGAGCCCGGACCACAGGATAGCAATCAGTGCTGGAAAGACACACTTAGGTCAGTAAGACCCAGAGCTGCAGAATATAGAGAAGACCCCAAAGCCGGGACTAATGGGAGACTCAGTGACCCTTAAAATGCATTCGATCCTATGCAGCAATCCTTCCTTCAAACTCCTATTCTATACTTCAATCATTCTGATGGCACTATTCTAAGACAAACTCTCACTATGCAGCCCAGGATGGTCTCAAATGCACAATCCCTCTGCCTCGGCTTTTTCCACGTGGACTCCGCCGCCCTAGCACAGGTTTACCATTCTCATGCAGAATGTACTTGCTCTTGGTGATGGACACTTTTGTTCCACACTTTTGTTTCGACACACCTCAAGTACCTGGCTCATCTAACTCATCAAGGCAACATTATTCGGAATCTCAGTTAACCGGACTTCTCTGTAATTTCTCTAGCCACCCCCAAAGACACTAACAAACTAATCCAGAACTCCCGGGCATGATGGCCTGCTCTTTCAATCCCAGGTAATCCAGAGGCTGAAACGGGGGAGGGGAGTTCAAAGTCAGTTTGACCTACACAGTAAACCCAAGTGGGAAGAGAGAAAAGAGGAGGGGAAGGAAGGAGAAAAGATAGGAGAAGGGGAAGAGGAAAAGGCAGCATTAGGAGGGAAAACACCAGTGTCTTTCCTGGGAACATTTATTTTATAGGTGAGGGACTGCCCATCTCCAGAACAGACAATAAACTATCCTTCTGGCTTTCCAATTATCTCAGTCATTCAGGATTTAATTTAACTTTTTTATCTTTCCGAGCTCGGGTATTCCCAAATTGCCCACGTGGGTTGGAACCTTGAGCTCAAGCTCCTCTCACCTCGGCTGGCCCGTAAGATTAATTTTATAGTTGTTTCCCCTCCGCTCCCACCCTCAGGCCACAGCCCTCGTGCCTGCACTGTTCTTTGGCAACCTCTCGCAGAGCACTGCTCTCCTTGAGCGTCTATTGCCAGAACTACCCAGTTCCATGTACCCTGATTGTTACAGAAACAAAAAACGGCAACCGTCCAGACCCAACTGCAGGCTCGTAGAACGTAGGTGGATTTCAAAGCTTCCTATTGCAATCAAACTGGAAACGCCAAACTTCACAACTACATTGTGGAGTTTCTCACCCATTCCTAAAACAGTCAAGCGTTTTCTGGAATGAAACACTGCAAAGTTCTGTCACTATCGTGTTCCCCAAACACAACAACCAGAAAAGAGGCAATCGCTCCAAATATACTTTATTTCTTGTAGTGTCTGAGTAGCCATCTTGTTAGTTTTAAGGAGCGGCTGTATAGTATCTTTTGATTGTCACATAGTGCCTCAGTTCTGATAAGATCAATAATTAAACCAATGATTAGCTACCGGATTTAAAGAAAAGGGGGGGGGGACAATAAACTCACTCTCCCCAATAAATTCATAAGTATTTATGACTTTAAGGCACGTCTCCGAAACTCCTGGGCCTGTAAAGAGGCTCGACTCTCTGCAGCCTGGGATCGCGCCTGGCCAGGTCCAGGCAGGAGTGACAGCAGCACAGGCGGACCCGGGGACACACACACGGCTCTACCCGGGCCTTGACGGAGGGCGGAACCTTGGACGGCCGGCGGCGGGCTCCCCCCCGGAATTGACCCCGCTCACCTGCAGCAGCCCGCGAAGCAGAGACCGGCGGACGCCGCCGCGCAGAGCCGCCAGGGCAGCCATGGTGACGCGAAGGGCTGTCAAGGGCAGAGAAAAGGGCCGAGGCCTCCGCTTTCCACCTCAGATCCAAGACGTCGGGGCGGAAACCGCCCCGACCCTCTCCTCCAATAGCAGTCCGAGGTCGCTGCGCTGGCAGGGATTGGCCCGCAGTCAGGGGGCGGGTCCTGGCGCTGGGCAGAAACCGTCCCGGACAAATTGACTACTGACCAACATGGCTTGACACCTAGCTGGAGCAGTTTTTGACCTCCGGACGCCGGTGATTTCCCTTGCAGCTCAAGACTTTCCATTCACTTAGCTGCACCTGACCGTGTGACTGTGTTTGCCCAGACAATGGATATTGGTAAATGTTACCAGCAATCCAATTTTATACATATAACACAAATAAACCAATTACGTTAAGAGAGTTTTGAAGTTTTTCGACGGATGCGAAATAAAATGCATGTTACTATCTAAACTTCATTGAATAAGATTAAATCAACTTCCACAACTCTCTGCAGGCTGGGTGTGGTGGCAAACACTCAGGAGAGAGGAAAGTGGGTCTGTGAGGTGTTCCAGACCAGCCTGGTCCACGTGGCGAGTTCCAGAACAACCAGAACAACGATCGGAGAACCTGTCTCAGAAACAAGAAAGGAAAACAAAACAAAAACCCTCCATGTATTAATTGATGTTAGTTAAGTGATAATTATTCTCACATTTGTGGAAGCCATTGCTGACGTTAGAGGTTTGTTTCGTTTGGGGTTTTGTTTGTTTTTAGACAAGGTCTCGCTTGCTATGCAGCTCTGGCTGTACTGTAATTCACTATGTAGCCCAGGCTGGCTTTGCCTCCCCGGTGCTAGGATTAAAAGCATGTCCCACCATGCCTAGCTCAGACTTTCAGTCTTCAGCTGAGGATTGCAAATCTTTCTGACTTGTAATATTCATTTTCCTTTATGTTAATTTCCACTTAGAAAGTATAGCAACATACAACTTGAACAATTTCCTTTAAACCAACCTGTTTGATGTATGTAGTTGTATGCACTGCTGTGAGTCACTCGGATGAATCCTGTGGCTCTCTGCCTTATTTTTGTTTGTTTTGAGGCAGGGTTTCTCTGGGTAACAGCTCTGCCTGCTCTGGAACTTGCTTGTAGACAAGGGTGGCCTTGAACTCAGAGATCCCTCGTCCTGTCTGGAGTGCTGGGATTAAAGACGTGACACCACTGCCTTTTTTATTTTTTAAAGACAGGGTCTGTCATTGCACCTGGAGCTCACTAGAATGACTGACCAATAAGTCTGCCTCCACTCCTTCTCCCTGACCCATCCACAGAACTGGGAGTACAATCAAGAGTCAGCATACCTGGCTTTTCACATGGGTGCTGAGGCTCTAAACTCAGATTCTCTTTCTTGTGAAGCAAGCACTTTGCACACACCTCAGCCCTACTGAGGGTAAGGCATAAGTAAGTGTCTATGTACACTGCTGCATTAGTGTGCATGCAGGTGCCTGAGGGCAGTAGGGGGCAGCAAAACCCCTGGAACTGAAGTTACAGGCACTTGTGAATAGCCTGGTGTGTTTTGGAAACTGAACCCATGTCCTTTGTAAGAGCGTCAAGTATTCTTAATTGCTAAGCCATAATCCCCACTTATTTTGCTTTTTAAACAGAGTCTCAGGTAGTCCAGGAAGGTCTCAAACCCATTATGTAGATCAAAGATGACTTTGAACTCCTCCTACACCTCTGGATTGCTGGGGATACAGGTGGGTATTGAATCTAGGATTTCATATAATCTATATATAGTCGTCACATAGTTTAGGCAAGTATTGTGCTAAGCTACATCTGCAACCTGTCTTTTGTTATTTTGTTTGGTTGATTTTGGGGTGTGTGTTGTTATGGTCAGAGAAGGGATGGATGTCCCACAGCACACATGTAGAGGTCAGAGGAAAACTTGCTGGAGTAGGCGCTCTCCTTTCATTTCCTTATGACTTCAACCTTGTTATGCTTACATTCTTTTCATTTAGTTTTAGGAGGTCATAGTTGTCTATAAATTTATCTAATTCAAGACTTTCTAATTTGTAACATTTCTTTTCAGCTATAATTTCATTTAGATTTTCTTTTTTGACCAATTCAGCTGGAAAGTTGTCGTTCCTGTTCATTTTTCTTTTCATAGAAATAGTGTGTTGGTTCTTTGTTCTTATTTGTTTGCCATTTTTGATTTGTTTTGGGCTGCTTTACTAAGACAAGGCTTTCCTGTGTATCCTTGGTTGGCCTGGAACTCACTGCAGACCAGGCTGGTTTTGAACTTGCAGTGATACCACTGCCTTGGCCTCCCCTGTATGGGAATTTTTATTTCTGTCTTGTTCTATTTTTCTGATGGTTTTGATAATGCTATTTTTCTAAGACCTTAAAGTTCATTATTTACCTAAGACCTCTGTGATTAAAAAAATTTTTTTTCATGTGTGTATGAGCGTTTTGCCTGCATGTTTATCTATTCACCAAATGCCTTGTAGCTATGGAGGTCAACAGAGGACATGGGAGCCTTGGAAATCAGCTACAGATGGTTGTGAATCACCAGGTGGGTGCTGGGAATCAGACCCAAGACCTACGGAAAAGCAGCAAATGAGCCACAAGCCCCTCAAAATCTTGTGAATAAAAAAATTAACCCGGGTGTGGTGGCACACACATTCAATCCCAGCACTCAGGAGGCAGGCAGATCTGAGTTCAAAGCCAGCCTGGTCTAGTATGAGTTCCAGTACAGCAAGGGCTATATAGAAAAGACCCTATCTCACAAAAATAGATTAACTGGTTAATCTAGCCCACTTGACATTACCAGAAATGACCTTATGTATAAATAATGGACAGGCCTTCTATCCATAAATTCCGTTTTCCAAAAACGACTAAGTCTGTATTATTACTCTGTGATCATACAGCGCAGTTGTGGAATCCGATGGTAACTTTGCGGCCCAGAGTCCCTGGTCCCACTTCTACGTAAGTTGTGGGAACTGAACACAGGCCATCAGGCTTCACAGCAATGCCTTTGCCCACTGTGCCACCTGACTAACCCTTTGGTTTGGAGATGGGGTATTATGCAGCTCCAGCTGGTTTCAAACTCCAGACATAACTAAGAACTCTGAGCTCATCCATTTCTCAAGTACTGGGATTTGGGGAGTGTGCGACTACAGACTCCCCATCTGTTTAAACCTGTGACAGTGACCTGTATTTATTCCTTGCAAATTCTGTCTTTCATAATAGGCATATCTATCCTATGCCCATCCAGCTGTTTCAATGTTGCCTGTCTCTAAGCTCCATTCGGTTGCTATGGTTGTGTTCTCTTAACAAGGAAGATAGCTTCCAATTTAGCTCACTGTGCAGCTGTTTGTTTGGGTGGTGGGGAGTTCCTCAGGATTAGAATGCTCAGTAGCTCAAAATGCTTGGGAGTTTGCCAAAGCTTTGGAAAGGGCTGGTGAATGAAACGTAATATTTAAGCTTACTTACTAATCCTGTTTTGACTCAGGTGAACCTTCTACTTCTCTGGGTAGAGAATCCACAAGTCACCCCTACTTCTTGACTCCCCTAATCTCAGTGAAGGTACTAGGTTTAGATTCTAGTCATTAGGAAGTCATGTATTCATCCACCCAACTCTCTTATTTCTGGTCTTTATAGTGGCTACAATTTATTATTATACCACAAAACCGAACTAAGCATCTTCACTGAGAGAAGTCTCACTGTTCTGCGCATGCCAGCCTTGAACCACCAGCTACCTCAACGTCCGAAGTAGTTAGATGACATAGGTGCATCACTGCACTCAGGGTTATGCCTGCTCTGCCGCTGGATACTGAGATTAAAGGCACACGAAACCTTAATTGTTGTAAAACTTCTTATAGTAGAACAACAAGATTTTCTGGATGAAAGCATTTATATTACACTTTTATTTTTGCAAGAAAATAAATTATACAACTTAAAAATAAAATCCAAATGTAAGCAGTTCAAAATATTTCAGCTTGCTGCATACAGAAGCTGCTCCGTGTAAAACTAGTGTCATCTCAGTATGTAGTGGTGCACATCCTGAACTGTACACATCGTGAGGATAAGCTAGACCTCAGGAACTCCAGACCACACGGAGTGTAGGTGACAGGAATGCTCTAATGTTTCTTTCAGGACTGTGACTTGGGAGAACTGGTGACAGCAGCCCAGTCATTCACATGAAAACAGAAGAGCCAGCTTGACTTCATGATAGCAAATCTTTCTGTAAACTAGCAAGTATTTCACCTAGACTGAATTTTAAAAATTTGCCCTTGGAGCAGGGCTAATGATATCATATTCAATTTAATGAACAGTAAAAATAAGAATGATAACATTTCATTTTTTGGAGACTTTAATATTTATGCACAAAGTAAGAGCAAGAGATTTAAATGAACAGGTTGATAAACTCAGGGACCCCCTCCAGTAATTGTAAAAACTGGGCGACTTCAGAATTTGAGGATCCTTATAAAATTGTTAGAACAACGATGGTCTAACATGTGTCTAACTGTGAGCGGAAAGTGTGTTCCACATTTTCCAGCATGTGAATCTGTTTCCTGTCTCCTTAATCTGGCCATGAGCTGGCATGAGGTTACCATTTATAGATGGAAGTACTCAAAACTCTGAGCCTGCTACACTATTCATTTAAAAATGGCTCTTTGGTGGTGGGAGAGGTGGGGTTTTTCTTCCCCTTACCTGTGCAATACTTGGCCCTGCTCAGACAGCAAGAGTAAAGTCTGCAGGGAGAAGAGAGAGGTCAGATAGGGAACAGTAAGGGTGATTCTGAACCTTCAGAAAACTCCTGGTTAAGATCTGTTTCAGAATTTTTAATTAGCAAATCTATTGATAAAACATTTAACAAAAATCTCAACAATGGTATAGGCAATAGGCACCTTGTCAACTAAACAGTTTTGATAAACACCAAAAAGTAGTTACACTTTTGTATATATATTTTAAAAAAAGAATGAAAACTTTTAAGTCTGTGGTATTTACTGCTGTTCATTTCCCCAAAATACAATTAGGACATAATTAACTATTAAAAAATTTATAAAATTTAATAAAAAACTTTGCTATGGATTTAGTGTTACCCACTTTGCATTAAGTT